GAAGAAGTAGAATAAATTACGGAGGCGGAGGCGAGGAACTAGCTTATAACCTACGAAGACTACGAAGATAAAGATACCGAATTTATCCTATAAGCCGAACCGCCCGCCGGCCTATCTAGTAGCGCACCTTCTAAAGACTAAGCAGAGTCTACGGGTTTAGACTTAGGGGTAGGAGTAGCTAGTATTATTCTGGAGGCGCCGGAACTACTAGATACCGATATAACTATTAACGGCTACAACGGGCTACCCGAACCGCCCGCGCTAATAGGACTCTAAACCCTACGCGCTATACTTAATCCGCTAAGCCGGAATAACTAGGACTAAGGCGCCGGGCCGTAGCTATAGTAGGAGGAACTCTTAATTAAACTCTTTTCTATATAGATTACGGTACTCGAAGGAGACGCTATTAATAATACGCTAGAGCTATATATACTAGATTTTAATATAGATAATCCGGAGCACTAAGGAGGAACGAGGAGTACGTAGATTAAGGCACGGGAACTAGCTACTCCTAATCTAGGTCACGGTATTAACCAGCCTTTAACGTCTAGATCTCAAACTAATAACCCTAAGATGACTACGTACTAATATAAGCGGAGTATATAGGTTAAGGATATAATAAGGGTTAGCGCCCGAATTATAGATTAATATACTCAGGGGAAGATTATTCGGATTAATCCACGGACGCACATAGTAGAGCCAGATATACCCTTAACGTATACGTTCTTCCTGTCTAATTAATAAAAAGTGCGCGACGATAAGATATAAGGGCTCCTATCCTTTTACTTAGTGATATTCGGAGTAGCTAATATAAAAATAAAAGCTTATTCGAAAGTAACGGAGGATTCGATACTAAAGTCCTTACTCGATAACAGAGTTTATCGCGACCACTTAAAGGCTATACTAAGGTATCAAAGAGAGCTTTATAACTACCCTATACGCGACTAGTTTAAGGAAGCGGCGTAGAAGGAGGTTAATAAGCTAATTAAGAAACGTATATAAAGGGAAATTAATAGGGTATCGGCGAAGTCTAAGCCTTTTCCACTTAAATAGGTATTCACCTATAAGTTCGACTAAGATAGGTATTTTAAGAGATATAAAGTAAGGCTATATATCCGAGGGAATTTTTAGGAAAGCTTAATAATTAAGGGAACCTATATAGTAACGCTCGCTATAAGGTCTTTTCGTATTATTATAGCTTTAGCCGCTTAATTTAACCTAGAGATTAAGTAACTGGATATCGTTAACGCCTTCGTTAACGCTAAGAGGAATAGAATAAGTACGTCCGTTATATATAAGCTTCTAGATAGGTTTAAGTAGCCAGATAAGTGCTTAGAGCTTAATAAAGCACTCTACGGCTTATAAGATTCACCTCGATTATAGTTCTAGACTTTCGTAGCGACGTTATCGGATCTAGGGATAGAGGCTAGTAAAGAAGAGCTATACCTGTTTTATATAGTAGCTTAAGACACGTTTATTATCTTCTTTATAGACGATATCCTCGTCTTATTCTATAAGAACACGGCTATAAACGCCCTTAGGATTATTAACGGTATTAGAAAGAGGTTCGAAGTATTAGAAAAAGGTAACGTAGAATAGTTCCTAGGGATTAAGATTATGCGAGATCGCCCCCGGCGTAAGGTTCTACTTAGCCACGACTTATATATTAAGAAGATCGTAGCTAGATTTAATTTAGATATTACTAATATATACCTAGCGATTCCCGTTTCTATTATAGAATACCGGAAAAGAGAAAATAAGGCCACGGCTTAAGAGGTTAAATCGTATTAGGAAAAGGTCGGATTATTATTATATATAGTAGTTATAATACGTCATAATATAGCCTTTATGGTATCTATCCTTTCCCACTTTCTTAGAAACCCCTCCCCGGAGTATTATAAAGTAGCGGACTAAGCTATCCGTTACTTATATATAACTAAGGACCTCTTAATTTAGTACGGATCGAGCACTGGTTTATAGGCTATAGTAATCGCGAGCGACGCCTCTTTTACTAATAATATCGATATATAACGATTCTCGTAAGGCTATCTTATTAGCTTATTTAGAGGTTTAGTGGTATAGAAAGTAATAAGGTAAATAACCGTTACTACGTCTATAACTGAAGTAGAGCTACTCGCTTTAGAGTAAGTCGCGAAGGAAACGATAGGATTAAAGCGCCTATTCGTAGAGATACGCTTCGATCCCGATCCTCTTAGAATATTAATTACGATAATACTTAAATAATTAGGCTTATAGTAGATAACGGCTATAGAATTAAAACCCGGCTTAGATATATAGATATTTAACGTTTATAGGTTTAATAGAAACACGGTAAAAGGACCTTTAGGGTTATTTATTTAGCTATAAGCCTGATACTAGTAGACGGATTAACGAAGGCACTCCCACGATAAAAGTTCGAGATCTTCCGCGTATATCTTAATATAACGAGTGTATAGAGGGGGTGGACCGGAGAAGTTGACGTTAAGAATTAGACGCCGGAGGCGTACCGTGCGCCGGCAGTATAGTAGGATTAGGGTAAAAGTAAAACTAGTATCTCTTTATAGTACTAACCTAACGCCTAAGCTATAAGCTAACTCTAAAACGTAAAAGTAAAAGTCGAAAACTAACGACCGGCGAATATAAAAGCCGTTACTACGCTTTATTTAGAACGACCGGAGTAATAGTCTTATCTCTACTATCCACTATAACCGAATTCCTATTAATAACGGCGCTATTTCCCAGCGCGATAACTTACCCTTAAGGGGCTCCGGAAGGTATAACCGGCGTAATAGTTTGCTACTGCTACTATTATTAGAGCTAATCTCTAAGTCGGCGGGCTATAACTTCTTTTACTAAACTTTCGAAATAAGCCGAGAAACTAGGCTTAGTTAAGCCCTTTTTACCGGGGCCCGCCACGTATTTAGGCTCCTTTTTATTAAAAAAGCGCTTAGTATTATCCTCCTTTAGATATTTAACCTGCTACTTAATATACTGCTTTAACTTAGCTAAAAACTACGCCGGAAATATTAGCCGGAGTACTCGAGTTAAGGAATAAAACGATAAAAACGCACCTTATGGTTTTTATTAGTAGATCCTGCTTTAATCTTATGAATAGATACTATATTAACTAGTATCTTCATAAAAGAAAGTATACTAATATAACTAGGATCGGTTATTAGTAAATAGAATCGTACTGGAGCACGGATCCTTAATCCGGATTTAAACCGGAGCTTTTATCTATAATCGTAAATCTCGATAACTAAGGGGTAGAAACTTATACCTAGGAGTATATATAGTTACCGTTATAATACTTATAGTAACGGTTTAAACGCGCTTCGACGGTAACGTAATAGTTAAATAAGCTTTATTTACCCGAATAAATACCTTTTACGTATTATATATAAGGAGGATTAAAGGGGACCGGTATAAAATTTAGATCGGGGGCTTTAGTCGATTTCTTAGTAGGCTTCTTAGGAGTCTGCTAAACTATTAGTAACTAAAGCCTTACGACTATAAACGAAAGCACGAAGCTAAGGGACTAAAGCACTTATATTAGGTTTTTTACCGGGGGTCTTAGTTATACCGGAAGGCTTAGTTAGACTAGTATTAGCGACCTTAGCACTGGACGCACGGGTTAAGGGGGCCTAAATAAGCACTATTAGCACCTATATTAAGAATCAGAGCTCTGGTAACTTACTATAGCGCGTTTAAGGGACGAAGAGCGGCTATTTAAGGAGGGAAGAGAAGAAAAAAAAGTCCGAAAATTAGGCGAGGCATAAAATCCACGAAAAATCGTTAAAAATAAAATTATAGTTATAAGAGGGAAAAGAAGGCTATAAAGAGCCTAAAAACCCTTTTATTTATATCCGGCACCTTCCCTATCTACTGATTACTTTAAATAGCACTTTCCTTTATTATTTACTACTATTATTATTATTCTTTCTTATTTTATAGCTCTCTTACCTGCCTTTTAACTCGACTTTAAAGAATCCGTAACTACTCTTTAAGGCTATTTTAAGATTAACTACAAGGCGCCGGCGAGGTTAGGCTAAGTAATTACTAAGCTAATCAGGGTATAGTAATTAGAGGGTATATCGCACTAAAAACACGTAAGCCTGTTTTCTATATTTCTATTAGCTAGATTAGCCTTATATTCCTCGCGTGGAAAAGGGGTAAATATATTTAGAACACCTATACCTTCCTATTCTTCTTTCCTTTATATAACGAATAGAATCATACATCTATTGAATCTCTGCTCCGGCCGGATCACACGCCCGTTAATCCAACAGCTCGTATTCTTTCTAGTGCCAGGTGTTTCTGCTCCTTTCCGAGAGACGGAGGCTTCCACGTTATTCGGAGACGTGAAATAAGGTACCGTACCCGCCTCCTCCACAGCCATAGTACCTCCGGATAGCTCTGTGTAAATGTACTTGGCCGTACACATACCTTAGTAGTTTACCTTAGGTACCTACCTAGGTAAGGTAGTAGGGGAAACTACCGTACTCCTACGAACCTACGCGCCGATTTCGCTCCTCCCTTGTCTACCTTACCTTAGGTATTGTTCTAAAGTTTATTCATAGGTACCTACCTTAGGTACCTACTGACATTTCGGACCTTAGGCGACGAAAGCACTCCGTAATTACTCCGTACAGAATACATATCACCGGACTTCCTCTTAATTACGTACCTAACGGCGCCCCGTCTCAGCAAGGTAAGGTACCCAGGCTTACCACGTTCCACCGGTCTTATCTCCCTTATCACCGAAGACGCCAGTCCAGGTACACCCCGTTATTATTCGGGAATTGGCTTCATCCCGTTTTCCCGTTTCGTTTCCCCCTCGCGCTCTTAGCCTTCTCATCTCACCGCCAAGCGTCAGAGACAGATTTGGGTAAGAGCCAAGGCGACGACCCTGCAGCGAGTGATCATCCGCCCTTTTCTGCCTCATTTCTATTATTATCCTTGGTGCCAATTATTTATTTATTTGATATTGCCCTCCCTCTCTCCCCGTCGTCTCCCTACATTTTTTTTTTCCCCGTCAGCCATGCCCAGAGGACGAATTCCTTTTCAATTCTCCATACCCTCGCCGGCACGATACGGTCTCAGGAAAGCTTCTATTCCCGCCTCGATCCTCGCCATGGCTGTCGCCTCATACACCTCGTCCGTCACCAAGGTCGCCGATTTCGGCCCCGTCCCGGATGATGCCTCGACCAAACCGCATCACATCACCAAGAACGGCTCCGTCGTGGGCTTCCAGAATCCCTATCCGTCGTACCAACAGGTGACGCCGTCCATTATGTTCAATCGCATTGTGTGGTACGTGGATCCGTGCTTCACATTCCCCCCTCGACCCTTGCCCTTGCGACGAAAAACCTAACGATTGCGCCGGGAAATAGGCCAATGGTAATGGGCAAGCTCAAGTGGCCCGACACAATGCCTCCAACCGTCGACGTGCTTAAACCCGAATTTCTTCCCTCACGCAACGCCTCCGACAAGCTACGGGCGACCTGGCTAGGTCATGCCTGCTTCTACGTCGAGTTCCCTTCCGGCCTGCGCGTCCTCTTCGACCCCGTCTTCGAAGACCGCTGCTCACCCTTCAGCTTCCTCGGACCTAAACGCTACACGCAGCGTCCCTGCGACTTCGCCGCGCTCCCCCACGTGGACGCCGTCGTCATCAGCCACAGCCACTATGACCACCTCTCTTACCCTTCCGTCCTCGAAATCCAGAAGCACCACCCCAACGCGCATTTCTTCGTCGGTCTCGGGCTAGAAAGCTGGTTCAAGAAAGGCGGCCTACACAACGTCACCGAGCTCGACTGGTGGGACGACACCCAGCTGTCTCTGACCCTCGACAAGAACATCGACAGCGTCGTCGTCGACAAACCCGGCACGGCCGCCGCCGAGGCCAACGCCAGGAACCCGGAGTCCATTACCGCCACAATCTCCTGTCTCCCCTGCCAGCACACCTCCGGCCGCACCCTGTTTGACAGGGACTCGACCCTCTGGTGCTCCTGGGCCGTCACCTCCGGAGGGAAATCCGTCTGGTTCGGCGGCGACACCGGCTACCGCGCCGTGGTCCACGAGGGGATGGACCCGGACTCGCCCGAGTTCCGCGCTCTCCCGACCTGCCCCCAGTTCACGCAGATCGGCGAACTCCGCGGGCCCTTTGACCTCGGGCTCATTCCCATCGGCGCCTACTACCCGCGCACCGCCATGTCCGGCATGCACGCCGATCCCTACGACTCGGTCGACATCTTTAGCGACACGCGCTGCAGCCACGCCTTGGGCATGCACTGGGGTACCTGGGTGCTGACCATGGAAGAGGTGCTGGAACCGCCCAGGCTGCTGCAGGACGCCATGAAGCGGAAGGGTTTGCCGGCGACCGGCATCTTTGACGTTTGTAAAATTGGCGAGAGTAAGGAGTATTAGGTCGCTACTGATGCACGGAATCGCCACCATGAGGGAATGTACCTCTTGTTTTCTTCTCTCTTGGGGGGTTTTCCCTTCTTTTTTTCCTTTTTTTTTTTAAAAATCTTTAACCTTCCCGTTGTACTTGTCCTACTACAAGATGTTTAATGCTTGAGTGGGAAATCCGCTAAAGACAGAAAAAGCGAGCGCGGCGTTGCAGGAGATCTTCGACTTATTCACAGGAAGGGGAATGGATAACAAATATGGGACTACTAAAGGGAGCACCGTCAGGGACATCCACCGAATGCTCCGGGATGAATCGCTTGGCGCTTTATGCTATTGCGCATGAACCTTGATCGCTGAGCATGGCATGGCATGGCATGGCATGGCATCATTTCTCATTTGACAAAAACCCAAGGGCAGGAGGATATAGTCCATGTCTACTCATCCGTCTTGATCGTTTGTATCAAATACACACACCACTATACCAGCACAACGGGGTATAACAATGACATGGTAACGTGGCTTTCCTTCAACCCATTAACGCCGCGTATAATGCAGTGGAGATATCTCGACCCAGTACGCCAAAAAGAAGAAATAAAAAACCCCGGCTCAAACCCGAGACACGAACGCCTTGTGGAAACAAGGTAGAGATAGATCAGACAAAAGAAGCACCCGGGACAAAGGGGAACCAAGTGGCAAGGACGACGACGAGTTGCATGTACCACAGTACGGCAAAGCTCAGTTGCCAGCCAAGCGATCAAAAAGCTTGACAAACCCCATGGCCGCCCCGGCCGCCATGCCACCCACCACAACCATCTCCGCACCACCCAGGAGGCCGTGCCACACGCGTTTCCGCCCGTGCCACCCGGCGACGGCACACGTCCGCACGTATCCGAACAGGAACAAGGCGAACGCCATGACAACGATGCTGTCCTTCAACGCCTCCGCCACGCCTTCGGGGGTGGACGGGACGAAGAAGTAGGGTGCCAACGGGATGAGGCCGCCGAGGAGGTACCCGGTGGCGATGGTGAAGGCGGAGACAGCCGGGCTGCGAGAAGAAGACGAGGGGGACGAAGAGTCGCCCGCGGTGTCAGGGGAGGCGTCGGCGCCGTGCCTGGCGCGGAGGAGGAGGTCGACGCGCGCCTCGGTCGGGGCGGAGGCGAGGTGGTTCGCTAGGGCGTCGAGGGCGTGTGGGGGTAATGCCGAGGCCGCCGGGCCGGCGAAGAGGGAGCGTAAAGCGGTGGCAGCTGCGTGGGTTGGGTCCTCTTGGGCGAGTTGGGCGCATTCCGCGCGTGTTTCACGGTATGAGGCGCTGGCGGAAAGATGTCAGCATCCCAGGAATGCCGAAGAGGATGGGCTGGGGTTTTGTTCACACTTACGCTTCACTCTTTGCTCCCAGGTACCCGCCGAGACCCATGGAGATGGCGCCGGCGATGAGCTCGGCGAGTCCGCCGTAGACGACAATCCTGGTCTCTCCCAGGGCAGACAGGCCGGCCGTCAGGGCAAAAGGGACGGTGAGACCATCCGCAAGTCCGATGGTGGCATCGGAGATGATGCGCGCATCGATGCGGAAACGGCGTTTCTTCTTTTCATCATTCCTCCTCTCGCCTCCTTGCTCTCCTTCTACCCGAGTGGTATTGGAACAGGAAGATGAGAAGGAAGGCCTCGGCTTGCCTCCTCCGAGTAGAGGCTGGGTCTCCGGCCGGTGGGCCGGAATGGAGGCATCTTGAGACTCGAGCGCGCCTGGTTCTGTGCTGGCTGTCCGGTGACATGCTGGCCGACCAAAGAGAAGGTTTCTGAAGGTAACAAGAGACATGACGATGGAGGTGGTGATAACGGTGATGGAGGTGGAGAAGAGGAGGAGGAGGAGGAGGGGGACGAGGAGGAGGACGAGGTTTGGGTGAGCGAGTGAGCGAGTGAGCGAGTGGTCGTCACGGACACTCGCTGGTATATAATACGCCGATATTATCTTTTCGCACGCAAGTCTGTCAGATAAGAAGGATATGGTATCCAGATTCACATTGCTCTTTGTTACGGAGGATGAATATATTTAAGCTTTTATATTGCCATACATTCCCTTGGTAGAGGAGGTCAGTTTTATGTAGAGATCCCCCTGCTCATTCAACTCTCCCTGCTATTAAGTGGTCAAGCAGGGGTAAGCAGAATTATCTGATTCGTGATTGGTTACCGTTGAGCTGAGGTCCTCTGATTGGCCGTCCTGTAATATGTATGGAAATGTACACTAAGGTACCTTAAGGTACTCATAATAATTCTAGAAAGCCTGCGAAGACTTGGAATATTTGACTGCAGGCTAACAGGTACCTACTCAGTACTTCGAACAACTCAATCACCACCAGACTTGACTGACTGACTGGCTGACTGACTGACTGACTGACCGAACCGACCGAAAGGGCCAGCCATCGAATTATGACATCAACTTCTAGGTCGTAACTCCGTATCCACGTTGTATCCACCGAGGTCCTTCCGATTCTCCGATTCGCAAGCGTCGTCCCCGGGTTCATTCCGTTGCCACTGTCATTAACTTTATAAAGGAAGAGGAAGACAACTGACCTCTCCCTTATCTGAACCTGAACATCACCACCAATATTCATACCTCACAATAGGCAACCACCTCAAAAGAAACAACATTGTTGATTCCCCGCCCGTCAATTCAAAAGTCAACTAAACCATCTCGTTATCATCATGGTCCTCCCACTCTCGGACAATTCTTCCTCTTCATGTCAGCCGGCCTCTGCGTCAGCTGCTTCTACTCAACCCTCCGCAGCCGCAGCCAACCCCACCCAGGCCGGCCAACCCACCGGGGCTGGCGTAAATACCGGCGCCGGCACTACCCGGCCCAAGACGCAGGCCGAAATCGAGGCAGACCGTCTTTACGAAGAAAACATGGAGGACGAGTACGCCAAGCGGGAAGGAGGTTCTTAGGCTAATGGAGTCCGGACGTCACAGGTTCACTCAAAAGGGGTCCAGCGACCAGCGACCAGCGACCAGCGACCAGCGACCAGCGACCAGCGACCAGCGACCAGCTGCTTTCCTCTCTTCTAAATATCATGCTTCTTAGGACGGGTTGCGTCGAGACGCCGGCTACTGTTTGCTACATTGATACTCCATAATCTTTAAAGATATTGCGGCACCATGACACCTAGGTCTGTCGCCTCAAATTGCCTACGTGTCCCTCTTATCCTCTCTCTCACACACTCTCTCCTTTCCCTCCTTCCCTTACCCTGTGTGTCTATGCCGGCCTGGACCCCTGCCATACACGAATTGGGTGAGCCTCCGTGTTATACACCCATCCGTTTCCCTTATCCGCCTGTACATGCACTTCGAGCTCCGCGTCGGCCTGGATTAGATAGCTGTACTTCAGAGTCTCGGCCAAGAAATAACTCTCCTGAAAGTCCCAAAAGCGCCCTCCGCGCGGCTCGTTGACGTCCGTGATGGCCGAGAACCCGCTACCGATGCTGCACGTCTTGTTGATGGCTAGGAACGCCTCCCACGCCCATTCCTGGTATTTGGGGTCGCCCGTCGCGCGGTAGGCGTAATAGTAGCTTTCGATCACCTCGGGTCGCAGGTTGTACGCGGGGTTTGTGATCCAGAATCCCGCCACGTCGAAGAACGCTTTCCATTCCGCCGGCGGCTGGGCGTTGTTCACGCTGGCCATTGAGTCTTGCCACTGGAACGACTCCGGACCGAGTCCTGTCGCCGTCATGATATATGTCCTTCGGCAGCCATCCGTGATGGCAAGGCCCGCATCGATATACTTCTGTTCCCCGAGGACCAGGCCTCCGAGAATAAAATTACCGCCCGCGAAGCATGCCACTAGTCGAACGCAAATCGATGGGGAAGCACACGGTCAGCCGTTACAGACAACACTCGGACATTGATTGCGTGGGAAATCGACTCTCGCCACGGGGCTCTCTTCTGGACTTACAGTGGCCCGAAGAGTAAACTGGCACGGTGTCGACGTATGACGACAAGAAGGCCCAGTCTGCGTTCGGCTGTACACTGCTACGGGAGAGCAGGTGGGCGATGGTAGAGTCGGCGGCGGCGACCCAGCGATCTTTGTAGTAGGAGAACCTAACGGGATCATAGATCCACATCTTGATGAGGTACTCGTAGAAGCTGTCAGTACCGCCACCCCAACCCCCTTCGCGGTCTGCCATTGTGCCGTTGTCGATAAACACACGAGTCCCCAACAACCCGGGCCAGATCTCTGCCCCCGGGTCGGGATTCAGCAGGTACCATTCTGCCCTCTGCGAGACGTTGGCGAAATGGTAGTCGCCCGTTAGGTCGGAAAGGCGAGTCCATTCGAGCACCAAGGTGCCGATTGTCGCCAAATGGTTATAGACGCTTCCAACTCTACGAGGCATGGGGTCGAAGATAAGGTCGTTGTCGGGGACTCCCGAGGGCGTGTCAAAGGCTACCGCAAGGTTACCGGCCAGCCTCTCGGCCTGTGCAAGGAGAGAATTGACATGACTGTTGTTAAAGTTGAAGGACGCATATGGTCCGTTTAACAAGTCGTAGCCTGTCGATCAGGGGAGGGCAGCAGCGTGGGTCCGGGTCAGTAAGAGCGAAAGACCTCTCGGTGGGTTTGGTGAGTGCGAGTGCAGGCATGATGGCTCACCAGACAAGAGGCCGCCCAAGTATCGGATGGTCGTCTCAAACAGGGATACCACTGTTGTGGTGGCATCAAAGTTGATCTCGGGAATGTACTCCAAGATGTCAGCGGCCACGCCGTACTCGCCCATCAGAAGGGCGGTGCTCAGAGCGTCGACAGCGGTAGCACCCCATCCGTTTCTAACATAGTGGAGGAGACGAAGAGACAGAGGTTAGACCAAGATGGTAGGAAAAAGAAAAAAAAAAGAGATGCATCCCGAGAAGAACTACAGGGGTCCGGCCTTCCTCACCTGTCATTTGCTCCTGTGTTGGACAGGGGTCGCAGAGTGTCCTGGGGAAAGGCATGATTCCGGTAGCCAGTCCAAGAACGGCGGAAAGCCTCCTTTATAGCACTGGTACGTTCGGGATGCGTCTGATAAGGAAGATGCGATCCCTGATGAGGTCTAGAGGGCTCTGTAGGGGCAGCATGCGACAACGATGCCTGCGCCAGTAAGAATGAGATGCCGATCTTTCTGAGATGCATGGAGCAAACCGGACCACAGGTCTAGGTGTAGGGATGGAAATGAATAAACTAGAGGGGGGAAAAACAGAAACGACAGTAACAGACTGCGATAGAGCAGTTGGAATAAACGAATGCTGAAGGTGGCGATGTATAAAATGACTCGGGTGCCGAGTCTGAGAAGAACCAAAGATGGGAGAGATAAACAAGACCATCTCAGTTCTGAATCGACGACAGATATCCCTGGCTCTTATAAGACGCTCAATCAAGCCATTTTGTTTTTTCTTCACCTCCTTTCCTGCGAGGCTGGAGGTACTCTCACAGGCAGGAAGAAAGGGAAGTTGGCACAGCCTGCCTGTCTGTGCCTTTCGTAGAGACTTGAACATACGAGGGAAAGGGAAAGAAATCCCAAAAGCCGGGCCCAATCAAGATACAAGCTAAAGCTAGCACCTCACTGGACGAGGACGAGGAAAGTATCACCAGGGGAACTAGAAGAGCAGGAAAGCAACGGTGCTGACAGGACGCATTGTAAATATATTGATCGGTAGCAGGAGAAGTGTAAGTAAAGCGTTGATTCGCATAAGCGCTGGCAAAGCTCTTTCGGATAGGCGATTTAGGCCAGGTCGGAATAGCTGTTGACCCAGCAACAGGCGAAAGTTAACGCTCCGTAAGGTAAGGTAAACGGTAATCTCAAGATATCTTTCCTGTGAGATGTGTCAAGTCCGAGCGAGAATTCTTTGTCGCAAGTTGGATTATACGAGGGCTGAGCTCAACCTGTACTCGGGGGATGGGGGAGAGGGGGGGAAATGAGCTTCATTGTTAGGTGTCTTCGTGCAAATAATTCAAGCATTTTGTCTTAGCCTCGCCAACGCGGCCGCGATACCCTCGCTCAACTGGCCTCCAGACTCGCCGGTAGTACCGCCGCTGTCGCCGTTGCTACCGCTGGTACTGGTGCCGGCAGGGCCAGAACCCGTCCTCTGCGACGCCTCGGCTTCCGCCGTGCGTTTCGACTCCTCAATCGCCGCCGCGATCATAGCCTCCTCGTCATCCATATCGACACCATCCATCCCCGGAACTCGATCCCGCGCAAGCTGCTTTTGCTTCCCGCCGCGAGACCCAGCGGGGTCATCCGACGCCGACGCCGGAGTAGCCCGGGAAGACGACGCGCTCAGCACCGGCATATCGCGCAGGGGAACCCGCCCAATGGGCACAGCCTGGTCCAGTACCGACGGCGTCCCAGCCCCGCTACCTTCGCCGTCCGTCGTCGTCGGGTCTCGATTCCGCTTCGCAGCCTTCTTCGCCCGGAACGGCTCCTCCACGGCCGCGACCCATTTCCTGACCTTGACGGGACCCCACCCGGCAATGACGCCGATCTGGTCCGGGTCCGCGTTGACGGCGTCCCGCAGGCTGCCGAAATTGCTCACCAGGGCGATGGCGTCCGCCTTGTTGACGCTGCGGGGCACGGTGACGAAGTCGACCAGCTTTTCGGCATAGCTCGACGACTGCTGCCCGCGGATGGCGCTGAAGTTGGCGTGTTCGTAGGACTTGTATAGTTCGAGGTAGCGTGCTGCTTCGGCTGCCGACCAGCAGAGGATGATGGTCACGTTATTGACGATCGACGTCTTGGACAACTCTCGGAGTGAGTCCTCGTGATTGGGAATGTCCACCAAGGTTAGCAGAATGCGCAAGTTGTATTTGCCCTGGAGTTTGCGGGTCCGCTGGTAGATATATTCCGGGTGTAGTCGATGGTATTTCAGGCTGGAGGGGAAACGAGGGTATATGGTCAGCATCTATCTATCCACAAGTGCAGTCGAGGGCAGGCGAGGGCAGTCGAGGGTACTCGTAGGAGTCGAGGGGAAATGGACAATTACGATGTGACAATGTTCCGAAGCACAAAAGTAAGGAAAGTAGGAAAGTTCGCCGACATACCTCAAGAAGAGAGCACATGTAGTGAGCCCGAGGACGTAGTCGGCGGGAATATCGCTATACTCCCACGGTAGGGAACGCAACGCGGCGAGGACTGGGTTCCCTCGCTGGCGGGGAGAAACCTGGATAGCCGATCTTGAAGACCGCTGCGGGAGAGCCTGTGGTGTGGGCTGGGCCTGGGCCGCCTTTGGACCCGGAACGCTCGCCGGTGCCGGTTTATCTAGACGTTGGGGCGTTGGCTGCTGAGCCTGAGTCCGAGCCCTCTGAGGAACTGGCTGTTGCACAAGCGGCTTGGGGGGTTGCGGTCGACTCGGGTCCGAGGCCGCGAGGGCTTCGAGAAACTCGGAATCCGCCCCGAAATCGTCATCCATAGTCTCGGAGGCGCATCCTACTCCTGGCGGAAAGCGGTAAGATGGCTCGGTTATGGGACTGGACGTTGGTTGGGATGTTAGTGCGGGAAGATGCGTGAACTTGGTTGAACTTGTTGGATGGGTTTTGGCAGGTTGGCTGGGTGCAGTGAGCTGGGGAGAAAGATAAGATAAGGGCTTATCTTATCACTCATTTCCCGCTCTGGAAATCTTGCATCATTCCCGAAAAACCTCGGAAGAAAAGAAAAAGGAAAAAAACCTGAAAGGCCATCTCATTTCTACATGAGTTATGGGGTATCATACATTCATACATTCATTCCCATCGTCCATCGTTGATGTAGTGCATAGAGGGCGCCTAACCAAGAGTCGAACATGGTCTCTATACCGCTCAGTCCCTCCGGCTGCGATTCCTTTATTTCCAGGACTCGGCCCCTGAGTCTCTCGTACGCCTCGGTCATGAGTTTAATCTGCAAGGCAGAGGGGTCGGCTTCGTGTCCCGATGAGTCCAACATGACCTTTCCCAGCTCTCGCGTCAGCAACTCTGTGCACATCTGCAGGTCGAGATTCTCTTGAGCGGTGGAAGACAGCCGCGGGTGATCATCAGAGTCTTGCTTCTGCAGCGGAGAGGTGGATTCGGCGGGAAAGGACAAGGGTTTAAAATATATTGCTTCCTCGTCGAACTCGACGAATGTGCCCTCGTCAGGAACGGGAGAAGGGTCCAAAGCCTTATATGGCGAGGGTGGCGGCATGGAAATGGAGGTAGATGGCCAGCCGGCCCGGGTATGTTCGGCATCTACAGTCTGGATTGGTTGGTGATGGTCTTTGACCGACGGATATGAATCAAGTCCTGAGCTGCTGTATGGGAATATCGGGTCGGCATCGGAGATGCCCGGGTATGCCCTGGACTGCGCACTGGTCTGGTTCGCCGCACTCAACTCGAACTCGTTGCCTGTACAAAGTCCGGGGTTTGCCTCCAGCTGCCCTATGGAGAAGACGGGGGTCTTGGCGCCGCGTCTCATCGTCGACACCGTGCTTGCTAATGAAGCGGGAGAGCTCGCGGCGGAGCTGTCGAGAGATGGACGAGAGGATGCATCTCGAATGGCCAAGTGGGAAAACTCGGAAAGCACGGGGGATACGTGGTTCGGCCCCTGCAGCTGGTGCTCGTCGACATCCCTTCCTTCTGGCCGTCGTCGCGCTGGGGTGTCTGAAGTATCTGGAGGGCCAACCTGCGTGAGTCCGCTAGATCGAAGGTACTCCGTCCATATCGGATCGCTCAAGTCCGGCGAGGGTAGAGACCGCTGGATAGGCGGTCCTGCGTGTTGGGGAACCGCCGGGAAACTAGGGAGACTTGAAGCGCTACTGTTCAGACTCCCGGTTGGGTGGGGTGGCGGAGTGACGACGTTAGATCGTGTTGCCCGGTTGCTATTCTTCTGTAGCTTCTTCCGCGGCTTGAGCGGCTGCGTCGAGATTATCGCAGCAGGAGGCTTAGAGTGATCGGTGGGGGGTCGCTTGACAAGGCGGCTTGTGCTGCCCGAGAGCGAGGGTTGTGATACGGACATTGTGCAGAACAAACAATAAATACACTGCGGAAGAACATGCGAAGCGGCGCTATGAGGAGATTGCAGCGGACATGACCACTTCGAAGTGATGTATCGCGATTAAAGGTTCAAAAATATTGTATGTAAGGTAGATGGACGAATTACTCCATAGAAGCATGTGATCTGGACAGGAGTGAGTCGAGGTTGTATTGGCATCTTCTGGAACAGAGAAACAGGATGCGCCGCATCAAGTCGACTAGTCCCGAATGCCAACTCACCTGCATCATAGTCAGCTGCCCAATCCCGTCCCCTGACCGATTAAGCAAGCGAGGTTAAGAAAAGGAAGAAGGGCCTGCATTCTCGTGTACTTCAATGTAATAAACCAAGGGTACGTCATCATGAAAGATAGGAAGACTGCAGGTTGGCTGACTTGGCTTGTGGCTGGGTTGGAACTAACGTTATCGCCACGACGCCACCGACCAGGACTACTTACTTCTACCCATACAATGTCAGATATAGCGTAGCTGGAACCGTGTAAAATCGGGTCAAAATTGAGGGGAAAATTAAGGGTAAATTGATTGAGGTAGTGTGTAGATCTGTGGTGCAGGACCGTCAGGGAACTGCCAAAAACATCGAGTGTTCGAACTCGTTTGGTGCCCAACGGCCAAAACAGCTTATCCTAATGGATCGGAAACAGCCGCGAGGGCGGCATCCAAGTCAGTTGGTGAATGTCCCCTTTTCGACTCATTGTCCGGCCTGTTAGCTCAAAGAGATAATGGAAGTCCTAGAAAGGGCGGGCAAGATTCAGCGGCCTTTTCCGCGAACCGTCCACTGCAAATGATCGCACCGTGTCGATTTGGGGGTCGGTGCTTGTGGGGATATGTATGTATGGTAACGGGGTTCTGGAGCCTGGTTGTGTAAATGGTGGCATAATCCATTGCTTGGAATTTCCCTTGGAGAGACGACATGGCCAGCCAATGCGGCCAGGAGGGTTTGGAACAGTTATACGATTCGCCTTATGGTGTGCGGGGTCATGAGCCAGCCGTCCCAGCAAGGCGACATGGGCCCGATATTTACGCCTGCAACCGTTGTATTGTATAGCTATTAGAGCGAGGGTTATAGTTTAATCGAAGTTTAACTTTTTTATATATATAGTTCTTAACTCGTCTTATATTTCGGGTAGTTTTTAAAACAAACCTTCCTGCAAGTAAAGAAGTGAAGACATAGATTTCTCCTGTCGGGATAAATCACCATAGTTGAGTAACTTGAGTTGAGCCCGAATAGTTTCTCCATCAATCAGACTAGGTCTTCCCCGGTAAACGCCCCCCGAAACTGGGCCCCTAAGCCGGCCTATACGCCCCGGATTACAGGGTAGTGGCCCTCCACTCCGGCATTTTACCCCTCCCCCACATCTCGTCGGCGCGGGTTAGCCCCCTCTCCGTTTCTGCCCCTCATCCATGACTCCGCCGCCGCCGTCGTCTCACCAGTCCCAACTGTAGTGTAGTTGGAGCGCATGTCGCGAAGGTCCGCCGACAAGAGTCCAATCCTCCTATAGGGGGTCAAACTTGGGGCGGATCATCTGCTTCGTATAGAGCTACTCTACCGGCGTCTGTCTCTCGAAGGCGAGATATACAAACCTCTTTTCCTGTTGTTATTCTCAACCTCGATACATTCCCTACCTAGATATGTCCCATCTTATCTCCTGAAGCCGGCTCCTCTGTTTTTTTAATATATCACTGCCTTACTCTAGCCTTTCCCCCCTTCCTTCCAAGGAAGACATCTCTTCATATCTCCTTAACATGTCAGAAATAACCATCACTGGGTGGCTCACCCGTGATGTGAGGTTTCCCACATCACTCGACAAGACGGGCTCTGATGCTATGAATGCTGCTGGAGACTATTCAGCTGCCTACTGCATGCTCCAGACAGACTCGAAGCACTCTGGTCATGGAATGGTACGTTATAACTTATACCTCGCTACTTGGAAATACGCAAACCCAACCCCTTACTTCGATTTTCTTCGCTTACCACGCATTTCGCTCTCTCCTAGACCTTCACGATCGGGCGGGGCAACGATATCGTCTGTCATGCCATCAACCATCTCGCCGACAGGATCAAGGGCCGAACGCTGTCGTCCCTCGTCGAGAACTGGGGCCAGACCTGGCGGCATCTCGTCAACGACAGCCAGCTGCGCTGGATCGGCCCCGAAAAGGGCGTCGTCCATCTCGCCCTCGGCGCCGTGGTCAACGCCGTCTGGGACCTGTGGGCCAAGGTCCTCAACAAGCCCGTCTGGCGGATCGTCGCCGACATGACACCAGAAGAGTTCGTCCGGTGCATCGACTTCCGCTACATCACCGACGCCATCACCCCGGACGAGGCCATCGCCCTGCTCAAGGAACAGGAGCCGGCCAAGGCCCAGCGCATCCGCGAGGCAGAGAACAACCGCGCCGTCCCCGCCTACACCACCAGCGCCGGCTGGCTCGGCTACGGCGAGGACAAGATGAAGGCGCTCCTGCAGGAAACCCTCGGCAAGGGATACCGCCACTTCAAGCTCAAGGTCGGCGGTAACATCGAGCAGGACAAGAGGAGGTTGGCCATCGCGCGCGACGTCATCGGCTACGACAAGGGCAACATCCTCATGGTCGACGCCAACCAGATCTGGTCCGTGCCCGAGGCCATCGGGTACATGAAGGAGCTCAAGGAGTTCAAGCCCTGGTTCATCGAGGAGCCCACCTCGCCCGACGACATCCTGGGCCACAGGGCTATCCGCGAAGCCCTTAAGCCCTACGGCATCGGCGTCGCCACGGGAGAGATGTGCCAGAACCGCGTCGTCTTCAAGCAGCTCCTCATGTCCGGCGCTATCGACGTCTGCCAGATCGACGCCTGTCGCCTCGGCGGTGTGAACGAGGTCCTCGCCGTCCTCCTAATCGCTAAGAAGTATGGAGTCCCGATCGTCCCCCATTCGGGCGGTGTCGGTCTCCCGGAATACACCCAACACCTGAGCACCATGGATTACGTCGTCGTCAGCGGAAAGCTCTCCGTCCTCGAGTACGTCGACCATTTGCACGAGCACTTCCTCCACCCTTCCGTCATCAAAGACGGTTACTACCAGACCCCGACCGAGCCGGGCTACAGTGTTGAAATGAAGCCTGAGAGCATGGACCGGTACTCCTACCCCGGCGAACCCGGCGTAAGCTGGTGGAAGTCGGATGCCGCTAAACCTATCCTCGAGGGAGCGAAAATCTAAGCAAGGGAAGAAAATCCTGTAAGGATAAGGAGAATAAACGGGGGGTCACAAGTACAGAGTTGCTTCGTCCGCAGGGCAACGATGGCATCCCGTATAGTCGTCATGTATGTTCTTATACGTCGTCTATCCCTGAAAAGTACCGGATCAAATGGGAATCATAAATAGAAGAAAACGCATGGAGGGTTGGTTGAAAAATGAGTTCGCAGCGCAGCGATGACCTAAAAGGTCGTTCCATATTTTGGGCTTAGGTTCACTCGCTGAGGTCGGTTACCAAGATGGCCGAAAGGCCCCAACCCACAAGATAACGATGGCGACTTGTATCGCTCAAGCATTTCTCGTCGCTATTTTATTTCTTTGGCTTAGAAAAGGGAGATGTTGAAGGTCCAAGTCTCGGCTCGGTCGTCGTCGTAGAAATACGGAGGTAGACACCCCGAGCTGCGAAGGTTGAGGCACGGAGTTTGATACCTGGGTCGCTGTGATCACGTGATACATACAAAAGCCATGTCACCTCCGTTCTCAATGAGCACGTGTCCCTATGCTGAGACGTGAGCCGTCCGGCAGACGAAATATCGACTTGTCCCCCGTCTTGGTCTCATTTTTTCTCAGAGCTTCGACAGCAGGCTGTTATGGACCTCTGACTGACTTCAGCCCATTGTCGTCGTAGACGTTTGTACATAAAATTTTGTTACTCGATTCTTCGTTTTTTCTCATTACCTCGAGTCTACCTTACCCAGGCCGATGTGCTAGTGACAACCGAAGACAACCTAACCAGTACCACAATGCCCCCTAAAAAGAAGAGCACCAAGCAGGCCTCGGCCGCACCCGAGGCGTCCTCACCTGAGCGGTTTGAGAAGGAACTCAAGGACCTCGCCGCCAAGGCCCAGGAGCAGGGCGGCTGGCGATGGTTCCGAAAGCAGGCATCCATCTACATCAGGACGGGCATTCTGCTCACCCTCGTAGCGGCCGCCTGCAACGCGTCTTACTTGGCCCTGACGCCGGTCTACGGGGCCATCCCGACATCGGTGTGGCACTCGAAACTCGTCATGGCCGCCGCCTTCGCGGGATGGTCTGGCAATGTGTGGCTCTCCCGCATCCTGCCGTTCGACCCGGCCCATCTCCTCCCCGTGTTCGCGGCGTACATCCCGACCGTGCAGTTCTTCCTTTTCTCACTGAGCGGCACGCTGACGGCACGGTACGGACCGGCGGTCACCGAGCTCCTCACCCTGTTCCCGCTCGTCGCCCTCTCGTCCGCCACGGTGGCCAACCTCCTCGAAGGGGCCGACCTTTCCATGCTGCCGTCGTTCCTGGCCGATGCCGGGCCGGGAATCGGATCGTGGGCGCTGTTCAAGCTCGCCGAGAGCTTGACGGGCGGCTACATGCACGTCTTCCTGGGCTGGTCGTTCCTCACGTCCCGGGTCGGGTATGAGATCCTCCTCAGCCTTGCCTACACGCTGTTCGCGTCGTCCAACATCGCCGCCCTGGCCATTCCGGCCATGTACCACACCTCCATGCTTAACTACCACGTCCCGACGCCGGCGGCGACTGCCAAGCTCAACAGCACGCTGCAGGCCGAGGACTGGCTTTTGCTGGATCGCAGGGAATCCACGACGGGGTACATCTCCGTCATGGAGAGCCTCAAGGAGGGCTACCGCGTTTTGCGGTGCGACCACTCGCTGCTTGGAGGGGAGTGGACGAAAATCCGGCCCACGGACTCTCGGGTATCCGAACCCATCTATGGCGTCTTCGTCATGCTGGAGGCCGTGAGGCTCGTCCAGATTCCCGAGCCTGTCCCCGATTCCGAGGCCAAGGCACTTGTCGTGTAAGTCCTGAAGAAAAAAACTGCCCTCACATATTATTTCCTATTTTACCCTTTTTTACTGACACAGTAGGCAGCGGATTGGGTATTGGCACGACACCAAGCGGATTGGTGGCGCACGGCATCGACACAACTGTGGTCGAGATTGATCCTGTGGTTCACGAATTTGCCTCCAAGCACTTCACCTTCCCCGCCAACCACACTGCTGTCATCGATGATGCGGTGAGCTACACAGCTTCTCTTGCGGAGACGGATGCCAAGTTCGACTACATCGTCCACGATGTCTTCACGGGGGGTGCGGAGCCTGTTGACCTCTTCACGCTCGAGTTTTTGCAAGGTCTCAACACTCTCCTCAAGCCGGACGGTGTCATTGCTATTGTGAGTGCCCCACACTCTTCTCTTACTCCTTTTCCTTTTTACCCCCGAGCGATTCGCGAGTCTAATAACAAAACACACAAAGAATTATGCTGGCGATTTCATGCACCCGGCGCCCAAGATCGTTGTCAACACGATCAAGGAGGTGTTCCCCACCTGCCGTATCTTCCGTGAGTCCCCCGAGCCAGATGCGGAGACGCTGGCCAAAGAGGGCCAGGACTTCACCAATATGGTTATTTTCTGCAAGAAGACGGCCGGCGACATCACGTTTAGGGATCCCATTCCGGCAGATTTCCTTGGCAGCCGGTCTCGACAGGCCTACCTCATGCCCAGACACGAAGTGCGCGAATCCAGCTTCAAGTCGAGTGAGGATGGTGGTATCATGAGGAAGAATGAGACGCAGAAGCTGGCCAAATGGCACCAGACGAGTGCCCTGGGACATTGGGATGTGATGCGTATTGTTATACCCGGAAAGATCTGGGAGCTGTGGTGAGAAACTGTTTTCTCTCTTTCCTCTCCTTTTCTTTTCCTTGTCTTTTTTTTCTCTGTCGAAAGCTCTCTAGGCAAGGGCTTTTCGAGTCATTACAGAGAAGGCGCGATTGAAACATAAAAACTGTTTATCGGGACATATATACTGCAAATATCTGAAGAGAACACGCCGCGCCGCGAAGATGTGTGTGCCAACTTTATTCGCCCTCTTCTCAGGATTTCGGGGCTGCCTTTCGTGGGTTCGCAGCTTCCATAGCCGATTCAGCTCCTGATTGATTCCACTCGTCGATGGTGTCCTGCAAGTACGGAGGGACGTCCGTGACGGCATTGTACGGTCCTGGAATGGGGCTGCCAAAGGTAGTATGGACGGGGACCACGCCGGTCCAAACACGGCCAACGACGTCTGGGTTCTCGAGATCGTGTCTATCGTCGCTGGGGGGCCCGGCACGGATCTTGGCGCTACCAGTGGTGATGCGCACGCGGAGGACGCCGGTGGAAGACATCTCGGCGGCGTTGGGCGGCACGCGAGAGTTGGACCAGCGGCCAGGGACCACGGCGTCGGTCATGAGCTCCATAGCGTAGAGCTTTTCGGCGGTGTCCTCGACGAGGGTTGCGTGGCCGAAAAGGACAGCAGAACGGTAGTTGTAGCTGTGGGAGTTAGGGGTCAGGGCGAGGACGAGGCCATCGAGGTGGCTGGCGGCGACGCAGACAGGGAGGCCATCAGGTTCGTCGGCGGCACCGGTGGTTTTGCGGGTGGTGTTGATGATGCGGGACGAGACGTAGCCGTGGAGGTAGAGGTCGAGGACCTGGCCTTCGTCGGCGGAAGGACGATCGAAGGAGCCCATTTGGCCGATCATGGGAAGGATCGTCGGGAAAGAGCTGTCTGGGGGGTTGAAGGAGACATGTAAGATGGGGCAGGAGTTGATTATACCGTGTATGGTGCGCAGGGCGTACGAAGCTGGATGGATGGTAGTTGGAGTATATCAGCCTCTTGCGCTCCCAAATGAGAGGTGATGTTGTCAGTAGGCTAGGGATGGATTGGTCCCCAACTTACCGCGTGGGCTATAGCGGTTGACGGTGCCATAAGGCTGCTTGGGATACTCGAGCTCAGTGCGAGCCATTATGGGGTATATATGGAGGTTCTAGTTGAGGGATCGGAGGCCGAACTTGCTGAAGGCAGATTATGTAGAAGATAGATAATCGAGCCAAGAAGAGGAGGGAAAACTAAAGCCAGATTACTTATTACGATAATTACGACGGCTACCTTATTCTCACGAATATTATGAGTATAAGATGAGAGGAGGAGAGGAGGAGAGGAAGAGAGATCGGAATCATTCGAAGGTACAAATATATACCTACCTACCTAGGTAGGTAATAAGGTACACACATGCGCCCTTTGACTCACCCTGACCACAGGTCCATCATACCTGCCTAGGTATGCATTTTCTCCTGCGCGATCAGTGTTGGACGATGGTACCAAGGTCCGGAAGATACTACCCGCATCTCTCAATTCGTCAATTATACCATTAGCTTTCTCCGAATTATCTGTGTTCAAGAAATGCCCCCCAATGCTAATTTGCAGTGCCTATGTCCCCCTTTGAGTTCGCTGTTATGACCCTATGATAGCAAGACGCTCGCAATTCAAATGTATCACAGCTTAGACTGGGTGCTGCACGCTTTGGTACGTGGGCTGGAGCACCCCCGCAGTACACACCCACATGAACCTGCAGGTAATTATCGCGTGCAACACATTGGCCCTGCCATCTCAAGTCACTCAAGTCAAATAAATGCCCGATGTGGAAAGAAGACAGTATGAACTGACAGTATTAAATATACTAACACTGTATACGGCCAAGCTGGTCCTTCTCATTCATTCTACCTTACCCATCCTCCAACGTCTGGTGCCTTGTCTTCCCGACATCGAAACTCCAACCCTCTTATGATTTAAGTGAACATGCTAAAAAATTACAACGCGGCACGCCTTCTCTGGTACAATATCAGACTCGCACATCTTTCTCGTACAAACAAAACAAAATACACACAGACACTTAGCAGGTGCAGACGTTTCCTGTCTCTTTCGATCTTTGACTCGACCCTGGTCCTCCCAGTAACTACACAACAGTAGACGTGATGATTCGACGACGGGGACATTCCCCATGATACCTACAACATCCGGTCTTGACGTTGACAGGTCAAGAAGGAGAAGATGGGATGGAGATGAATGAAAGGTAATTACGAATACCTACCTACTTTGGTTCAACAAACTGCGGACGGTCACAGTCCCGTCTTCTACCCCCCTGGTCGTGCCTTGACCCCGTCCGTCCCTTTGGTTTCAGCACTGAAACACCATCGCAGGCTCGGCGTCACCCCTCTTCTGGGACGATGTCCGGGTGTTCGCAAAACCTCTACGACCCTCACTTATCATCCAATCGCGAACAGTGCCGACCTTTAGTGCGACGGGGTCAATTGAGACTCGGCTCGTTTGAGACTTCACGTCTTTGCCCTTCTGGTCCTCGTTCTCGTCCTCATCGGGAATCCCTCCTTTCCGCCCCGTCCGGGCCCCCTTGCGCCGCTGTCGTCCTCGTCCTCGTCCTCGCTTCCCCCACGATCAACGAACAACTTCGTTTCTACTCCATCATCACTATTTCCTGGCTTTCTTACCATCATCGGATGTGTCATTCTTTCTATCGTTCCCAGTTGAACGTCATGCCCATCTAGTTAGTATGAGGCTTTAGCTTTCCATCATGATCTGTTCTCTTTGTTCTTAATTCTTTCCTTCCCGACACCTCTCACCGCCCATCGACTGGGCTTTCGATTCCTTTTACGATAATACGGCTGGACCTGTTTAATTCTTACTCTCTCTTCTGCCTCACGGCCCTGTCGCCATGTCGTCTGCCTTTCCTGTGCAGAACGAGGCCTCGGTGGCTGCGTTTGCTTTGTGAGCGCCCCCCCTTATCAATCGCTTGTCGCCCGCCTGTACATATCGTCATCACCCGTGCCATGCTCTTGTTTTCTAATACTGGGAGTACAGTGGCATCACTTTCACACTTGCCGCGGTGCCGCTCTTTTCTCTATTCCGCGGTCATGGCATTCGAGTCTTTCGGGACGGCCTGAGGCTGGCCCTCACCACATTCTTTTCCAGCGCTGCCCTCTGGGCTCATGTCGGATTCGTCACCATTCTCCTCGACCCTACTTCCCGGATTGGCTGTCAGGTCATCATTGTTTTCGCTTCTCTCTTCGATCAACTCGCCCGTTTTGCCGTGTTGCAGTACCTCGTGTGGGCCATCAACCAGAACCAGGGGCTCAAATCTTCCGCCGATGCCTTTATCCCGCAGGCCCTCCTCGCCCTTCGTTTTATTGTTGGCGCCGTCTACGTTGGCTTTCAGCGGCCCCAGCTCGGCTTGGTTTGCCAGACACGTACCGAATGGATGGCCGTTGGCATCACCGTTGCTGCCACCGACGCAGTCCTCTTCGCCGTTCTCCTCCTCCGAGCTTTCCTCACTGGCCATGCTGATAATGCCCGCAGCGGTGAGCCTGGCGCGCGGCGAAGCAAGGCCATTTTCCATGTCATCTCCGGCTTTGCTTTGTGGACTGGGGTGAGCGCCACCTGCCCCACCGTTGAGGAGACGATAGGAGGCCATTCTATTGACATGAACCCATAGGCCAGTGTCCCGATGTTCTTGGGTATGGAGACAATGGGTCTAGCCCTGCGAACGGCTCTTCCTGCAGGTGCTCTGTCCATTCTTCTCGGTAAGTAGTATATCTGACACCGTTACCATGACCTGTCGTCAGCCCGCCTTGGTATTATGCTGACGCCTTCCCTCAGTCCTCGTCTCCCTGTCCGTGGACCATCTAGCTCTCTCTAGATCCGGTCCCTCGACGCTAGCTCAAGATACGCCGCCATCTGACGGAACGGCAACCCACCACCGAGATCTCTCGTCCGAGTCCAGTTTCCCCCCAAGCCGTTTTGAAGAACTGAAAGCGGGAAACACTACCTTCGCTACTGCATATCCTGAAGGACGATCAGTCGTTGGAGGAGGATTCGGCGCAAATGGGACTTTTGGCGCCGCCGCAGGCATAACTACTACCACTGTTGTAGGAGCGGGAACGAAAGAAATTCCCGCTCAAGCTCGACAAAGCCGTTTGGCCCTTGCCCGAGAGCAACAGCCGACGAAGCCCAAGAGGGGCATCTTCAGCCGAAAAAGCTCCGCAGCGACCGCAACCTCCGGGCAATTTGTCATTTCTAACCCTATCGTACAGCAGTCAACAAATGAGGACAGCCCTTTCCGCAAGATCGTCACCGTTGATCTTGCCACTGCAGCGAAGAACGAGCGGGAGCGAAGGGACATGGCTGCCCTACAAAATCCCGACAGTCTCATTGCCCAGCGCCCGGCCCCTCAACCTCCTGCGATCACCCGTGAGGAGATCATGCGAAGAAATCACAGCATTAAGCGCAAGCAGATCGCTCCCCAGCCTTCAGAAGATTCCCTATTGTCGGCAAGCCCGGCAACAGCCACCTCGACACAACTCTCCCCCGGCGTGGAGCAAATTCGCAGACGATCTCCTCGCCAGTCGCCAAAGGACTTTTTCCCTGTGGAAGAACAGGAGATGCCGCTAACGGCTCTTCAACATCCGCGTGTGGCCCCTCCCATACCCATACAAGAAGCTCGCACCGAAGCGCAGCCATCCGAACCTGCTGAGGTGATGGTGCCAGTACCTGCTGCTAACCGGCAAACCATCACAAGCCAGCAAGCTGTGATGGGTGCAGCCGTGAAGTCCGCAGCTGACCCTCCTACTCCGCCCAGGCGTCCTTCTCAGCCGTCTGCCGTGCGATCGTCCCCTCCACGGCCGCCGAGCCGGCCCGGGTCTCCTACTCGGCCAGACTTACCTACTACGTGGCCCAGGCAGCCGTCCGTTCGCGCTACTATCCGTCCCTCGAGAACACAGCCGTCCGCCGCTCAAAGGGCTGAACCAAGCGCGTCCTCCCAGCGGCCCCAAACAATGCGACCTGCCGTGGGGCTGCCCTCGAACCCGAGGGCCCAGAGCATGAAGGCTTTTGTGGAAAAGAATGCGGCGACCCACCCGACGGTATTGTTCATCAACAAGATCCAGTATGATCATCCTGATGTTGTGCAGAACATCATTTCCGAGGCAACAGCGACGGAACAGAAGGCCTTTCCACCTCCCGCAGCCGGTCAGTCAACACAGGAACCGCAACAGAGGGAGTCGATTCTTCATCGGCCCAGGCCCATCCCACGACAACCCGAGAAGGACCGTCAGCTGTTCCCATCCGAGCAGTTTATCACCAGGCACCAGAGGTCACGCTCCGGTGGCTCCCTCATCAGTGGGAAGTCCATACTGCGATCCGATCCGGGCAGCCCTACAAAGCTGCCACCGCTACCGCCCCCGCCGAAGACCGCAGGTGTCCCTGGCAGGCCACTTCCAAACGACACACGGAGCATGACGTTCGATGAGAAGATGAGTTTCTTCTTCCCAGCACCACCCAAGAGCGATACGGGTAACTCCGTGGCCAGAGACTCGATCCCAGACGTGCCTCCCCTCCCTTCGGCTTATATGCCAGAAAGAAACAGAAATCTCGTGGAGTCGTCAGCAGTCCGTAGTCCCACTCCCCGTCGGGCCCAGTCGAGAAAGTCGGATGGCTCTACCAAAACGTCGGTCCGTACCTTGAGCATCTTCGACATTGAGCAACTCGCTCCACGGCTGACCGAAAAGGGCACTCGCTCCGTCTCCACGTTCGTTGCCGATACGTATGTGACCGCTGAAGGGAATGGGAACGGGAAAAGCGAGCCCGGTAACGATTCCAGGTTCGCGCGACCCAGGACGGCCGACAGCACCAATCGATCCGAATGGTCCGAAGGGTCCAAGCGAAGGTCTTCTCAGGTGATTCCAGGCCAACAAGGATCAATGTCCGAGTTTAGCGATACCCATACCCGCGACGAAGAGACGACCACGCAATGGGGATCTATTCATTCACCGGTTGTCGCCGTCAACATCAAAGAGGCACGATGTGTTCCCAAATCAATGTATATACAGCAGCACCCTGACATTGACCGCGAGGCCCGGAACCCCTCGACTCCGGACTCGACCGACTGTGAAGGAGTCGTGACTGTCATGCTTGATACTGGTGCCCAGGGCAATAGTCATAATACACCTGTCCCGAGGCGGCTAGTCGAACCGAAAGTCAACGACGGTTCCGCCTCTACCGGTTCTCACCAAACCGGCTGGCATCACCGCGTGGGAGACGAATGCGCAACGTTCTCGGCCAGGAAGGAGAGGGTCGTTTCGCGAAGGATGCCGCCACCGACGCCGCTCTTACTTAACATGACGAGCAGCAATGCCTACGTGATCCGGGCCGCGGAGCCTTCCCCTCTGGACTCACCGCAAGAGGCATATGAGGCAATCCAACGACAGCTCAAGGACCTTGAAGAGGCCAGCCGCATGTCGGTTGGAAGCGATGGCCAAAAGATTCGCCTGCTAGAAAGCCTCGAGCGCGAGATGGGCCAGCAAGAGAACCAATGGCACGAAATGCAAAACGGCCTGGGTCGGAATTCTATCTCGACCGTCGAGACGACAAGCCGAGGTCCCTCAAGGCCTACGTCCAATGCCAATATCTGGGCCGTCCTTTCCCCTTTGTCTCGTACTCGATCATTGGCGCCGCCGCCTAGGGCGGATTCCGCAACGCTCGGAGTGTCCATGCGCTCAGATACTCTGCACCCGGCGAGCTGGCAGCACAACCTTGCTCTGGCCCAGTTGAAGGACCATGCGGAACACCTGCATCCGCTCTCGGCTTCTAGCCACCTCAAGGTCTTCTCTGTTTCCAGGGCTCAATTGTCAAGTCCCACACCGCCAGACACGGACGAGTCGGACGAGTCAGACGGCGAGGACAACGAGGACCTTATCCGAGTAAAGGCGATCCTGAGCCGCAGAGATGCCCCAGTGGCCAGACTCTGGATTCCCAAAACGAGCCATGTCCCAGATCCTACTAGACGATGCTTGCTGTGGAGCCCGGCACCGGAGGGACCAGTCAAGCCTGTTGCTCCGGCAGAGCTTCGCGCTTTGTCTCTTCGACCAGCTGTTCGCAAGATCCTCGAGCCTCTAGCCATTGCCAGTTCCAACCTGTGGATGCCCAACCGTGCAGTCTCAATCAAGCCGCGTGCTGTCACCATTGGCCTCTGGAGAGGAGCTCCGATTCCGACTTCCTCCCAGACTCCCGCGCCGGCGGCTAAACCTCGCCCGGTTACCCAACGCCCGCCGCGTCGCAGCAAACGGATTACGTTCCTTCCTGACATCCCCGAGAGCCCCAAACCGTTGCCCAACAAGCGAGATACTCTAGGGATCTTCCGGTTTCCATGGGGCGAGGTTTCTGACGAGGCCACTGTTCAGATGCGGCCAGCAAGCAACATTCTGATGGCCATGCCGGGCACCATGTCCAGTGGTGGCGGACGAATGATGATGAGGTCCGCGCCCAGCGTCTACGATGAGTCGTCATACTTCGACGACGAATACGACGAGGGAGATGATGACGACGCCATCTCTGAGATCAATGAGAACAGTGATGACGATGACTTTGACGAGACGACACTCTGGGAGATTGCGAACCTCTTGAAAACGAACCAAATCCCGTCCAAGAATAGCCTGTTGCCCCCTAGTGACTATGCTCTTCTTTCATCGCCGGGAGAATTTGGGTTTGACTTGTCTGACTACGATGAGGACGATGAAGTAGATGAGACCGAGGAGGAAGAGGAGGAGGATAGTGTGGAGTTCCATCATGACTCGAACACCATCGAGTTTGATGTGAATGCTTTCCCTCGGCCCCCTCGCCCTTCAGCCCTGTGGGACGGCAACGCACAACAAGCTCCTTCTTCTCTCAGCCTCGGTCTGCCCCAGCCTGACATGGATACCTGGAAAGGGTACGTGGTCACAGCGGCGAATGCTGTGGTGCGTCATCAGTATCAAAACACCGAGCCTTCACTCATCCACAGCGACTCTTTGTGGACCTTGCCGGTGAGCCAACAATCCGCCGTGACCGAGGCATCTGATGTGCTTCTATGGAGCGCACCGCAGCCAGATTCGGCAAATACAAGCACAAAGAAACCCTCGCTCTGGACAGCCCCAATGTCCATCGTGGCTGACGAGTCTGAGGGACTTTTTAGCGCTAATCACAAGCGGGTTGACCACCCATCGACTACTGCTGAGCCCGCGGCTTGGCATTTGATTCGCAAGCCCCGTTTGCTGGACGAGCCTCTCGCCCGTCTGCCTCTTTTCTCCAGGCTTTGGGACAAGCCACAGCCTGCTGCCGATTCTCCCTTTTGGATTGCGGGCGTTTCCCCCTCGACTACCAACGAGGCTGTCGAACTGCCACTGCAGATGCGGTTCAATCTTTGGGTCGCTCCTGTCCGAGACTCAACCGAAGAACCTCGAGGCCTCTTCAGCCCCACCCAGAAGCGCGTGGACTACCGGACGACATGTTCTGAGCCCGTTGGTCTCCAGGTTGTTCTGAGGAAGACTCGAGTAATGGAGGAGCCACTCCAGGAGCTGTCATTATCTTCACAGCTTTGGACCAGACCGACTGCGCTTACCAGTGAACTTCCTGCTCACACGCCTCCTCTCCGGGATGCCGTTGCTGCAGTCGTCACCTCCGCTTTCAGTGAGAAGGCGACTTTGTCGATTTCTTCGGTAATACCCAGACCCAGTGTTCTTTGGGCGAGTCCCGCTGTGATGGATGTCCCGGAGCCGAAAGGGCTCTTCCAGCCCGGCTCTGGACGTACTGTCTTCCGAACAACGTCTGCCGAACCTGCTGCCCTGCACATGCCCCGAAAGTTGCGACTTACCGAGGAGCCTCTCCATGAGTTGCCGAGTTCATCTTGGCTCTGGAACCAACAACAGCAGGCTGACGTCAAGCTGCGAGGCACCTCTCGAGGTTTGTGGAGCGCACCCGAGGTTACAGCCTCCACGACGAATGAGTCAGACATCGGACAAGACAGCTCAACATCGGCATCGCTGTGGACTGCGCCCGCCGAAAGCATTTCGGAAGACTACGAGGGCCTCTTCCAAGCGGCCCGCAGGGGAACCACTTGCCGGACCACGTCCGCGGGACCAGCTGCTTTGGACATGATCCGTAGGCCCCGTGCCTATGAAGATCCTCTTCCCGAGTTGACGTCTACTTCACTCTGGACCGCCGGGGCCATGGGTTCGTACGAGTACGACTGGATCAGCATTGCCTCGGTTGGTCTTCAGAGCCCGTCTTATGCCTCCTCATCTGGCCAGAGCTCCCCTATTTCCGAAACAGCGTCCATGAAAACCACCTCGACCAGGGCGTCCTCAATTGTTCCTCCCCGACAGCATGTGTCCTTGATCCACGGTTCTACAAGCACCAAGCCGCAACCTGCTGGCAGGCCGGAAACCAACCGCGGCACCAGACTCTCGATCCTCCCTGAGCAGCCTGAGCTACAGTTCACACTTGCCGCGCCGCCCACCAGTGTCCATTCTACCAACAAAGTGGCGACACCTCCTCCCATCCGGCGCCAGTATCGGCCTCTTCTTGCCTACCGTGCCGACTGGGATGCCGCTCTCCAAGAAGCCATCAACGCATCTCGTCGCGTCAGGCGGGGTGAGACCACATCCGCTGACGGGATCGCAGCGTTGAAAGAGGCCATTGCGGCTGGGGCCAAGGCCAACACTGTCACTACCCTTCTCCCTAGCGCCCTGCCCACCCGGGGACTCTGGACAAAGCCCGTGTCTCGGACACCAGCCATCCCCAGTCTGTTATGGTCTAGTCGTCCATCGTCCAAGTCCTCGTCCCCTTCAGCGAACCCGGTGGGAAGCGAAGCCGAGGATGCAGAAGCTCATCAGCTGCGACGCAAGCGCTTCAAGGCCAGGATTCCTAGCAATGGAAAGACCGTGATCCGCGGTCAGATAGTCGCCATCGAGGGGGGTGTCGATTCCGCCCTCGTCGGCTTGGTGGACGTGCCCGGCCAACGGCTGTGGAACAGGTGTGAGGGCGTGGAGCGCAGGAAGCGCGCCGTATGCGGAAAGGATACGAACTGGTTGGACTCTCGTAAGCAGCTTGCGCGGTTTTCCAAGGTGGTGTTTCGGTACTGAACCATCTGTTGTAACGGAGGAAGGCCGGCGGTGAAATCTTGTAGGAATGATCTTCTGTAAATTTATACACACTCGCGGTATTTAATGCACTTGTCTGAGAGCCGGTCTTTCTTTTTATTCGCCACTTTTATATCTCTCGAGTCTCTGTTTTGTATAATACCAGCCAAGCGTAGCGATGCAAAAAAAAATACATAAAGCAAAATTCGTTTATTTTTCTGCCTCCTCCCTTTAACAGCTTAGATACCTGGCGAGTTATTCATATGCGGTCCCGTTGGCGCAATGGTAGCGCGTAGCTTTCCGGTTCCAGTGGAAGTTACTTGGCTAAGGTTGCAGGTTCGAGTCCTGTGCGGGACGCATTTATTTTTTGCTCCCAATCCCCGCTACACGGAGCAGTGAGAGTATATTGAGAGGGGTTTCGTTTTCTTTTGTTTTCTCTTTTGTATGTTTTTGTTCTGGTCTGTGTCTCACCATGAAGCTTGTATGTACAATCGTTTTTCGACCAAAGACCGTTGGCAACAACTGTCCCGAGGTAGCAACTCTACTATACAAGCCATCACCCCATGCTAATTGTTTATTATCTTGCCTTTCTTTAACAACGCCGAAGTCGAACTTCTTCCTCTCTGCATGATGCTTAGATAGGCGCGAAGGCGTGGAAAGAAGAAAAGAATGTTTCTCGACCATTAACATCCCCCTCCCCCCCCCCCTTCCCTTGGCGCATATGAACAAGGAGGAGAGCAAACACAACATAACATGTGCCGGATAGGACATCATTCGCTCAACCTCAACTAGAACAAACATGATCATCGTGATCTTTCTTTTACTCTTTATTCCGAGACTTAAAAAAAGACAAAAAAAAACCCATCATCATAATGCCATTGCCCAACCCTTCGCCCTTCCTGTGTATGTGAAAGAGTCCCAGAAACCAGAGTCCATGAGGGCCATTGATTCTTGTCTAGTCGTCGCTGTAGAAATCATGCCAAATCCTCCTTTTTAGGCCCCCTCAAGTTTACTCTTTTTAGTTTTTGATGCATTTCATCCCGCCCTTATTTCACCTCTTCTTCACTTTCACAGTCATCTCGTGTCTCTTCACTTCTTCGCCCTGTTGTCGTCGTCCGCTCCAGCCAGACACCAAAACTGGCAACTTTTTTGTTTCCTTCCCCTTCCCCAAGCCATAAAAGCGATTAGCTGTAAAAAGTATCGGCCCCGAGCGTCACTCAAGAAGAGGTGATACGGGAATGGGCGGGACTCTTTTTTGCCGTCGTCCTCCGGGTGTCGGAACTATCCCGCGTTGTAGGTCGAACGCAAGTCGGAAGAAACCAGCTGGAAGGGAATACCCGACTGACATCCGTCACTTCGTTGTCCCCTCAACTTTCGGTGCGTACCTGACGCGGAGCACAGGCCGCAGAAATCTTCCGCCAACTCATATGTGCATGCCGTGGAAATAGAAACATTGAGAAAGAAAATAAGACATAACATCCTGACCATCGCTATGCAGGTAAGGAAAAGGAAAACCGAGGTTATTCGTACATGTACAGACAAGAAAAAAAAAGAACTGGCCATGAGTTCATCGGGTATGTGTGTGTGTGTGTGTGTGTGTGGTGGGCCATTATTGACTGGCTGTGTTTTGGTCGGCTCTAGCTGACTGTCATCATCTGCATCCGCTGAGACAGACCACTGGAAGGGGACGCATCGTGTGCCACGCGGCCGAGTGCTGAGTTGCTGCTTCGGCTGTGGGGAAGACGTCTGGGTGGGCTAGAAGAAGACCGCGATTCCGGTGTAAAGACGCGGGTGAATGCTGGGCTCTCTTTGCCCCGGTCCGATCGCCGAGGGGTTCGCGCTGGGCTTTGCGTGATCTGGTCCGCACGTCGAATCACCTCCGAGAGGCTGTCCCTTAGGTCGCTTGCTCGTTTAACCAGTGCCTTGAGGTTGTTGGTCCCAAAGTGCACCTTATCATCGGCCCCCCCGGAAGCGTGAGAAGAACCTGAAGTAGACCGTTGCTGCATGGCGTCCAGCACCGACTTGACGATATCGGTCACGTCGCGTCCACCCATATTAATGTTGTTTTCAGGTGTCTTTGGCCGCGAGGAATTGCTCGCGTCGACAGTAGACATGTTGCCGCCGCCGAAGATATCGTCATCCGGGGAGAAGACCGACCGTCTTCGTCCGGATGGCCGCTCGCGAATCACCGTCGTTTTGGCCATGCGAAGGTCTGGTGGGGTCTCGAATGGATCTTCCAGTTTCTTCAGAAGGTCGGGATCAAGCTCCTCATCCGCCGCCCGCTCGCTGAGAATTGAGTGCTCGAAATCCAGTTCGGAAGACTCAACATCCATGCCTTCCAATTCGTCCTCGTCTGGAGATGCGAGGGTGATGATGCCCTCCGCTTCCTTCCAAAGGCCGGCATGAGTTCCGTTTACAAGGTCCAGATCCCGGCCGTGGCGACAAAGTCGTTTGAGGTCGTTGACTAGTAGTGACAGCTCCCTAATTTGACCGGAATGCTGCTTCAGACTAGGCTGGGAAGCCTGAATGGACGCGGGGACGACCATGGCAAAATTGTCCTCGCAATCTATGCCTTCACCGGAGTCGGCACTACCAAACTCGAAATCGTCGTCCCAGTCTTCACTCGCTCCCTTGGTGCCCAGGCCCCAAGTGCCGTACTTTTGAGACGCTCCTTTGGCCGCGTCTGGTGGCTCATACAGAGCCGGAACGCTTTGGCTTCGAACGTGGGCGGCGAAAGGTCCCTTCCGATTCGACGGGCGGCCGCCTCGCATGTCCATTTCGTGCTTCCCATGGACCGTCCTGGGCCGGAGGAAGTGACCGTCGGCATCGACCTTATCAGTAACCGATTCGGTCCAGTCGAAGATATTGCTTCGTGGTCGTTCAGCCGCCCGCAAACCGCGAGGAACGCCGACGACCTCTTCACCGGTGCCATCAGCTAGGGCGAGGCGCAGGTTGGAGCTGACACCGCGAGAATTCGTTGACCCGGGCGGTGAAAGATGATTACCAAACCCCATCTCTTCTTCCTCACGAGCCCATTCGTCGTCGAATTCATCGTCAAAGGAGAATCGCGAGACGTCTCTGTTCGATACAGACAAATCGAGAGAGGGGCGTTCAAGCCCAAGACGATCAGCAGCTGGGCCTTCTGCGTCCGTATCGGGAAGGAATATTCGCTCCTGGCGTTCTCGTACGGGTGTCGGTATGCTCTCATCTTCCTCCATTATTCTGTCGTCTGCTTCCCAAGCCCGGCCAAGAATTTCCTGGATCGACAAACGCTTGGTTCTGTTGTTCTTTACTGCGGTGCTCGGGGGTGATTCGTCGAACATGGATTCAGCCGGGCTTTCCGGTGCTTGGTTGCGACCCGAAGCCATGGTCCGTACCGAGTCGAACATGGTCATGGTGTCGCTCTTGAAGTCTGTGTCATCGTCATCGCCGGATTGAAAGCCTCTGACTTCCATGTCGGAGCTGTTCAGGGTAGAGCTACGGCCTTGTCTGCGCATCCTGAGAGACGATGTTGTTGCTGAGTACAATGAGCCTGCAGTGGCAGAGTCGGGTTGAGATAATTGGACCGCAGGCGGCGGAACTCCCTTTGATACGTCGAAGTTGAAAGTCGAAATATGGGACAAAGGGGGCAGCGGGGAGGACGCATTGCGCGAGCGCTTCATTGGGCGACTGGATGGGGCAGAACCGCCGTCCGCATGGCGCAGCGGAGTTGGTTGCAGTTCACCTGCATCACTTGCAGGACCCGCGGGGTTATCAAGGAAGCTGCGAGCCACTCCTTGTGGCATGGGCGCAGATACGTGCCGTGCATTGTTTTCTCCTTTCGGATCCACGCCGCGTTTCGGTCGGCGAAGACTACCAGCCCTTGAAAAAGGGTTATTTGGCGAGAAGGTAAATGAGATGGAGCGCCTGAGACTCTTCGCCGGTGTCCCTTCCGAGGTCGAGTTGTCCCTCTCCAATTCGTGGAGGTCCTGCCCGGGTCCAGTCGAATCGTCCGACATGAAGGCCGCCTCGACAGGACCAGACGGTGCCGCAATCATTCCGCCCTTGACAAGGTAGACGGTCTTCTTTTCTCCCACGAATGCCCGAATACGTTTGGAAAGAGGCGGTGATGAGCGGTCCAGACCACGCTCGGGTGTTGCCCTGTTACCCTTCACATTGACGTTGACAGCCCGACTATGAAACAAAGACACCCAGCGGGGTTCTTCCTGGTGACTCAGTGATGGTACTTCTATAGGAGATAGCATGGGGACGTCTTCGTGTAGAATTTGCTGATCGAAAGAGAATTTTGGAGGCAAGGGCCCTTGGGTGAAATCCCAATCCAAATTCGCTTGCTGAAGGGTAGCGGATCGCTGGTGGCTCGTTGCTGGACGGCGGAGAGTAGGGAGATGAGACCTAGCTCGACGACGCGCTACAGGGCCGTTCGGCTGGATGGAAGAAGTGCGTTTTACCAGCTTGTTGGGCGGCAGCGGGCCAGGAACAGACCCGGTCGGTGACAATATAGGTGCGGACGAGCGGTGCGAGAAGGCAATGGATTGGGTGTCTGGGCCGGTGCTAGAGAGAAAGCTACCATGTTGGGACAATGGCCGAAGAGATAGGCGTCTTATCCACGAGCCAGCGGAAGAAACGGAGTCACGCGCGTTTTCAGCGATGGGTTGTTCAGCAGCATCACCGTGCTGAGATGACGGTTGTCTTCTTTGGTTGGCTCTGGGAGGTGTCAATTGGGAGCTCTGGGGATGTTGTTGGCCGGTCGAGTTCGCAGCCGGCAGGCCCGAGCTGAAGTTATCGGGGAGGGGGGTTATGTTGTTGTTGTTGTTGTTGTTATTGTTGTATTGGGTCTCTTTGATGTACGGGACACGGCTAGCGGAGCTGGTGCCCGGGCGAGACGAAGCGGGTGCGCTACTCAGTCGAGAACGACTCGATGGACCTCCATACTCGGTATGAGGCCTCGGCCTGCTTCTTACGGCCGATGTTGGGTGTAGATCACCGTCGGGGCGAGCGAATACGAGGCCGAGGGCCGCTGCAGCAACCGCGGTACCAGAACCAACGAGCTATGGGAAGAAGGACAGTTCGTTAGCCTCTCGTCTTCTTTTTCTTTTCCTTGTTTCTTTGATCTTTTTCAATGCCACTGCTCGGGGGAAAGAGGGAAGATGGTTGGAAGGTGGCAGGGTCCTAGACAAAGGAAGGAAGTGGCGAGGGAGAGAGTGAAAATAGTAGTAGAACGTCAAGTCGAGGAGGCCACGCCATTCAAAAACAAAAGGGACGGTCACGTACACTTGGAACGGTCTGCATGTTTGCCGAGCGGGTCGACTCAAAGGGCGCAGCAGACCAGGGGAAGCATGCGGGCGAAACTGTTGTCTATGGTATCGAAAGACGGAGTGAGCATCGTCAAGACATGAGGGTCCAGGTGCCGTGGCGGAGCTGAGGAAGGCAGGGAGACGACCTGACTCGCCGGGTCGTATGCAAATTAACGAAGCGGAAGAAAGAAGGGGGAAAGAGGAGAGGATACGTGGGACAACAAAAACTGAGGCCCAGCTCGAGGTGTAGGGTCGAAAGTGAAGTTAAGGGTCGGGGGGTCGGAATCGGAATCGAGGGAGGAAAGAGACTCGAGATGAAAGGACGAGACAGGATACCTCGGAAAAGAAGTCCAGGAGAGAAAAAAAAAGATGCTAACAAGAAGACAAAGAAAGGAAAACCCCTACTGCAAAATACCTTCCACCCGAGCTTCAATGCCTCCAAACTTCCCCGGATAAGAAAGAAAAAAGGTCCGATGAGGAAGATGAGCACCAAAGGGAGACTGCTGCAAGTGCAAGGTAAAGGGAATTCGCAGCGGAGAGGAAGAAGAAAAAAAAGATGTACGGGGCGGATGGGAGTGAGGTTAAGGAAAGACAACAGACAACACGGAAAGGGAAGAAAAGGGCAACCACAGCGACGGTGGATCGGAGTGGAGCGAGCCTTGTTTTGGGAGAGGGGGTTAGGTCAGAGAGAGTGGAAGGGAGATGGACCTTGAGGTCACTGTGGGTAAAACGAACGCCCCCAAAAGGGCCCAAGCTTCCCCGTAAGCCGGAATGACGGCAGGTGCTTGCCCACTGTAGCCGGACCTGCTTTAGGTCGTTCCCGCCGCGTCCGTCGGGGGGGAAGGGGGGGAGACGCAAGATGTGCGGGTGTCTACAGGCGCCGAAACAACACATCAAGCCCAGTCTGAGCCCTGCGAAGAAGTCTTCAAGGTAAGGTACCTGCACGCATCGTCCATTGATCGTTGGACCTGGCAGGGCAGGTACGACGTAAGTTATTGGCGTGGCGGAAGGGAGCTGGTATAAGGGAGCTGGTATACGCATGGACTACCTTATTCGTGATATGTAATGTGTATCGGTAGTATGGCGTTGAGGTATCCGTACATCGTATATGTTAGGTACTAGTAGCGTGTACGGTACCATGCCCTTACAGGCAGGTGTATATACCTTACGGGAGGGAATGTTTATTCCGTACAAAAACCTGGACCTCGACGCCAAAACGTTGCCAACTGCCAATTGATTGGGAACCTATTCCCGGGATAGGAAACTTGGACGTTTGATCTCCGCCAACCAGAAGGAGAATCCGGTTCCAATACCCCAGGCGTATCGATGGTTTCGCTATACGACGCGCGTATCCAATGCAACTCACGCATGGTTCTGAATGCATGAGACCAAGGAACAGGGAGAAGGGAGAACATAGGCATCATCATGATGATGAGAGCGAGGGACAGGAACACCGAACAGAACTGGACCTAGACTTGGACCTGGACCATCCATGAACCATCCTTACCCACTACCTAAACGGACTTTTACCTAGAATTAGCTTTGCCGCTAAAATTACCAAGCCGATGCAAAACAACAACAGGATACAACAGTCAGCGCCGCTAGCTAGGATCCAGCCAGAGGCGCCCATTCGTTTGCATCTCACGCAGCCTATTAGCCACCCCGGTACGAATTATCCGGCCAACCAGCCAGTCAACGGATTCTCTCGTTTCTCAAAACAACGCCGAGATGGGCATCGATCTCCTAAGATTAGCGCGGCCGGGCTGAGACCTATCATCTCTCGAAATATGTATCTGAACGATCGCCTATGTACGCTAATAATAATAATAATAAAGGAACCGCGGAGCCTCGGTCTCCAATCTTGGGTCTTGGTTCATGATTAAATCAGGTAGTCAAATTCAGCCAACATATTTGGGCATATAATGCAGATACATATAGGGACATCACCCAGAGTCTCGGGCCAGGGCAGGAATGTATCTCGCAATATACCTACATATTGCTTAAAGTCTAAGGTACCTTACCTTATGGAAGTATGAAAACTACTTTATTACTCTGTAGACACCACGAGCCGCGATGCAAAGCACTTTCTTTCCTGCTCTTTGTTCTTCGCGCCTCGACTTCTCTCCATTTTATGCCAAACACGGTTCCTAGGTTGTACAAGAATTCATGAGAGTACGCATGTACGTGTACCTCACTCGCATTGTTATGCGGGTCCATCTGGGATTTCACCTTTTATTTGATGTCTTTCGTGCATGCATCCTGCGTAGGTACTTCGGTTTCGGTACTTCTATGACCTTCTCCAGAGACTACTACTACCTTACACGTACCGTGCCTTATATTCAGATAGCCACCCGGGTCTAAGGTACCTTATTAGCGACTCGTGGGCCAGAAATTAGGACTGAAGTGGGGAAGTCTACGGACTGCTTGCTTCGTACTTTGTTTATACGTCGTACACTGCTAATGCTTATCGTACCTTGAGAGGACCGGGCCCTGAATAGGCGCCTCAACATTGGACTGCTTCTCTTCAACATGTACGGAGTAGTTTGGTTTGGCAGGGAGATCCGATCTTCAAGGAGCCACCGGCGCTTGCTCGCAGCAGAGCTACATCACAACTGCCGCTCATGAAATGCCTTTTTTTTCTTTCTTTTTCTGTCCTTTTCTTTTAAGGCTGATCTCTTCTCTCTCGCTAGCAAGTTTGTGCCCTTGTGTCACCCTCGCCGTCCCCCAGCTTTCGCCAGTCGGGAACCAGCATAGAAAGGGAAAGGAATGGCTTCCCATAATTAGCGTAATCCTTGGTGAATTCTCCACTCTCTGCCGACAGGGGGCCTGGGTGTTTCTCTATATCCTACACCCATAGTCCTCCGTACGCACCATGCTGTATCCGTAGGTATTTACGAATACATGCATTTGATTTACATTTGTTGCTTTGCCTGGCCAGTGCGCTGCTGCTTTTAAATCCATTTCCTACAAAGCACAAAGTACGGATACAAAAGTCTCGGCTTAATACCTCCCGTACCTCCCTCGTATTAATTAGCTTTGACACACAAGCGGGATACATACTGCAATCCTCTTGGCCAGACTTAAACCTTTCCTACTCCGTAATACTTCCCATCCTCGTCTTTCGGACTTCATTTCTGTCAAATAAGGGAAGGGTCCTCGGCCTAAGTACAAAGCCCATACAACACCCTCCACTCTTGTGTCTTCTCCGTCCTCCTACCGATCTCGTGTCCTACGGATCGACAGCCGCCTGGTTCCCAGATCTGTAATACTCAATCAAGGTACCGGCTATGTTCTATCAGGCAAGACCCAGGAGCAATGGCATGTCGCGGGCGGCGGCTTCCCTCGTAGTCCCTTGTGTTCATCAAACCATCATCGCGTACGTTGTATTTCGACTGCATGCGACTACGAACGATAGCGTATTCGATCACTGCTTCCATATGTCCAACGTATCTCTCTCATGCCCCCTGTCTCCGCTTTTCCTGTAAACACGCCTTTTTCAAGACTCCATGGACACACGCCATCAGTATCAGTTGACTTGTTCTCACCTCCCTGCGTACCTGCGGAGAGGCTATGCTTAATCCGTCGTCGGCATGTGCAATTCGTTCTCCCCTTTCTCCATATTTAATGAGGGGCCGTTCCCCTCGCTCATCCCCCTCACACAGTTAGTTAGTACGAGCTACGGCCACATTTCTTTGGGTACTGGGATAAGACGCCGCGAACCCGCGCCGTTTTGGGGGTGACGCCGGCGGGAGGGGAAGAGAACGGTGAATGTTGGATTCCATAATCCGATGGTCCTCGCCGGTCGTAAGAACTAATAATACTAAGATACCTAGCCACTAACAGGCTCCGGCTAACGAGAACAGGTTTGGTTCTGCCCCCTGCATCGGAACGGCGGGCTTCTCAAAACTCAAAACTCGGGACTGAGCCTCAACGTAGGGCAAGAGTCGCTTGTCCACTTGACCAGCGTGGGGGGAAGGTTCGCTTGTGACATGACAGGCCAATCTTACCCGCGTAGGACAAGTAATTTAGCATTAATGAATGTTACGCACAGGTCAGAAGCTCTGGTTGCTCATTGGCCTGAATGCGTATTTAGATATTGACCAGTTTGGCGAGTTGCCGAGGGCTACCAGTCGTGAACTAAACCATCTCAGAGCAACGCGTGTGCAACACCATGACATATCCCGCTGGCGAATGGACGCTGGCAAGGTCCTTTTTGGAGAGATGAAGAAGACAAGAGTCTCAACGACTTTAGTATTACGATTTGTGTGCGGACACTTTGTGCAGTACGGAACGGATACGGACACTTAAGTTGGGGAAATTATCATTATGCTTTCATTCCTTCTTCTGCACACTTCGCTGGCAGTATGTAGCTAGGAATCTTAAGAATGGTCAACACGGGGTTTGTGATCTCGGGCTGCAGCATCAGTGCAGCGACTAATCTTAGTGAAAAGGGATTGTTTCGCGCTCCGTGCCATTGGCGGACAGGGGGGTGGAGGAAAAGGGAAGCCTTGCTGAGTCACATACTTCTCGTTTTAAGGATAAGGTACCTGGGTACGATGGATCGAGCGAGTCTCGAAACATGGGCGAACGGTGCGCGATCTGGACGCGTTCGCTAATCTGGAACTCGACCACGGATCAACCCCGGACCCTGTCATTGCTCCCACCGAGACTCTCGAGTGATTGCTGGCACTCCTAATTTGCTGTACCCCGATCTCTTATTTGCCGGAATTCCTCAAAAGAAACGTGTCTAGCTAGGCACAGATTATAAAGTAGCAGTCGCCGGTATGGTCCCTCTTATCCCTCTTCGCTCATACGAAGGGGAATTGTTAATTCACGAAGCCCTCACTTCTCAATTCGTGATCATGAGGTTCTTCGAAGTTGACATTGCATTTTTGTCGGGAGACCCGATACAGCGGTTGATTATGGGCTTGTCCAACGTGTACGGCATGTTCGTGTCGTGCTGTTGTCATGCCCCCGTGTTGCTTATGCTGGTGCGGAGTCGAGCGCCAGGCGGTATTGCGGTATTGCGGTATTGTAACGTTAATCCATGGGAGAGTAGGACATTCGCCCATCTTGATAAATCCTTCATCACCCTACCTTACCCTAACAGAGATAACTGGAGCCTTTATTACAGTGTATACTGTGTGACAAGCACTATATTATACGTACCTATACAGCCTCTTTGCCGAATTTCGATATACCTTTCCAAGTCACGTGTGTTCCCACGTGCCTCTGATTTCGAATCTGTGGACAGTTTGTATCCGGAGATACCCCGGGCATCCAATAACAGGACCCCGCCAAACCTCATCCCTCCATTCTCACTGAATAGTGGAACAGGAAAGACGGGAAACGGACAGTGAGATGCAGTCAGAGCCTGTGTATCGCCTTTGCCAAGGTCCCTTTTGCATCCGGGTTTACCATTACCACCAGAGACGATCACCAGCATCCCAGCATCTCTCATACAAATAAATCACACTCATCAGCCGGACCAGCAAATATCTCCCAACATGGAGGCGGAAATCAGAAGTGTCCTGCCCAACATCGATCCGGTACTCTCCGAGTACTCTGCGGGCTATCTGTCACATGCCTCAACTTCGTATGCCAGTGAAGACGATGCGGCTGGGGCTTCGCCTCTAGAAGAGGCGGCGCATATGATCACCGAGCTCCTTTTGTCTGCTTCGGGAGACGCCGATGTCAAACTCCAGAAGCAGATCCATGAGCTGGTAGAGAAATGGGTCGAGAAGTATAATGCCGCCAATGGCCACGAGCGGAGAGGGCCTTCGGCAGTGAGACGTCTAGATCGGTCCATTCAAGTCAGCTCACAGAGAAACATGTCCTCGACCTTGGCCGTGGCAACGGGAGGCGTCGATCTGGAGTCGGCCAACGCCCGCAAGGTTGAGTCCAAGGTGGATCGCAAGAAGCTCGAAAAGGCGGAGAGGCGGATTGCTGCGAAGCAACAGAAGAAGGTATTCAAGACGGTTGAATACGAGGCGTCAAAATTGCTCAACCAGTCCGACTCGACTCAGTCATACGAAGAGTTCTACATGGCTGTCAACCCTCTTCAGATGGGCGCCTCGGCCGGAGGCAAGACGAAGGATATCAAACTGGACAACATCGATGTCTCTATTGGAGGCTTGCGCATTCTAACAGATACCAACTTCATGCTTGCCCATGGTCATCGTTACGGCTTAGTCGGCCACAACGGTGTTGGCAAATCTACGCTTCTCCGTGCCCTGGCGAGGCGAGAGCTGCCGATTCCCCCTCATATCACGATCCTGCACGTCGAACAAGAGGTAAGACCTCCCCTAGCTGCCACATATCCCACGTAACTCTGCTAATTGTTGTGAATTAGATTACCGGTGACGACACCCCAGCTCTCCAGGCCGTGCTCGATGCCGATGTCTGGCGGAAGGTTCTCTTGAAGGAGCAAACGGTGAGCCAGCCTCTTGAATGATTTTTTTTCGTCACGTTTTGCTTCACCACGGTTACTAATCGTCCCTCATAGGAAATCACGGCAAAACTGGCAGAGTTAGAGGCGCAGCGATCTTCCATGGCCGACACGTCGACGGACGCCGCCAATATTGACCGGGAACGCGAAACTCTAGACCAAAGACTTGGAGACGTACAAGCGAAGCTCGCAGAAATGGAATCCGACAAGGCCGAACCCCGGGCGGCTAGCATCTTGGCCGGACTTGGGTTCTCGGCCGAACGGCAGCAATTCGCCACAAAGACATTCTCGGGAGGTTGGAGAATGCGACTGGCGCTAGCACGAGCGCTCTTCTGCGAGCCGGATCTGCTGCTTCTCGACGAACCTTCCAACATGTTGGACGTGCCGTCCATCACGTTCTTGTCCAACTACCTCCAATCATATCCTAACACGGTCCTCGTAGTCAGCCACGACCGAGCCTTCCTCAACGAGGTCGCCACGGATATCATACATCAACACTCCCAACGCCTGGACTATTACCGGAGTGCCAACTTTGACAGTTTCTATGCCACCAAGGAGGAACGGAAGAAGACGGCCAAACGGGAATACGAGAACCAAATGGCGCAACGGGCGCACTTGCAGGCATTTATCGACAAGTTCCGATACAATGCCGCCAAGTCGTCCGAGGCCCAGTCGCGTATCAAGAAGCTGGAGAAGATGCCCATACTAGAGCCGCCCGAAACCGAGTACAGCGTCAAGTTTAGCTTCCCGGAAGTGGAGAAGCTGTCGCCCCCTATTATTCAGATGTCTGGGGTTACCTTCGGCTACTCGAAAGACCAGATACTGCTCCGTAAGGTCGACCTAGACGTCCAACTCGATTCGCGGATCGGCATTGTCGGACCGAACGGCGCCGGCAAGACCACCGTATTGAAGCTTCTGATCGGACGGCTGGCGCCCTTGTCTGGTACCATCTCGCAAAACCCGCGTCTCCGGGTCGGTTTCTTCGCGCAGCACCACGTCGACGCTCTGGATCTTACCATGAGCGCCGTGAGCTTCATGGCAAAAAACTACCCGGGCAAGACAGACGAAGAGTACCGCCGCCAACTGGGTGCTTTTGGAATAACAGGCACTACGGGCCTACAGAAGATGGCCCTCCTCTCCGGTGGTCAGAAGTCGCGTGTGGCGTTTGCCTGCCTGGCCTTGACGAACCCCCATATTCTAGTCCTCGACGAACCGTCTAATCACTTGGATATTGAGGCTATGGACGCCTTGGCCGACGCTCTGAAGGAGTTCCAGGGCGGTGTCTTGATGGTATCCCACGACGTGACTATGCTGCAGACCGTGTGCACGTCGCTCTGGGTCTGCGACAACGGAACAGTGGAGCAGTTCCCGGGAGACGTCCAGGCATACAAGAAGAGAATTGCTGCGCAGGCTGATGCTGCGGGTGTGGTCAAGGCGCATTGACGAGTTGATGGTGTTTTATGTAGATGAACTACCTACCCACTTACCAAGGCATCAATATTTGAAGAGGGTAGCCCATGATAGGGTTGGTCCATAGTCCTGGTCGGTGGGTGCCTTTAAGATGTTGACCGTAGGAATACAAAACCACATATGCCTCGGCTAACTGCTACACAGACAACAACGACAAACAAAATATAGCGTAGAACCTGTTTACTACCTTGAACATCATATTGATTCCATACCGCTCTTGTTGTGTTTTCTTATCTTTCATGAGCTGATGTTCAGAAAGCAGATTCATTGGACGAGACGAATGGTGGTTTATTCGACAAGACGACATTATAACCACAGTTGGAGTGCTGTAATTACAGTGGAATACCGGTACGGGTACAAAGTCACTAGGGTACCTTAGGTAATAGGTAGGAGGGAGGACGACAACAAGCAGGTGCGGGGTCTTTTTCAGGGGAGGTACCCAAGACAGCTTCTAGTCAACCACAGCCTATCACCGTCCCTGGTGCCTGCTTAGTGTTGGGTCGTGCTATGCCCAACACAGGGTAGTTGCGTGCACAGACCACAAAGGAAAGGTAAACAAGCGACTCCCCTGGACTGGACTCGGACCAGGCCTGGCGGTGAGCGAAATCACCCTGCCCCAAAATTCATCAACCTCGAATCTCCCCTTTCCCCCTAACTAACCTCTTAACTTACCACATACCATATCGTGTCCACATAAAGCTTCTCTGTAGCTTTCAACCATCCCCTGCCGTGCACCTCTTTTGACACATCCTTTTTAAGCTTCATCTTCAGTCAAGATGCGTGAGATTGTAAGTCTTTGGTTCTCGACTCGCAGACATGCATCCAACGAGAACCCGATGCTGTCCAAACCCCCCACACCATCTGAATATATCGCCTCGGCTTCTCCCAAACTTCGCAATTCGACCTCGACCACGACCGAGGTTCATGGACTCTTTACTGATCCTTTTTCTTCTACAAACAGGTTCACCTCCAGACCGGCCAGTGCGTAAGTTAAACGTCCCAAGATATCCCAGAGGAAGACATCGACATGGAGGGGCTAATATTACTTGCAAATAGGGTAACCAAATTGGTGCTGCCTTTTGGTTCGTACCACCTCCGACGACCTGACGACAACGGCAACAGCAAATACAGATCACTGAACTGACTCGTTCTTCTCCAGGCAAATCATCTCTGGCGAGCACGGTCTCGACGCCAATGGCGTGTACGTATTTACTTGAAATGTTGGGATGGCGTTTGTTTTGTTTCTCAGTTCGATCTGACCACCCGATACAGTTACGCCGGCAGCTCCGAGCTCCAGCTGGAGCGGATGAATGTCTACTTCAATGAGGTAATGCGAACGACTCCATTCGTGGTCATGAGATCGTAGTGCTAATTTGATGCTTTTGACAGGCCTCTGGTAACAAGTATGTCCCTCGCGCCGTTCTCGTCGATCTTGAGCCTGGTACCATGGACGCCGTCCGCGCTGGTCCCTTCGGCCAGCTCTTCCGCCCCGACAACTTCGTCTTCGGCCAGTCCGGTGCTGGCAACAACTGGGCCAAGGGTCACTACACTGAGGGTGCCGAGCTTGTCGACCAGGTCCTCGACGTGGTTCGTCGCGAGGCCGAGGGCTGCGACTGCCTCCAGGGCTTCCAGATCACCCACTCGCTCGGCGGCGGCACTGGTGCCGGTATGGGTACTCTGCTCATCTCCAAGATCCGCGAGGAGTTCCCCGACCGCATGATGGCCACCTTCTCGGTCGTGCCGTCCCCCAAGGTCTCCGACACCGTCGTCGAGCCCTACAACGCTACCCTCTCCGTCCACCAGCTGGTCGAGAACTCTGACGAGACCTTCTGCATTGACAACGAGGCTCTGTACGACATCTGCATCCGCACCCTCAAGCTGCCCAACCCCTCGTACGGCGACCTGAACCATCTCGTCTCGGCCGTCATGTCCGGTGTCTCGACCTCTCTTCGTTTCCCTGGCCAGCTGAACTCGGACCTTCGCAAGCTTGCTGTCAACATGGTTCCCTTCCCCCGTCTCCACTTCTTCATGGTCGGCTTTGCTCCCCTGACCAGCCGCGGTGCCCACTCCTTCCGTGCCGTCAGCGTTCCCGAGCTCACCCAGCAGATGTTCGACCCCAAGAACATGATGGCTGCCTCGGACTTCCGCAACGGCCGCTACCTGACTTGCTCTGCCATCTTGTGAGTAATCCTTTTAGACTTGGACCTCCTCTGTTCCCGTGCTGACTCGTTACTTTTCTTCTCCTTTCCAGCCGTGGCAAGGTCGCTATGAAGGAGGTCGAGGACCAGATGCGCAACGTTCAGAACAAGAACGCGTCTTACTTTGTCGAGTGGATCCCCAACAACGTCCAGACCGCTCTCTGCTCGATCCCTCCCCGCGGTCTCAAGATGTCTTCGACCTTTGTCGGCAACTCGACCGCCATCCAGGAGCTCTTCAAGCGTGTTGGCGAGCAGTTCACCGCCATGTTCCGGCGCAAGGCTTTCTTGCATTGGTACACTGGTGAGGGCATGGACGAGATGGAGTTCACTGAGGCCGAGTCCAACATGAACGATCTCGTCTCTGAATACCAGCAGTACCAGGATGCCGGTATTGACGAGGAGGAGGAGGAATACGAGGAGGATATCCCCCACGAGGAGGAGGCTTAAGTAACGAACAGAACAAACTCCTCGGGGTGTGTTGCAGGCTGGCACGGACATGTGACGTGTGCGCAGCTAGATCATGGAGGCAACAAACAAGATGTCAGGGACTGGCCTGCCACACCTGGGGGGTGTGGAATCTTCACTTCGGGCCTGTTGCCATCATCAGAAAAGGGGCACTTTTCTAGATATACCTCGCTTAGTATTGCGGCCGGCGTCTCAATAAATTCACGAAACTACAGCAATTGTTAATATAAAACCCAGTCTTTGCATCTGTTCTTCCTTAATCCATGCATATGTTCTCTCCTTTGATCCTTGGTTGTGTGAATGATGCTGTCGCGTGGATTGGATGGATGGGATGGTGGTGATCCGTGCGTTGTCCGACTCAATTTCTAGATGACTAAGCGCAACCCAAAAAAGTCCCCCGGGTTTTCGTTTCCATCTCGAAAGTCCCAATTGACAGACCCGAGTTTCTGCTTTCCCCCCAACATAACCGACCTCGTGCGCTGACAATAAACACACACGATGCTTGCATCGAGCAGAGGGTCGGTGCTGAGGCAAGCCCTGGGCGCCTCACCGACCGCTTCGTTGCCGAGCTTCCTCGGGCCGGCCGCGTTCCAGGCGTCGACAAGGACAACAGCCACCACCACTCCCACCATCATCACCGCGCGACGGCCCTTCTCCGCGACGAGCCAACGGCATTCCAAGCTGGGACGGACGCCTCTCTCGATTCCGCTGGGCGTTGAGCTTCTCATTGGCGAGCCCAAGGTCAAGCCCGATCCGACAACGTATTTGAGGATCCCGAAACGGACCGTCACCGTGAAGGGGCCGCTAGGTGGGTTATTTATTCCTTTGGTCCTACTTTTGCTTCTGCCCCTGTTTTTCCATGGCGAACAACAATGTCTACTGCGTTATGATGGGGGAAGTTGGGGAATATGAAGGAAACCTCTGACGGTTTCGTACATTTGCTGACTTATGGGGTTCTCGAACAGGGTCGCTTGATTTGGAGATACCGCCGTTTTTGAAAATTGACCATGATGTTGAGGCGAGGAGGGTCGCTCTGACCATCGAGGACGATACTGTGAAGGAGCAAAAGGAGATGTGGGGTGCGTATTTCATTTTCCCCCTTTCTCGTCCATATTCTCCTCCTTTGGATATTTTCTTTTTCTCTCTCCATCTTCTGCCTGCCTGGTAGTCTTTCCAATCTGGGCTACTTTTCCCGCTCGATCTCGTCTCTTGTCCACTAACGCGTTTCTATATTTCTCCCCAAAGGCACGACATGGGCGTACCTCAACCGCTACATTATGGGCGTCTCGGAAGGACACAACGCGTTGATCCGGCTTGTGGGCGTCGGGTACAGGGCGACAGTCGAGCCGCGGGCCGGCAAGGAGGAGTTCCCGGGGCAGAAGTTTCTCTGCCTCAAGCTCGGGTTTACGCACCCAGTCGAGGTGGGCATCCCGCGCGGGGTGACGGTCACGACGCCGACGCCGACGCGCATCCTGGTGGAAGGCATCAACCGGGAAGAGATCATGAGCTTCGCGGGGCGGGTGCGCAAGTGGAGACCCCCCGAGCCGTATAAAGGAAAGGGCGTGTTCATCAATGACCAGACCATCAAGCTGAAGCAGAAGAAGATCAAATAAATGCAAAAATGGACGGGGAAGGAGGAGGATTGGGACTGGGAGCAAAACGAAGGAAGGTGGAAGGACAAAATGTACGGGAGGGACGAACACGACGGAGAGGTTGGGGATCGGGCTGGGTGCACCCGCCTTTCCCCCGTTGTTCCGTTCCCGTGTATAAATATCTCGTCTATGTACGTTACGGGTGTACTACTATACTTAGTATTGCTTTTTGGATTCCTCCCCGAGACTTCTCAATGCGGTGTCGTTGACAAGACAAATCATAAAAGATGAAGAAAAAAATAATATACATGGCGACATCATGCGGCTGTCGATTTCTGGCGCAGCACATCTTGCACCGCCTTGAGCACCTCCCCGTGCACGGCGGCGGGGGCGGCAACGACACCCTTGTTATTGGCGAGGGTCCTCCCGACGGAGAAGTCGAGCGCCTTGCCGTCCACGTCGGTGACCTGGCCGCCGGCCTCCCGAACGATCAAGTCGCCGGCGGCGTGGTCCCAGATCTTCTCCTGGTAGGTCGCCTTGACGGGGAGACGGAGGTAGATGTCGCCAGCGCCGCGGGCGATGCTGCCGTACTTGCTCTGGCTGTCCATGCGGACGCTGGGGCGGGAGATGCCGAGGCGGCGGGCGATCTCGGCCTGGTCGCCGTGGGCGCTGTGGGCGGCCTCGACGCTCTCGCAGAAGGTGGCGGCGGTCATGTCGGAGACGGGACGCATGGAGATGGGTTTAGCGGCCGTCGGGGCGGACAGCGGGGCGGAGTGGGCGCCGCCGCCGCGCACGGCGGAGAAGAGGACGCCGCGGCCGTCCTCGTCGGAGGCATCGACGCCGATATCGGCGGAGAGGGGGGCCGAGTCGTCAATGGGGAGGTTGGGGCAGCCGAGGACGCCGACTTGGACTTGGCCGTCGACGAGGAGGGCGAGGCACACGGCGTACTGGCCGCCGCGGAGGAAGCCCTTGGTGCCGTCTATGGGGTCGATGGCCCAGATGCGGCCGTGGGCGCCGCCGGGGCTGTTCCCGCGGTCGATGAGGTCGAGCATGGCGTCGAGGTTGGGGACGGAGCCGCCTAGGAGTTCCTCGGCGGCCGGGTCGGGGAGGCGCGTATCGCGGACGAGGGACCAGATCTGGTCGGCCAGGTTGGGGTCCGCGCGGAGCTGGGCGGCTTCTTCCTCGGCGACGATGGCGTCGTCTGGGAAATTGTGACGCAGGGCGGCGATGATGAGGGCCTGGGCGCCGAAATCGCCTATTGTGACGGGGGATTTGTCGGACTTGTCAACGGTGCCTTTGGCCTTCTCATGGAAGACACGCTTGGTGAGGAGAGTGGCGCGCTGGACGGCCACCTGGGCGACTCGGAGCTCCTTCGCGTAGGACATGATGATGGTCGAAGCGGTGGAAGGAGAGACAGAGACAGAGGAAGAGGCAGAGGCAGAGGAAGAAGATGAGAAGAGGTGGTTCTTGAGGAGAGCCACTCGAGGGATGGCTCGGAGAGAGAAGAGGGCCAGGATGAGAATTGAGAACGAAGAAAGGAGGAGTCGTAGGGATAGACTGGTAGTTGATCTGTGACGGCTCTGGGGCTTATGGGTGGCTGGGTCCGAATTCGGCATGTGATGATGAGCAGTTGAAGTGCTCTGTAGATGCAAGAAGTGATGTATAAAAGTGCGATGAGAGAAAGAGACGAAGCTTCAGAGCTGCCAGAGCTCTACGGAGTAATACATCACCCCTCTACCTATGCGAGAACCCTGCCCCGCTATTCGGTACCTCCAGGATCGCGGGGTTGGGAAGCTGCTTAATAAAATGTACGAAGTACTTTGTCGCAAAAATTTCACAGATTATGTAATCCAGTCGAAAAGCTCCCCCAGACAACAAACATACAACAACAGGCTTCAGATTCACAGCTTCACAGCTTCACTCTGCCAAGTTTCAACACGCCGATACGTACCTCTTCTTCTACTTTCCCGCCAGTTCAGCCGAGAAACGTCGAATAAAGTCAAATAATATACCCAATTAGAAAACGAAAGAACCAAAAATACGACATGGCAAACACACCAAACCCCGCCACCATCCGCTCCCTCTACCGCTCCCTCCTCCGCGAGTTACCTCCCCGTCCTCTTCTCGCCCGCGACCGCTCCCCCATACAAGTCCGCCTCCGCGAAAACTTCTCCTCCCCCAAGGCCGGCCACCCGCGCGCGCTGGACGAGGCCCGTCAGTTCATCGCCTACCTCCGAGCCCAGCGTACCTATGCCGCCCTCCTCGATCGCTACAACCCCGGTATGGGCATGGACGAGGAGGAGAGGGTGAGACTTACGGCGAGAAGGGTGGGCATGAATCTGCCCATTGAGTTCCGGAAGTGAGAGTTTCAAAGGAAGAAATAAAGAAAGAAAAAAAAGAAGAAGAAGAAGAAAGGGAGGGTCGATCTTCTTTTTCTTTGGCGTCTGGATTAATACCCCCGGGATGGAATTTGAGGAAGCGGCTTTTTGGATACCCACGGTTGCGTGCGCTACACTGCCTGGGGCGAGGAGAATTCTATGACCTGTTCAGAAGAGAGTCGACAGCCGCACTCTTCCCATCTTCTTCTCTATCTCGAGGCCATGAGAAGTAAGCTAGAAGGGGGCCTGGGTGGATTCGATAGTATTCTTCATGTACAACAACAGGCTTTGGCGAATGCATCAGACGGAGCAACCGAGTCGGAGGACAGCAGAGTTGGGCTTCGTCTATCCACGCCTGTAGGCCGTGATTCTCCTCCTCCTCTTCATCTTCCTCCCCTCTTTTCCTTGTGACCACTCGGGGCGGATAAGTATGATACAACATGTAAGAAAACTGCAACTAGATCCCAAATTCCTTGCGTGCTCATTAACGGGGTATCAACGATAGTCTGGAAGTCCAATACTCGGCATAACGCTTAGTTAAAATGCATCTGCCCCTTTCCTCCCCTTCTTTTTGATCACACACTCCCAACACCTCCTTCTTCCAACGACTCATCCCACCCTCCAGTCTGAAGCAGCCACGCCCCCACGGCCTGCTTGACCTGCTTAATCGCCTCCCCCAGCGCGCTCTGCCACTGGTCCTCCACGACGCGGACCTTCTCCTTGAGATCCTCCGTCAGCCGCTTCTCCTCCTCCCGCCGCAGCGCTTCCGCCCGCGCCTCCCGCTCCGCCGCCTGCTCCGCCGTCGGCTCGATCTCGTCGTCGTCGCCCACCTGGTGCCGCACCAAGCTGGCCGAAGCGTGCGCCTCCGCCTCCTTGACCTCGTGCAGGAGGCACAGAAGGTTGGTCTGCGACTCGATGAACTGATACGAGCTCTTCTCCGCGTGCAGCAGCAGGCTGAAGAGGTATTGCAGCGGGTGCTGCCGGTACGACGGGTTCTCCTGGTACTCCTGCGCCGGGACCTTGACCCCGAACCCCGTCGTCCGGGCGAGGTCCGTCGGGATCTTGTCCAGGAGCCGCCGCAGGGGCGGCGCGATGTCCCAGAACGCCGACAGCTGCACCTCGACGCCCCGGACCACCGTCCGTTCCGTCACGTCGCGGAACGCTTTCGTCCGGTCCAGGACCTCCGCCGCGAACGCCGCCCTGCGTCGTGACGCGTCCTGCTTGAAAAACGCCTCCGCCGAGTGCACCTTCTCCACGTTGTTCGCGAGCCGGTAGGGGGTCACCACCACGTCGCGGTAGCGGTCGTTACGGTCCGACAGCAGGTCGAAAATGGCCCGGTGCAGCGACTCGCGACACTCGAACATCCACTTGAGCAGCCGCAGTTTCTCCAGCAGCTCCGGCCGGTCGTCGCCTTCCTCCTGGGGCATGTCTGCCGCTGCCGCCGCCGCCGCCGTGCCGCCCCCTTCCACGTCGTCGTCAAACAAACGGTTCGAGAAGTCGTCGAAGAGGGCCGTAGCCTTGGCGATGCGGCCCGTGAGCAGGTCGTTGAGCGGCGCCACCACCTGACTCTGGAAGAGTTCGAAATCTGTCCTCTCCAGCTCCTTGACCGTCTCCTTCTCCGCCGCGCTGGAGTCCTGGTCGATGGCCGACGCCTCCTCGAAGCTCATGTTCCCCGAGTTGATCTCCTGTTGCAGGTTCTTCCGGAGCGCGGCGCGACGTTCTGTCGCCGCTTTGGTCGCCTCGTCCCGCTTCTTCCGGCTGGTTTGCTGAAACCTCTCCTTGGTGGCCTCCACCTCGGTCAGGTCGCTGATCTGTCGGACCGTCGTCCGCATCGCCGCGAGCTCGGGGTGGTTGTTGTTCACGGCGGGGTAGTGGCGAGGATACGGTGGCGGCAGGGTGATAAGACGCGAAACGTCCAGGTGAGCCGGGTTGGGTGTAGAGGGGGCGGACGAAGAGGCAAAGGATTGCGCGGACGTCCGGGAGGGCTGCGGCGTCAGGAGCGGCTCTGGATCATGCCAACCCGTCTTCTCGGCCGGGTAGCTGCTGGAGGAATCTCGTTCGCTCGACGCCGTGTAGGCTTCCTCCTGGATGGGACTCTCTGCCCATTGGAGAGCCTCGCGTGCTTCCTTCGGCATACCCATGTATTTCGACTCCCGCTTCGATCGTTCAAGCCCGTTGTTCCCGTTCCCAGTGGAGTCTGTTTCCCACCACCTGCTCGACGGACGCCCCCTCGAGCTGCCGTCGCCATTACCACTGACACTGAGGCTCAGAATCGGCGACAAAGACGGCATGTAGTTGGATGACCAGTTCCCATTGTTCGTGGTGAGCGGTTTCCCCGGCGAGCTCGGTATGCCGGCGGAAGGTGGCGCGGAGGAGCTCGATGGGCCCCCGCTGTCCCGATAGAGGGAATTCATCGAACCGCGGTGAGATCGAGAAGGTTCTGACGACCGCGGCGTGTATTCGCTTTCGCCATGGAAAACACCCGACGCCCGTCTCGAAGACATCGGCCGGAAGAGGTCTCGGGTCAAGTCAAATATCTCAGAGCCCATGGCGCCGATGGCGGAAGCGTACCTTTCCCGCCGAATTCGCGATTCGTTGACAATGAAATCAGCGAACAGACGGACGCGATCTACATCCGTCGCCGCGGCAGCTTCCTTCATGGCGAACGCCTGGAACCTTTCGATAGTGCCCTGACAGAACTGATCTGTCGTTTGGGAGACGACCAGCTGCCTAGAGATGGTAGAAGAGAGCGGAAGCGCATCGTCTGGCGTCAGAGCATCCCGTAGTTGCTGAGACGCCGAGTTTGACCGACTCTGGGCAGGAGGTGTCGGCAGCGCCTTGGGTACGACGCTTGATGAAGCCGTGTCCGTCATGGCCACCGCCTTCTGAGGATGGGGCGAGAAAGGTGGTGTCGTCATCTCGTGATTCGGGTGTTGGGCGGATCCTTGTGGTTTTGGGGTCAAGTTGCGCGAGCCTCGGTTTGACGACTCGCCCTCTCCGGTTCGAGGAGTGTCGTGTACCGTTCGCCCAGCGCTCCTTGGCGTTGATTTGTTGATGGTTCGCCTTCGAGAAAGCGTTGTCGCGTTGGGTACTACTATGTCCGCGAGCTGTATCGGATGGGCTGAAGGATCATCCGACGTGCTGGCTTCCCGGGTCCGGCTCTCAGCTCGCCGTTGGACAATGGTCTTGTCGTGTCGTAGGGCTCCCGTACGGGAGAGCGGCGCGGCTGACATTAATTCGACTGAGGAATCTGGTTCAATTGCTTGGGCCGCACTTGCAGCGTTGGCTGTGTCGATGGTGAGATTGACGGGTCGTGCCCTTCCGGGAGTGACATCCTGGTTGTCCTGAGGATCCCAGTCGGCCGGTGTCGGCGGGACCGGTCCCAAAGCGGAACCATTACTCGGCGGAGGCCGCCTGGTGGGAGGCGATACGATGGGTTCGCTTGACCTGCTGACGTCCTGGACACTTTGTGATCGAGAGGAAGCAGGGGGGGGTCCCGGTGGCGGCGGCGGAACAGGCATGCCCGGCTCCCATCTGATCTGAGACGCGGATCGTGACCTGGCCGACGTGGGTGTTTCAATAGCTCCCGTAGATACAGCCCGGCGAGCGCCAGGCGGTCCTTGAGAGGAGTTGGATCCTGTTCGCTGTGGAATGGGTTGCGCGAGCGGAATCTGTATCTGGGGTGGGGGGGGGGGCCTCGGAGCAGAGGGAACAGGCGGGACAAACTCGGGAGGATTCGACTGGTCTTGGTGGTGGTGTCGCCGAAAAGACAAGCCGAAGCGCCTTTCGCGGGAGCTACCACGACCGGTAGTCCCCGGCGGTGGCGGGAAGGACGTTTGTGCTACAGGCTCTGGAGAAGGTCGGTGAATGTTCGTTGTTGGCATCCGTGGTGTGGACGTATTGGCGCCTGATGGCGAGTCAAAATTGCAGCTCCCCGGGCGTTGCTGATTCCATGGCGGGCTGTAAGGAGGAGGGGGTGGAGGCGAAACTACGTCGATTGCGAGGTAGACGTTAATCAAGTTTCCAAGGAGAGAAAAAATGCGTCGATCAAATGGGACAACGAACGACAGGAGAGGAACAGGGACTTGAGAGAGGTCGCTCTTCTTACCTTGACTGTCAGGAAATGGATGCGATCTATCCGCGCTGACGACGGGAGAGCCGACCCATTCCTGGGGGTTGTAGGGCTGGATGGCACTATTGACAGGTGTTTGAAGTGCGAACAGATTGCTGGAGGTCAAAGACACAGCAGACAGCGGCACGCCGTGCGGGTGATAATGCCCTCCGAGGGACGAGGTTACTAAAGGATTAAGTCCTTGCCGCAGTCGCGGGGGTTCGCGTGGATGATTCATTGTGTGAATTCGCGATCCGTTTCTGTCGCGGTCGGTGTCGCTGTCGCTGTCGCGGTCGGTGCCGTCACTGTTGTTGTTGACCTCGTCGCCTTCCCAGTCTTTTCCTCCTCCGCCACTTTTCTTTCTTCCTCCCGGTCGAAATGGATTGAAAGCGAGAGGGGAGAAGTTTGCCTAGACTCTCGAAGCCTTCCCTTTGTTGGCAAAGACACTCTCACGTCTGCCAGCTTTGTTCACAAAATGAGCACGGCTGCTCAAGCTGCTAGTCGCATCCTGGATGAAAAACGCCAATGACGAGAATCCTACAATGGATCAAAGTCAAAATCGCGGAGTCGAAACTAGTAAGTTGATGAGAAGACAAGACGCGGCTGAGACACAAAAAAAGGCGGCCAGAGGCGGGAAGGAAACTACAGGGCCTCCTCACTGGTAAGAAAGGGGTGGGAAAGGATAAAGGGTGGTTACAAGATATGCAACGCCACGCTCCGACGGCCAGATTGGAGGCCCAGACAGGGTAGGAGTTCAATGGATGGACGGAGGAACAAGGGAGGGGATGATGGATAAGCAGGACTTCATGGATGGGTGGGTTGGGTGTGGGTGTGGGTGTGGGTGTGGGTGGACGGTCAGGGGTTGGTGGGACGTTGGGTGTTCCGGTGGTTGGGGTCTCGTCGTTGAGGTTCCGTTTTCTCTCGCTCTACCAAGTCGTCTTGGCGGATTGCCCTTGATCGGTAAATATTGGTGCGTTGTAGGGGAACCAAGTCCCGTAACGGAAAGCAAAAAGAACAAACGGGGATCGCAGACCGCTTGGATGTCGACGGATCATGGATGAAGTCCCAGACACGAGTCTAGGCCATCTGCTGTTTGTTTTCTGGATGATGACCGTGTCTGTACCACCACACAATACTTTCAGAGATACCAAGGGCAATATCGTACTGTGTACGTGTACGTGTAGAGCATGAATATGGATGGAGGCCGCGTGGGCTCGCCATTCCCGATGATCCCATCAAGCACCTTCGATCGACATCCTTGGGCAGCACGCTGGGGACGAAGACGTTGAAGAAGCGTCGAATCGACTCCGTTTCGTCGATCTTCTTCTCCCTTTCGGTTCGACGTGCGTACATACGAATAACGACGTAGCTCCGTTCAGACACCGCATGACAAGGCAGAAGAAGCTGCAGCGAACAGCATGGCATCGGCTCTGTAGCCAAGAAGGTCTCCCGATTGAACCAAGCCAATCTTGGTAAAACCGTATGGGGACCGACGGGGCCGCGGATGACGTCCATTGGCTGGGGATGATGCGGCCTGTTCTATTCTTGGATCATGCTGGGGAACCCTTCGATGCATATCAGGGTCTTGATTGGACGATGGGTTCCTCAAGAGGGGCTTTGACGGTGTAGGCGCTTAACTGTCTCATGGGCCCCCCCCCTCTCGTGGATCCAAACAAGCCTCGAGAGACCCAGTACATATGTGATTACTCCGTGCTTCGTAGAACCCTTTCGCTTGGTTCCTTAGTTCTGAGTTCTGCATGTTCGGGACAAAATCGTTCGACTCTCAGACCTGGTGGGGCCTTTTTGTGGAAACCATAGCGCATCGACAGACCTAAGATTCGATGAGCTGCTCCCAACGCGGGGATGTCACAATGGTATTGTGCTGGGATGCAAGGGAATTAATACGGCGCAACCAAGTCCGGCAAACTCACAGTCCGCTACCGAAGAGGACGTGTTTCGTGCGAAGCACGGATATGTATGTAGCTGCAGTCCAGATCGCTTATTAGGCACAGTCCAGGGGCCTCCGACAGGTTCATGTCGCCCCTTTCTGCACGTTATTAAAGTCCCAGCACCTCAGTCTTCCGCTCGGCATTGATGATGAATCTGCACATCCAACCGCTGGCGGTTGCGGGAAGCATGATATTAATAGTGACCTTTATAAGGGTCTCCAGGTCTCCACGGCAGTTAAGCCCAACTCTCGGTATCTCGGATCTCGTTCCTGATATTGTGTGGGAAATCTTTCTTCCGCGCGAGCTTATAAGGGTCACGACCGCGCCACGACTTCGAATGTGGAAACCCATTTCGTCCTAATACCTCGGTTGTAGGCTCTGGGTGGTCTGTCCCTAGGGAATCATTACGATTTCTGAACTTCGTCGGTTAGGCAGTGGATAGATGGTCAGGAAACCCGACCCTGCATCTGGCTGGAGATGAAAAGTCTCGCCCACCCAGTCGGCATGTCCCGGCCAACCCCGCCTACATATGTATGTCGACCTCGAGGGAGCGTTGATTGGTATTTTTAGAACAGCGCCTTCTCCTGATGACAAAGAGCATCTCATTGCTTGGCCGCCCAGCGTAATTTGAAAGGTGAAGCGTCCAAGAGACGGCTACATAAATCTCTTTCTGTGAACCAATGTCAGAATGTCAGAAAACCTAGATTGCATCAGATCACCGGCTTCAAGTCCACTGGACCGCAGAGAATTTCCGAGACAGGCGGCCAGAGGGCAAGAGTAGATGTGCAAAGGGGTCCCTGTCATTATGGTGTTGTATGTTCTGTGGGAGGGGAAGTAACGCATGTATCAGAAAAAACAGAAGGAGAAGAAGAAGAAGAAGAAGAAGAAAAAAACGAGCTCGAATTCTTCGTGGACGAGACGGTGGAATGCGGATTATTGTGAGGAGACGCCTTCAACAGCAAAAGGAGATGGATGGTGGTGCAAGGCGTTAGGCCCGTTTCCACACTTGGATGTTGTTTACCCCGCAATCGTCCGTTTCCATTGGATGCATGTGATGGGTGGCGACCGATAAGGCACAAGCAAGGCTAAGGTAAGGTACCTTACCTTACCTTACGTTATAATCCGAACTTTCCCCGAGCGAGAGCCATGTACTTCAGTACCCACAGTCCTCAAAAAATCAGATTCTAGAGCTTTCTTTTCACATCTCAGCTTCGACATCTTTTTTCTTCGTTCTTCTTTTTTTCTTGGGTATTTCCACCCCTTCTCCCGCCTTTTAATCTCTCCTGAGAATGAGATAACAATATCAACACTCGTCCACAGGTAGGCACACTCTCTGCTTCTTTATATTTCCCCACGATCCTCCTCCACCCCACGTTCTACATGATGATACATCAGCTGGCACCAGTCATAGAGTGACTTGTACTCCCTTCATTGATGACGAAGCTGCGGTCTACGACCACTACTGATCCAGAACCCAATTCTTTCCCCAAAGACCTATAATTCGTGCTCTTTCCGAAAAGGAACGTTCGTCGCTAACCTCAATTGAGCCAAGTTAGAAGCCAACCATCTCGCGCAGCTCCCGCGTCAGACTAGCGATCATAAACCACCCCGGGAAAAAAATGGTTCTTCACAACCCCAATAACTGGCACTGGGTGAATAAGGACGCCTCGGCATGGGCCAAGGACTACCTTGATGCTGCCGTCCAAAAGCTTGAGGCGGAGGATGGCGGCGTCATGGCGAAGATCAACAAGCTCGTGAGCATGGACGGCGATGTGGATGTCAGTCAGAGGAAGGGTAAAGTTATTACTATCTACGACGTCAAGATCGTCCTGGAGTATACTGGTACGTATATCGTCTTTTTTTGCCTTGGGGATTTCTTTTTCTCTTTTCCCCGCCCAATGGTCATGACAATCCCCTAATGCCTCATCCAGGTAGTGCTCCCGATGCTCCCGAAGTCTCGGGAACCATCACTGTCCCCGAGGTCGCCCACGACACCGAGGAGGATGAGTACGTGGTGAGTAAGGCTTTGGGACCTCAGAAGTGCGACTAGGATGATATAGCTAATGATTTTCTCCGTAGTTTGACATTGACATCTACTCCGAGTCCAAGGAGAAGCAGCCAGTCAAGGACCTTGTCCGGTCCAAGATCGTCCCGCAACTGAGGAAAGAGTTCCAGCAGCTCTCAGGAGCCCTCATTGCAGAGCACGGCAAGGATATACAGCACGCTCCGGGCTCGAACCCGTCGAGTGGATTCTCCACGCCTCGCACTCTCCCACAGCCGTCCAAGACGACTGGTGTCAGCTCCGGCTCGACAACCCAGAAGAACAGCGGTAGCATCGTCAACACTGTCACTTTGAACGACTCGACCGAATTCCGCACTTCGGCCGATGAACTGTACCAGACTTTTACCGACCCGGGACGCATCGCTGCCTTCACCAGGGCACCCCCGAAGGTCTTCGAGGGCGCAAAGCAGGGAGGCAAGTTCGAGCTCTTTGATGGAAATGTCGAGGGCGAGTACGTCGAGCTCAGCCCGCCCAAGACGATCGTGCAGAGATGGAGGTTGAAGCAGTGGCCTGCCGGTCACTTCTCCAAGCTGGCCATCGAGTTCGACCAGAACGATGTTGACCACGTTACCGTCATGAGAGTGTCTTGGGAAGGCGTCCCCGTCGGCCAGGAGGACGTTACCAAGCGGAATTGGGAGGAGTATTATATCAATAGCATCAAGCGCACATTCGGGTAAGTTGGCGCCTCCATCCCCAATCCGTTTTCCGTGGTCGTTCACTAACCTCGCCATACTATGTAGTTTCGGGACCATCCTGTAAGTGACCTTGTCTCGAAGGGTTGGATTGGTTACGAATATGACGCAAGTAGAAGATACGTAGATATGTATTGGGTTACCGGTGACACACGGCCGCGAGGTCTCGTCACATGGACACCCATGTTTATGGTGGGTGCGAGGAAGATTCATTTGAGGCTGCCCAGGATACCAGAAACACTGGTTCCACGGTTCGGTCTAGGGCGCCCGGTTGGGAATGAGGCTCATGAGAAACGTTAAATGAAAAATACGCTTGATAATAAATGTGCTCGCTGTCCCCGTCCGCATGTGACATCTCCCGCATGGTCAGTCTTTGGTCGGGACCTACCACTCACTCAGGGCACTAAGGTTAATGGAGCCAAACTGCTACGGTTCTTTCTCTTTCTAGCAAAGGTCACCGTCATAAAAAGACACGCGAATTGTTGCTAACCTACTCCATTGGCATATTATGCACTAATCAACATCGATTGCTCCCGAAGCATGCCAGCCAGACCTCGGACATTGATATGGTAGCTCATACCAAGACCCCGTAAGTCTCTTCACGAGGGAATTTCCCTAACATGCGTCCCTCAGAAGCGAGATGTCTTGGGCGCCTTTCTTCTCCGCGTGTCATTCTCGACGGCAGGTTGCTCGCGGCTCGCACCAAAGGAGTAATCCCGCACGAAAACATCCATCAGGTTATCCCAAAACCCCATGTCGTATAGGTTCTCCACACCCCTGATATTCCAGACGCGGTCCCACGCGCCCTCGCCGGGCCCACCGGGGCCAGGTGGCATGCCGTCGTCGGTGCGAACCAGGACCTGCTGGGCGTCGAGGGGCCAGCGGGTCCAGGTAGACTCGAGGCGGGTGTCGCGGGGCCGGTCGGGAGACATGCGGCGCTTGAAGACAAGGCCGTCGTCCATGTCGTCCCTCAAGTCAGACCACTTGAGGGACTCGTTGGTGGTGGTGCCGCAGTAGATGAGCCAGACGGTGTAGACGAGGAGGCCCCAGACGAGCGGGGACGTCAGGGCGGCGAGGAGGGAGACGGCGCCCATGTTGACGTTGTCCTGCAGGCCCCAGGACCAGATGAGGAGGTAGCGCGTAATATCCATGTTCCGGGGCGGCCAGAGGGACCAATCCGGGTAGCGGGAGGTGATGAGGTTGGAAAGCAGGGAAAAGCCCAGCAGGGCGCCATAGGCGGTAAGGAAGGCGGTGGAGAGGAGGAGGAGGACGAACCAGCGGTGGTTGCCATAGCCGACGCAGCCGTTGATGAAGATGCAGTGGTGGTCGAGTCTGGCGACGCAGCGCTTGCAGATGCTGCAGTGCTTGGACCTCGGAGGTTTCAAGAAGCCGCAGGTCCTGCACTCCTGGCCCGGGTGAAAGATGGAGTAGTCGTACGGGTAGAGGGACATGTAGTACGCGTGGTTCTCCGGCGTGATATATCCCGGGTCGGCCATGACGGAGAGATAGAGGAACACATACGGGAGGAGGATTACGATGGCTCCGGCGACTCGGTGCCATGTCGACATCATGGGCCATGCGGAGGGGAGATAGAGGTATTCGCCTCCCACGAGTAGGCTCAGGAAGAATATCTAGGTTGGGGAATATAAGTTTCCTGATGTTTCTTGATGCACGCCTGGCTAGAAGAGAAGTTTCTCCTCCTCTTTGGAAGTCGGACTTACCACGATGGTAGGATGGCGATCATGGATCATGTAATCAATGAACCTTGCTAAGGACCGGGTCAAGCGACGGCCGGTGACGACCTCGTCCAACGCAACGAGGCCATGAGGGATATGTAGAAAAACCCATTTGTGCAGGGTCGCTATAGGAGTACGCCTGTACCATGTCAGTGTCAAGATGCTGTGAGAATGGCATAACCCTGAAGCTATAATAAAATTCCAGGAGTAAGTAATAGGTCGAGCACTTGACGCACTCACCTCAGAGCAGGAAGTCTTCCGAAAAAAAGAACAAAAACAAAGAAGGAAATCCCAAGCACAATAAGTGCTATGGTACGGACGATTCCCATGTTCTCGAGTGAAGTGTCATGCGGCTCATGCTTTACCCGGCCTGTCTTTGTCAGGACGTTGTCTTCAGCTTCAGTTTGTCTTGGTGAGGGTTCGGGTCGTCATCAAATGATGAGATTCGTCAGCTGAAGCCCCGGAACCCCTGTATGAACAGGTGAGACCTCTCTATATACGCTTTGCCACGTGAGTGCTCCTTGACCCTCATGAACAAAACAAAACAAAAAAAAAGGAAAAGGAAAAAAAAGAAGAAAGAGAAGAGATAAGAAAGAAAGAAAGAAGAAGGAGTTCTTTCTTCTTATTTTCTGCAGAGAGTCTAGAGTATCTTGTCTGGCGGCGACAGCATGATGAGCTGTGATCCCAGATCCCACGGACTCTTAACATCGCTATACCGGAGGGATGAAACTTCAATAGATGGGCCTCATGCCAGAGATATGCATTATACGGGGGTCGCATAAATCTACCAAGTCACCGGGACACGTGACTTCGCGATGTTTTCGATATATGCCTGTCACGCGTTGGGGCACCGTGATCACAAAAGAAGGGAGGTCATCTATGTCTGTCTTCGGCTTTCTCAGCATAATTCATGATATAAAGGCTGTTCTCACCTTATCATATTCGGTGGCTCATCGTGTTGTACTGTTTGCCACCTTACCTTTGCTTTCTCGATATCGATGTCCCTTTGACCTCGGGCTTGTTTATATAACCGTACATACACCCCAAAGGGTTAGTGTTTCATGTCCTAACCTTAAGTATCTATCTATCCCCAAACCCATGTGAGACCACAACCACTCTCACCATTTCATCACAGCCCTCGGCCCATCCGTCCCTATCGCCTCTCAGCAACGTTGTTCCTCGGACGATTCCGAGAACAGTATATGTAGGCTCTCATCCCTCACTTATCGATCACCATCTGACGAAATTACGCAACCCATCGGCATCGTCGCTTTGTTGTTTCTTGTTTCCCTCGCACGGCGCCACCCCCGGGCATTCATGCCGAATTCTTATGCTCGTCGTAACCAAGAGTTGAAGTCGAGATGGCGTATCCCATCGTGTACGATGGGGTTGAATCTCAGGATGCTGGTGGAGGCGGTCATCTATTTAAAGACCTCAAGTTCTGGGTTGCCCACCGCGTTCCTATGAGACCTACTTTGCTTTCCCATATTCAGGTGAGTACCCTGCCCTCTATCCCATGATCTTTGGTGAATAGGCATCAGTCTCCTGCGCCACTGGTTTCTGCACAGACCACGGTGATATCAAGGATGAGATATGCTAACCTAATGCAGCAAAACGGCGGCAGCGTGGTGAACAGAGAAGCGGATGCACACTACCTCGTCGCTGACCATGTCAGAAACGATGTTCCGAAGGGTTCCATATCGTGGAAGTTCATAGAGGATTCGGTGAAGAAGGGTTCGCCGCAAGACCCAGACAAGTATCGCATCGGCCTCCCTGTCGGCAAAGCCCGCCCTGTGGGATCGTCCGCCCCCAACCGGGCCACACGCACAAAATTTACAAGCGATGACGACGCTTGTCTCATAAGTTGGGTTCTAGCCCGGAGAGACACATTCCCCCCCTCGGGAAATCTTATGTACAAGGCCCTGGAGAATATAGTAAGCATTTACAAGTTTGATGGGGTTGATGGATATAATGTGGCCAAAACAAAGGGGGGTGTTGCGTCGTTCTTATGGGCTAACACTTGCTAGAATGACCGCCACACTTTGGACTCGTGGAGAAACAGATGGGTCAAGAAATTTTCGGGGCTGCCAGACGAACAATTGCTGCAGCTCGCGGGCTTAGATCGGCTCCCTGATCCCGCTCCCAGGAAACAACAGCCCCCGCGGGTACGACACTCCAGTGTTCAACATGGAACATCGCAAGCTGCCGGTGGTATTAGGACTGCGCCGCCTCAAAACACGAACGATAGAAACGAAAACGACACGGGCTACACTCGTCCTCGCGATCAGCCGCAAATGATAGCGGATGACCCTCGTGAGGCCCACGTTACTCGAGACGACGGGCCGGTCGAGGAGGAACAGACGCGGTTTCTCGACGACTTGGCCGAATATTTCAGTACGATAGGAAACGACAGACCGGACTTGAATCCAAAGATCTTTGGTGAGCCTGTGGACTTGTTCCAGCTCCACCAAGCCGTCAAACAATTCTCCGGTGAGGTGAATTGGTCCGCAGTTGCGAAGAGACTTGGCTTCGATTTGAAAAGGCTCCCCAACGCCCCTGACCAACTGCGCAAGTGCTACGATATCACTCTACGCGATTTCGTCGCCGCCTTGGAAGAATTTGAGGAGTCAGACGATGATGACGGGGACGAGTCCACGGGGGAGGAGATCGACTTGGAGGGTCCTGAGAACCAAGCGTCCCCTCAAAGCAGGGTACGTGAAGTTATTTCTCACACCGAAGGGAGGAATGCCGGTAGCCCGCCGCCATCAGGTATGCGCGCCGGGTCTAAGAGGGCTATCGGGACTGATGATGTCCACGGACCCGGGAGTAATTCCCCCAAGCGTCAAAGACGGCCTCGGGGTGACGTGATACCATCCACGCCGGATGAGAAGTTGCGCATCAGGAGACCACCAGCCTTTGGAGAGGATCTCAGCAGTCCTTCCCGAGGCGTTCGGTCAGTAAGAGTTCGACTAGAGAGTTCCCGACAGCTCGAAGCGCAAACCGCCGGCAAGACAAACGTCGAACGGGAGACCCGGTTTCTAGTCTCCGCTACAGACCAAACAGAGGATGTCCCCGAGTTGGAAGAGACGGGGCAATGGGATACCACCCCGTCTCAGCAGCTTCGCTACGAGGAAAATCCCGCCTCCCCTGTTCCTTTTCGGTTGTCGTGCAACAAGAATAGCAGCAGCAACAACAACAACAACAACAACAACAACAACAGCAACAACAACAACAACAACAACAGCAACAACAACAGCAACAACAACAGCAACAACAACAGCGGAAGTGACAGGCGTAGAAGGCCTACGAACAGCCGATCCAGACTACCTGAACCCAGGGAAGATGCCAGCCGCGTCTCCGCGTCGAGAACCACCCCCTCGAGCCACGAAATCCTAGAATGGTCGGCCAGCGTATCCGAGGCGCAAACGCAGGTTCGAGGGCGGGGGCAGGATCGCGAACAACAACAGCAGAAACAGCGGCGGCAGCAGCAGCAGCAGTACCGCGAAGAAGACGAAGACCGTCCCCCCACAACAAGCGACCCGGAAGCCAACGACTGCGCCGAGCTCATAGCCGCCATCGAGCGCTTCGAATCCGTCGGCTATGAGCGCAAAGACGTCATCGCCGCCCTCGCTGCCACGACCCTCAAGCCCGGCCTCGCGGGTCAGGTCATGGAGGTGCTCCGGAGCAAGCGCCCGCTCCCGGATAACATGCAGGGCGTATGGACCCCGCGCGACGACCAAGGTCTCAGACTTGTAGACGACGCTACCGGAGGCCCCCTGCGATCCGCGCGTCATCGGACGGGGGAGGAGGGAACCGCGCCGCTCGAGCGGAAGAACGTCCGCAGGGAGTGGAAACGGCTGGAGAGGAAGCATGGCCTTGCAGAGATCGACGCTAGGCGCGAGTTTCTGGCTTATCAAGAAGAGCTCACTCAGATTCTGACGGGATAAAATAGCGCGATATGTCTGAGTGAGTAATTCAACACGCGAAGCCTCTCTGTACGCATTTGACCTTTGCGTCTGGAGATAGGGGGGCGGCTCTTTCTTTTGGTCGACATATTACGCAATTTATGATACCCCATCTTCCGTTAGACGGGAGCAACTAATCATAATTATTTCTACATTGGCGCACGGTAGTCATGGTGAATAGATCTCGGCGCCGCTGCGATGGCCAAAATACGGAACGTGTTGCGAAAAGAGCCCCATGCCAGATCATATCTCCTTGTGCACCCTTCCTAAACGACCTCTATCTCCCACTACAGCGGAGCCCGCGAAGAACAAATTGCATCAGCACCCATCGTTTCGAGAAGATCCCCATTGCCGACCTGGCCTGAACCGCCTGACCGACCCAGTATAAACGATGGCCCGCACCCCCGACTAACCATTCGAAGAAAGATGATGAAACACGTCCTGCAAACCGCTATGTGAACCCCCCAACGCTAAACGAGGGATGAGTGCGCCAGGAAAAATGAAAGAATGTAGAAGACCCAGATTATTATGCAAGGTGCCGAACTTTTCGCCGCCGTAGACCCCCCGAAGCCATGGGGGCAATATCGTCTGCAACGGTATCAAGAGTAATAGTTTGATTAGATTCAGGGGTAAGTGACATTCTCGAGGAGGAACTGCCCCAGAGAAACCAGGGTAAGTACTCGGTGTGAGAGACTGCGAGTCCGGCAAATTCACCTGTATGAGAGATTGTAAGCTTATTGTCAAGCCCAGGACAGAGACATGGAGCCAAACCTAGAGCAATTAATCCAAGGTTTCGGAATATCGAAGGCGGAAGCCCGTAAGAGCCCATTGTGAGCGAGATCGCGGGACACACGAAGAAAGGCCACCAGCCGGTCCATCCCGACTTCAACGAAGAGAGCTGAACAGCTGACGCAGATTCCGATGCCTCTTTCAAAGTCTGTAAGATTCCATCCGTTTTCTCTTGGGCCTGATCGAGGAGCTCGTTGTGATCATGGTAAGTACTGGACAGATTTTCTGTAGTCGTAAGCAGTTTGCTTAGCCCCTGACCACCGATAAGTTAGCCACTGATTCCAGGTGAAAGCCAAGACAGGATGCACACCTGCTCAAGATGGGTCTGTCGGTCTTCGAGTTCCGTAGCGCGGAGGCGCGAGAGTTCCTGTAAACTAATAGTCAGATTAAGGAATTCTGGACTCGTCGTGCTGTACGTACCAGCTGATCATACAGAGCAGCGCTGGTCGCAGCAGCAGCCGTAAGGGTCGCCATGACCACGGATATTTCGGTATTTGCTCGCTGTGAAACTTCCTGTAAAGCCCCCTCATGAGCTGCAGCAACTGCGCCACTGTTTTCAAGCACCGTTCTAAGGAGAATTGTAATGAGCTGCTGGAGAGACCTCGCGCTCTCTACGCTTTCCCTTGCAATATCAGCAGAACCCTACTCCTCTTAGTACTCGAGTACAATCACTGGTTGTGGGAGTCTTACCTGGACGCTAAATAGTAAATCGGTATTCAATGCTCTCTCCAAAGAGTCGACATTATCTCGAAGACGATCGACCCGAGGAGTAAGATCATCTAGGTGTGCCAATGCCTCTCTGACCTTGATATCATGAAGCTGCCAATGTTTTTCGAGCTCCGCCTCTACGCCTTCTGTGAGCTTCTCGAGAACTTGAGTGAGTCGCTGGTAGAGATAGAGACTCTGGGCTATGTATATCCCATAGTCAGCCGGGGCACGACGGTCTATCATATGGAGTACATCCAGGAGTGTGCTTACCTTTTTCATTGTCTGCTCGAGCGGCCTCACAGAACCTAAGAGATTTATGACGATAGCTGACCCAGGTGTTCCAGGCGGAATCTGACTGAGCCAGACCGGAAAGACACGAGTCAATTTCCTGCGATGAAACATGGAGACGAGGAGTATCGGGGACGGGAACTCGAGCTAAGGCGTCTTCACGGAACTTGAAACAGGCAGAGGGGATGACGAAGCGGCCCCTCTCCAGATCGCAGATAGCCAAACTTGCCGCATACGAGTCGACAAAGTCTCTGACTTGACGTCCACTGTCTGTGAGAACCGTAGCGTCGTCTTTGCCGTCAAGAAGCTGGCAATTGTTGACGAGCAAGCGAGCGGCGATCCTGTGGCAGAGCGGCTCAGACTCAAGCTCCTGAAGTTCACCCATGGCGACGGCGTAGATATTGGGCAGTCGAGACTTTCTGGGTAGAGTAGGATTAAATATCTCTTCCTTGGCGAACTCCAAGCTTGCTGAGGATCTTCTGCCTCCTCCCCATGACAACGCCTCGGCCATCCCATGAGAGCCATCGCGGAGTACGATCCTCAGGACCCCTAGGGAGACCCATAACTTGAACCACAGCATACTTTCCAACGCCCGCTCTCTCAAATTTATTCTATGCCGGTGATAGATGGCGGTTTCAAGCTGAGGATGCTGTCGTGAGAGAGAGGGAGGATCGGCCCGCAAGTTTCAAGCTTCGCGAAGACCAAACCACCAACAATGTGGAACTGAGGGGAGAGAAGACGAAGGTGCAGACAGGAAGATCCGCAAAGACATACGCCTATCGCGGATACATTAAAGGCGGGCGAGATATAGTATTCGCTTCGAATAAATAGGAACCTGCCTACCAGAAGCAGACAGCAGTGATGTGTCCTATATTTCAGGACAGGCACACGATGAATGAGGGCACGAGAGTCTCTTTCGACCAAGCGGCGGAGGATGAGACACGTTCTATGTTCTGCACAACCCTAAAAGACAGATCCATCAGGAAGGGCAGGTAGAAGGGCGGCGAATTTTGTCAACGACAACTGGGGTCTGGCGAGAGCAGGTACGGGGCGGGTGCGACTTCCGCACTGGCCGAGGCAACGGGTAAGGTAAGGTAAGGTACTAAGATTTTGCTCTAAGCAGTCCCAACTCCAACAGAAGGAGCTACCCTGCAGAGTCGTCAAGGAGGAAAGCAGGCGAGGGCTCCATATATCTCGACGGGGGAGATTCTGCATGGCCTTATGACTCTCCAAGCTGTGCAATGCGCAGAGGGTCTCTCGCCCATCGTGAATTGCCCGACTTTTCCTCAATCTCTAGCTTCAAGAGCTTGATCAGGGCCACATCAAGTGTGCCGTTATTTTCGTACACCTTGAAGCGCAGCCCAGGCGGCCTGACTTACCTTTATGTCCAGAAGTCGGTGCTGGGGATGGTGATCCCCATCCCCGGGATGTTGGTGAACTGACAACCCCCGAGTCTACCAATTTTATGGATTCAAGGCAGTCTAGGAGGACGCTGTCCGTGAGCTCATCCCACAGCACACGTGGTTGTATATTCATGTACTCGCAGCGTCAGTCGTCACAGACGGATATGAGCCACGAACGCTCCATTACGGAGGATTAAGTACTGTTACGTGCCCACTACACTAAGGTACTGGGTGATCTGAGATAATACATGGGCTGAGCCACGTGGTAGTGGGGCACAAAGTACCAATACCTAGCGTACTGTACCGGCATGTGTACGGATACGAAGTGATTGGAGCAGGTCAACATCTTAACAGTTGTCGTTGTGGCTAAGCCAAATTTCCTTACATTCCGTCGTCCAATTACTGATCTACGGATACGATTGAGATGCATGCTTGATGGGTTAACCAAAATATATACGGCCAGGACCTCTCACGAACGAGGGAGTAGCTGGGCCCTCTGACTGGACGGTGTAAACTGTAACGCGCAGTATCCCAAGGTACAGGGACTCCACCTGAACACGAGGAGTACCTAGGTAAGGTAGCTCTGAAATTTTGATATGGAAAGGGAGACGACCCTGGAAAAGTGGGGTGACAGTCAGACTGCCAACAGTCGTGAGGTTATGATCTTTAGACGAGGCACAATCTCGCGTCAAATAAAACCACAGAGTGGCGAGGCGTCAACTCAATGCCCTACCTAGTACCAGTGTCTCCCCTCTTTTCTCGAACGTCTTTTCTATTACTCTGGTTGGCAGTATGCTGATGGCGATTATTACGCCACACCTTGACACTACACCACGTGGAAATCCGGGTTGGATAGTCTTCCGCGAAGACGCCTTGATGGGTCGAGTGCTTCAAACCCCAGGGCCACATATCCAACTTCAACCATGAGCACCTCAATGCAACCGGCCATACGTCAATGTGCACGCAAATCGATAAACGGTGGGAGTGCGGGCATACCGGCTTCTTCACCATCAAATGGTGTCATCAGGAGGGCTGTCGTGGTCCAGGCGCAAAACATGAGATCCTTCATGTTCAAGGCAAATGCATGGACTGCAATGCCCGAGCCAAAGACCCTAACCCGCGGCCTTCAAAATGACGTTTGGTATCGTAGATACCCGAGGGAACGCGCAGGCCTTTCATGAACTCAACCTCACTAAACCCTTCCAAGGTCAAGCGTCCAAGACTCGAGCGAGCGTTACTCAGAGCCACCAGACATGCATTCCGAATCACACATACTTGAGAAGAGAGGGTGCCATCAGGCGAAAGAGCAAGTTACATGGTAACAGGGTTTCTGCTCTAGGCTACAATTTCTTTTTACGAGCCATTTCGGGGGCCTCTCTCAAGAAAACAACCGTGCCCAGAATCCTTTGCCCTTTGTCTTTCTCACGCAGCAAAGTCCCCTTTCGTTCTCATAAGAGGGTTTGAATCGAGAGAAACAGAGAGAGAAAAGGCTGCCAAGATTTTGTCGTCCCCCCAATTGAACCGGTTCACCTCCGAGCTCCTTTCTTTGTGTCAACCACGCTGAGAGGATTCGGAAACTCGACTACCGGTCCCAAGTTCGCGGGGAGTTCATGTAGCCTGCGTTGTAACATCCACAGCCAGAATAGACAGCCTGGCAGGGCGGGGCTTGCGTACACTGCAGGGCCACAAGATTGGGAACGCCAGCCAAGGACTGTATGTTGCTGGCGGTGCACTGCGAGGTCATGAACCGCGAGCACCACGAGCTCTGGCTCGTCCTCGCCCCGCCGACGGCTAGCCTGAAGGCCCTCCAGCAGTCATCGACGCTGCAGGTGATCGTGGGGTAAGTCGTGGTCGCCGGAGCCACGGGCGTCGTCGTCGTCTTGGTCGTCGTCGTCGGCGCCGGGGGGTTCGCTGGGTTTCCGTTTCCACGGGTGGGTGTTCCGCGGACAAAGGGGAGCCCCGGGACGCCGTTGACGCAGTACCAGTAATGAGCGAGGATAGCTCCGCCCTCGCACCCTCCGCCAAGCAGTACTTGTGGATTCAGGGCGAGGAAGAGCCTGAGGGAAATTCGATGGGCGCTTGCGATGTCTTGACACGTCACGCCAGGGGACGCTTTGTAAAATTGTTCGCAGTTGGGATAGGCACCAGGCTGCATGGGGACCGGAGTGTTGATGGGGGGTCTGGCCTGGGCAACAGCGGCCGAGAGGGCGAGCGTCGCGCTGCCGAGGAATGACAGGATATGGGACAGCCGCATATTGTGTGCGCTTAGGGTGCTTTCTAAACTCTTGTCAGGAGACCCCCAAGACTGGGCGAAATGAACCTGAATCTCAACGTTCGCTGCTGTTGAGAGTAAGGGTGAGTTGTTCTGAGATGGAGATACTGGGCTGGAGCAGCTTTAATGGGAGTATAATATAGAAGAAAGCGAAGAAAGCGGCCGCGAACGACGCCGATGTCTTGGAAAGGCCATCTCGATAAAATTAGAAGCAGTTGAGTCGACTTCGGTCATGAAGTGAACTGAAGACAATAAAAACTCAGGACACCATTAGATGTAAACGAGCCTCAATAAGATATTCGCTATTGAGGAAACGCAGGGCACTATAGGATGTTTCCTCAGGAGAAAAAAATATCTAGAAAGATGCATAGCTAAGGCACTCACGTAAATATAGTAGCAATTGCCAGCAATGTGGACAAGAACCCAAAACACCGGAGCAGCAGGGAGGATCTCTTCTTTGAGAGCACGATCCAGCTTGACCTGGAGCTTTAAAGAGACTAGGACTTGGCAGTGCGGTCTTCGATGGCTCGGTGAAGCGAGCCCCAAACATGGCCGATATCGAACAAAGGACGTGACCAGGCTCGTGACGACTTCCTTGTCAGCCACATCCGCCACATCAAACGGGTTTCCACGGTCAAGCTCATACGTCACGGAAGTGCATATTACCTCCGTATCTGATGCCGATAGCGCCTTGCAAGGCTCTATACGGAGTATGTTCGGAAATGGAAAATCCAGTGTGCCTCGAAGTCATGAATATACGTGTGCGGAGTGAGGTCGATTTCAAAGTCCTCAAGCAAGTCGTTTGGAACACGACTGGTGCGTGTACTTACGTAAGGTATCCGCACTTGTTTCCGTACCTTGTTTGTCTTGGCAATTCAGCGTGAGATCTGCTCGACAGATTTGACTCGCTACCAACGAAGTATAGATACCTTTAGGACTGATACGTATCCACGTATACGAAGTCGTGATACATGCACGAGCTTTGTACGGTACGTATACGTCCCCACAGCATGCAAGGCTGAACTCGACAAAGTGGGGTTTGTGGAGGTTTACAAGGGATCATCCAATAGGAAAACGTTCTCGTTTAGTCTTGGCGTTAAATCGCACGACTTCTTACTCTTCAGCCTCGAGTATCATACGATTGACAAGCCGATACGGTCGATTTCGGTACCCGCCTACCAAGACTCTCTCTGCCGCGTAGTAGCGAAGCAACGAATTGAATTTGTCCTCTCTGATGTCCTCAAAATTTGTAGGAAACGTATTGGCGGCCATCAAATGTCGCTTTCCCCAATGTATTGACCGGGCCGTCTCAGTTCCGCCGACCTAGATTCCGACTCCCTAACCTCAAGTTGGGCTACCTTCTGTGTGTGACTGCGCTCCCAGCACCGATTGGATCTTTTTGGCTCGGACGGGTATGCGGACAAACTGGTTTCTTCTAGTCTCTGGCGACCGCTCGCATTTCACTTACCTCCTGACGCTTTTCTTCGCTTCTTCTATCATACTCCTCTGACGGTCGAAGTCGCTGATTTGAACACACCGCACGCTGTTCTTCCCCCCTCGTTACAAAGCTTAGTCTTTCCCTGGTTCACGGCTTACCGGTACTGTTGCGAAGTGCGCTTGCGAAAGCACGCCGGTCTCTTACTAGTGACACACACCGTGGAGCCTCCGTCGATGCGAATTGCGAAAAGTCGCCAGCGGTCGGGCCTGAACATCTTGTTCCATCCTCCATCACATTCCTGGTGTTCTCGTCTCTTCATGCCACACGGGCCCTACGCCACCCGTCATCATCGACGGCACCTTCCAACCTTCCGATTCATCGTTGCCTAGAACACGTGTCGGAAATCCAGTCGACTACCCGATCTCGAAGAAGCCGACCGCCGAGGGACTCGGGGCTGGAATGCTGCCGCTATTATGGACCCCATCTTCCTGAGAAATCTCAATTACTTCTCGGGCCAAAACCTACCATCCAATGTCGCCCAACCTGGAGCACCTTCCGTGCCTGTCGTACCACGAGATCCGAACGATATAGCGCTGTGGGACGCTTTGGCCGCTCAAGACTTGGCCGCCTCTGCATCAACCTCAAACCTCGCCTCTGCGCAGCACGCAGCCGCGCACCCCTCCTACCGCCACCCCAATCTTCAGCAACCCACTCCGAGCACTTCCAAGCGCCATGCGCCCGCAGACCCTGATCCGTCAATATCCGGTCAGCGGCAGCGGGGAGGCCACGAGAGGAAGAGAACAAGGACAGACGGAGGCACTGGGGCTTTTGAACCGGTAGACTCTTGGCTACAGTTCGACGACGATGAAATGGATAATGGTCTCGGCGGGAGCTTCGAAATTGATTTCTCCAGACGCCAGAATTACCCTTCAGGCTTCGGTGGCTATGGGAGGTACGACGCAACACAACATCTCCTCGCTCGTCAAATGCTGACTCTTCCAGACCTACGAGCCGCCTGAATCCATTGCCCACAACTCCCGGCCTGGGCACGGGTCTCTACGCGAACCCGACGTTCAAGGAAGAGGTGTTCGAATTCGACGATGGCGCACTGGATAATGCCCTGTCGGATGACGAGGATCTGTTTGATTCGATAAATTTAGGCGAACAACTGTCCACCATCGATACCCAGCCACCATCCGAAGTGCCTCCCCGGGAAGGACTCTATTCTACTCCGCTTAGCTGGGAAAAACCCGTACCAGGCCTACCAATGAATCCGCCGTTCTTTGGCATCGGCACCCCAATGCTCGACCCAGAGCAAAGGAGATTACTTGCCATAGCATTGAACACAGGTGGCTCTTCAAGCTCAGGGTTTGGCCTGGGAACAGGCGGCGACCTTGAATCGGAGCCATCTAGTATGGGGCACCTTGGGTCGACCACCGCAACGGCAAACCCCAGCGAGATATCCAAGGCCCACGACGACGAAGCGTTCAAGACGAAAGGGAAGGGGAAGGAGAAGGAGAAGGAGAAGGGGAAAGAGAAGGAAAAGGAGAAGGAGAAGGGAAAAGAGAAAGAAAAGGACGAGCCGACAGAAACATCGACCAAGGGGCAGAAAGGTCAAAAAGCGGTTGGCAGCGCCCAAGAACATTCAAAAGAAAAAGCCAAGGCTGGAGACCGGACGGCACATAATGATATCGAAAGGAAATATCGGACGAATCTGAAGGTCAAGATCGCGGAATTGCGCGATGCTATCCCTTCACTTCGTTCGCTGCCGGAAGAAGGCGACGAGGAGGGAGACGGCGAGGACCAATCACGGGGACCATCTAAAGTGAGCAAGGTCAGTCCATGGCATACCAAAGCACCTTTTATTCCAAGTCATCAGGGGTTCGGGGTTCGGGGTTCGGGGCTCGGGACTAATTGGAGCCTGTATAGGGGACTATTTTGCTCAAAGCGACGGAATATATCCAGCAACTCGAGAAGCGCAACAAGGCCATCATGAAAGAGCACCAGGAACTCTCCCGACGATTACAGGCTTTTGAGCAGCTGTTGACCTCAACGACCCGGCAATCATTCCCCATGCCGACCTACAGCAGGACATTGTTCGATCCTCGTGGTTTCTGTTAGGCCTTCGTCGTTGCTCGAGATTCGGCAGGTCTAATATCTCGGACTGTACCCCATAAGGTAGATATATATCTTGCATCTCTCACACTCTCCTACACATACAAAACAACATGTCATGCCCCGCGGAGTTTTGATTTTGGGCGAAAATCACAGAATTATGGGAGAATGTGGGTTTCTTTGAATCAGCGGAAGAATAATAGAATTGAACCCAGCGATCGTTCTGGAGGCATCTACCTACCACCATGCCGACCGTCCTACTTTGTCGGGATAGCATACTTTTACCAGGCCAGTGAATCCTGTGCAATGATGGTAATCGTGGAGATACCAAGACAGCCACACTTTTAACATAGTTTTAGCGTAGAAGTCATGAAACCTCGGGTGGCATCTACATCACAGCTGTTCACTCCTACTGGCGAAGTAGTGTTGCCGATAAAGAATACAAGGTATTGTATTGTACAAGTGTCTCTAATACATCTTACACGGCCAAGGGGATAAACTGGCCACTTTTTCGCTTCCTTTGATATGTCTCCTTTTGCTCCTTCTTCTTTTAGTCACGCAAGGCTTCGATATCGGCCACCTCCTTGACCGCCTCGGTCGTCAAAATGAGAGGCGACGTCTCGTCTACGCAGATGCTGTCCTCAATGCGGACCGCCATGCCGCGGAAGTGCTTCGGCCACCTATCCTCGTCGGGGACGTAGATGCCCGGCTCGATGGTGACGCAGTGGCCCGACTGGAGCGGGACTCGGCGTCCATAGCCAGGGACATCGTGAATGTCGAGCCCGATGTAGTGGCCGACGTGGTGGGGGAAGAGGCGGTCGAGGTCGCGCTGCGTCAGGCCGTCGAAGCCGAGGTCGCGGAGCTCTTGCAGGAGGCTGGCGGCGGTGCGTCCGTGGATGTCATCCAGGGAGAGGTTGGCGTTGGCGCGGCAGAGGGCGACCGAGTCGCGCTGGACCCGGAGGACGGCTTCGTAAAGGTCGCGCTGGGCGGGGGTGAAACGACCGTCCAGGGGCCAGGCGCGAGAGATGTCAGTCACGTAGGTACCGTACTCGCCTCCGGCGTCGATGAGGACCGTTTCGCCGGGGTGGAGGGGGGCGTTGTTCAATACATAGTGGATGCAGAGGCCGTTGCGCCCGCCGCCGACGACGGGGATGTAGGCGGGCCCGTCGCAGCCGCCGACGGTGAAGCGGTAGTCCAGGAAGGCGTGGAGGTCCTTTTCGCTGGTCCAGGGGCGGCGCATAGCGTCCGTAATGACACGGCCGGAGATCTGGCCCGCTTTTCGCATGTTCGCTATCTCGGCGGGTGATTTGATGGCCCGCAGGGCGTTCATGTGCGGGTAGAGGGCGGAGATGGCCGAAGGCCACCCGGGGGAGGTGCCGGACCGGCGGAGGCGAGACCAAGTGCTGCTTTCCGAACCAGCACGGCCCGGCTCACCCATGTCGGCAAAGACCTGGGAGGCTCCCTTGAGTAGATCGGGTAGAATGATGTCGATGCGATTGATATCGGCGGCGTGGTCGGCGTTGAAGATATCAATGGCGGCCTGAACGCCGTTGCGCGGCCCGTTCCATTGCTCGACGGCCGGGTCCTTCGGCTGACAGAAAAGATGAAATGCAAAGTCACACCATTCCTTGCCCGTGTTGCGGATGACGGCCACAGATTCGGGCTCGTTCCAACCGGTGAGATACAGGAAGTTGCTTTCTTGGCGAAAGGCGTGGAAGACGGCTCCCGAGCGGTACTTGACGTCAGCGGCCGTGAGGACGGCAACGGCACCTTCGGGTAGGCGATGGGCAAGGCTCGCTCGACGGTCCCAGTATTCCTGGGCGGTGATACCGGGGGTGACTAGGCGAAAGGACGACAGTAAGAACTGAGATATACGGACACAGAGAACGCTCGTGGCCATGCTCGCGGTGACGACAACTCACTTTCACTGGGTTTTAGAATATGAGGGTGCGTCTCATGGACCGGTTGGCCGAACTGCATATCGGCGGCTGATATTGACGCATAACTTCGACATGGAGAGTTATTGATATGCCGTTGAGCGACTCGACTTCGAGGTTGGGCAAAGCGAGAGACAGCGAGAGTAAGCTTCTTCAAGCTTTGTCGGCTACAACGAGCTGGACCCGCGAAGCTCATGATGAGCAAGGCAGGGAGCCTCAAGGTAGAGGGACCGAAGGCAAGGACGACGATAATGAGATGCCAGAACGAGCCAGGACCACCAGAAGGAGACTCCCCCCAGCGGCTTTGTTTGTTCCTCTGAGATTGGTGGCTCAGGAGTATGTTGGTCGGGCCTCGATCCTCGTCGTGCTGTCTTGCATCCCTCGGTGGAAATATCAAGTTTTCGCTCGGGCGGGACAGTATAATACAGCGTTGCCACAGAATGGTGATCAAGGAAGATGTCAAGGGGGGCGTTGACCGGCGCTGACAACGGTGATTTTTTGGCCCGACAAGCGCTGTAGCTACAGCGACATGACGTGAAGGGGGTCGCTGCAAAGCGCCCTGAAGACTTGCTGATAATCACGAATTACAGTGTATTACAGTGTGGTGGAGCCAACCCCACAGCGGCTTAAGGTAACCCCGGACCGGCTTGGTTCCCTTTTAGGCGGTTGCTGGAGCGGAATGTGGCCCGTGCATGTTGTCTGGTCTGCCCAACGGGGATTAGCGCTGTTGTTCTGTTCTCCAACCGATTAAGTGGGGCTCCCAATACACGCGCTTCCCGAACACACCAAAACGTTGACGACCAAACTTCCTACAGCTCTTCCTCCCACTTCAACAGTCAACCTTCCCTCCCACCACCATAGACCGAGCTCGACTTGCATACCCTCCTAATTGCTCCCCCATTCTTCCCCTTTAGGCTGTCTGGTCTGTCAGGCGTCCTTTCTCTATTCTCAATGCTTTCTTGACCCCCTTCGTGCATGTTCGAGTGAGTACGCGGTCGAGACGTGTTGGCCTCCACACGCGTGCCCACCCACCACCCACCCAGGGAGAGAGAGAGAGGGAGAGAGAGCTTCCACCCAAAATCCCCTCTGTCACACACACTACATACATACATAGAAGGACGTCTTCACCTTCTTCACGCGGCCCTTATATCCCACCGTTCTCTCTCTCTTCTTCCTTCTCACCCAAACAGTATTTCTGATTGGGCATTTTTATGGCAACCATATCTCTATCGTCCTCTCATGACCCCTTCTCCGCCATGTCGACAAGCACGAGACGGACTCCCTTGTCCAACAATCCCAATGTTGCCAACTCACCATTGCGAGGTGCTTCGACTTTGGCCCAGGCCAAGCAAAAGCGTTCCCATGCCACCATCCAACGTGAGGAGTTGTACGGCCAACCTCCCCCATTGAAGAAACAGATGCTTGATGGTGGTTCCCAACGTCAGCTTCGTTCTCCCTCCAAACTCAGTGTCAACAGGACGCTTCCCCAGCGTATTACTCGCTCGACTACATCTACTACTACCACGTCAGCCACTACCAGTGTAAAACCCGTTCAACATGCCCCCCTGCAACACGATGCGAATATCGAAAGGATCCGCCAATGGCAGAACGAGTACCTTGCTCGTTTCCCCAAAATGGTCTTTTACTTTGAGAGCATCTCGGAAGATCTTAGGGCCAAGTTGTCGAAACAGGCTACTAGTCTGGGTGCTGTGAGTAGTCTGCCTCTACTTCGAAACAGATCTTGTATCTAGGCGGCACACGTTTTTTTTTAGTGTCAAATACAAGTTACTAACGGGTTTTTTTTTCTTATATATGCAGCGTGAGGAACGATTTTTCTCGAACAACATCACGCATGTTGTCACGACCCGGCCGGTTCCGACCGAACAGGATATTGCTCAGGCAGCCCTTCGCGAAGAGGCCTGCCCGGAAGAGCAGCCTCAAACAATCAACCCATCTCTTCTCCTCGATCGCTCAACAGACCCAAGGCGCCGTTTGTTCGATACGGCTTCGAGACGTGCTCATCCCCACCCTCAAGACGACGGCGTTCGGCGCCCCAGGACTGTCCGGAACAATGACATGCTCTTCAAAGCCCGTGAAATGGGAAAGAAGATCTGGCCTCTCGAGAAATTTCAGAGAATGCTGGATATTCTACTGCAGCCGGATCCGTACGCTGCTGTACAAGGCGTCAGGGGAGACGCAACCTCCCGTCACGCCCTAGGCAGTAGAAGGCCGGGTGAGGAGCCCAAGTTGTCCAAGCTTCTACAGCACGAACGTCTCAATGGTCCCTCAGACCGTGATCCGACTGTTGCCACCCGGGAGCTGGTTCACTTCAAGGGCCCTCACATCTATGTCTACGATATCGATGAGAAGCAGAAGCCCATCATGGTGAGAGAATACCCAAGGGTGAACCAGAAATACGAAGGCGAATGGCCCCAGTTCCGTACGGTCACCGAAGGTCGGTGTCCCTTTGTCGAGGAAGTCAGCCCCCAGGATAGGGAGTCTCGAATGGCCCGGGCGCAAGAAAAGGAACGTGCAGCCAACAAACGGGCTGCCGAGTCTCGTGCGACCGCCGCACCCTTGCAGTCTCGTGAGCCGACAGCTCCCAAGCCCGTCATCGGCGCGAAGCGCACCCTGGGCGAGATGCAGGACGGCCCCAACCTCGCAGCCCGCACCGAGGTCAAGCCGGCTGAAATGATATTTCAGCCGCTCAATCTCAAACAGGCCGACGCCGCCCCTCAAACGGGGTTCACGAGTCGAGCGCCAGCTGGCCGTCTCTTGGCGGGCGAGCCGGTCGCGTCGGGTGTTCAGCCGTCGAACATCACTTCGGCCATCCGGTCTCAGATGATCTCGTCGGCGTCCGGCATTGGTGCCGCCAAGGCAGGAACGAGCAAGGAAGTACATGGGCTTCAGCGACAAGTTCTTCAACGCGGCGCCTCCAACTCGCACGAGATGAGCTCTCGTCGGCCTGAGTTGAGCCTGGATGTCGCATCTAGCAGATCGACGGGCACGACTCGCGCCACGAGCCGTAAGCTGGAACTCATCGAGGAGGACGCCGGGAAGGGCGGCGGCGAACTGAAAAATGCTCGCACCACCAAGATGCAAACAGCAGCTCCTGCACAGAAGAGCAAACGTGATCTCAAGCCTGGCTACTGTGAGAATTGCCAGGATAAGTTCAGGGACTTTGACGAGGTAAGAGACTTGGCCACTCCATCAGCCCTTGTGGGGCTGGGTGTTCTCTCCATAATGCTGACATGGGTTTTTTTGCCCCAGCATATCCTCTCTCGCAAGCATCGCAAGTTTGCCGAAAACGACGAGAACTGGTGCGAGCTGGACGAGCTGTTGGCACAGCTAAAGCGGGTTCCCAAATTCAATTTCGGTGACATGGAGGATATCCATCGGTAGGCCGGGCTGTTCTTCTTAACAACTGCTTGGATGCCCGGCCTTCAACTTGCAGGCCACTGCGATCGATGATCGACGAACCAAGACATCCGACGTTTCTGACACTCGACTCCGTCCCTTGTGGGCGTGCCCGACCACGAACCTACTTTTCATGCCATCCACCGAAAGCACGCAACGAAATGCCATCGATCCTCTTTTCTGCCCTCTCTTCGATCTTTCTTCTTTTGCGAGCCATACACAGCTGCTTCTGCTTCCTGCATAGCCAGCGGTGCGCCTCGGGTTCAGCCCGAAATCTCTTCAAGGTTTCCTTTCTTTCTCTGGATTATAATTTTTTTCTTCGGTCGCTTCTTTTCCGGATTTCTCCCAAGCGGACAGGCACTGAACGCATGGCATGGACATAAAGGCGCAGGGCATGAAGCATTTACATTTATACCCCAGGTTTTCGGGGCCGATTCATTCTCCGGGGTTTCTTGGGGGGCTCTTATTTTCTTCACTTCTCTCGACTTTCTCTGTTCAGGGCTTTCGGGTATGCATGTTGCGAACTTGGTATGAGGAAACGGGGTGGGGGAACGGGTATGGCAGCCCGCTGGTTGGGAGAATTGAGGGTTTCTGGGATGATGTCGCCGGCATCGAGTGTAGGCATCGGGTGTGCCGCACAAGGGCCAGTTGGAAGGGGTTCGAGAACGAGATCTATGATGATCGTTTCGCCTCGAGGGCCGGTGGAGCTTCGTATAGATTTACCGACTGGTTTACAAAACAGTATCGGGATCTGTATCTTACACACGAATGAAGTAAACCTGAATCTTTCTGAGTTGCTTGGTTTCATGGCTGTCCATCATCACGCGCCTCTACTTTCAGTCCCTGAGCAAAGAAAGACGAATACCCAAAAAGGAAGAGAAAAAAAGAAAGGGCTGAAAGTTGAAGATCACAGCCAGATTTGCATCTATCGGTCGCTTGGACTACGTTGTATGTCTTAAGCTCATCTAAGCTCATCTAAGCTCATCTAAGCTCATCTAAGCTCCTCTCATCTACGGCTATCTGTCCCATTCCATACGCATACATAGAATAATATTACAGGTTCTTCTGATGGGGAGGGGAGACCAAGAGAAGGAGGATGGTCAAAGGAAAGGGACAAAGAAAAAAGCTGCTGCTTTTTTCTTTGTCCCTCTTTAGGTACATGCATCTGGATATGCATCCCCAAAGTCAGCGAATAGGGGCATCAGTGTATCCATGACTGTCTCGTCGCGAATCGCCTCGTAGATGGTACTGACGTCGGTGCCGATGGTCTTTCCTACGCCGCTGTCCTGGATGGTGCTGCTGCCCCTGAGACCGCGGTGGAACCCAACACCGAGAAGGCCGCGAACGACACGATATAACTCACTTGCACCCCGGCCCAAGCCCTCGGGTATTTTGATTCCGGGAGTCGTCGTAGCAGTAGCAGTAGCAGTAGCAGTAGCAAAAGAAGAAGAAGGAGGAGGAGGATCAGGATCGTTGACCGGGTCAGTGACCCAGCTTTGCATGTCCCGATGCAGCGTCTTCTGGAAGGAGATGACGGCCTGGGCGACGGTGACGGGGTCGATACCTTCCTTTTGTTCGACGGTGGTGGTGAGAATGAATGAGGCGAGGTCCGAGGCGACGTGCTTGCATCGTTCGATGTGCCCTATTCTGTTCGCCTCGTGCCATCTGCGGACTAGCAGATCCCGTAGGTCGCGGCAGAGACTGGCGCGTGTTTCTGGCGATAAGCCCAGGGAGGATAATGACGACGAGGGGGAGGAAGAGGGTTCAAGGGCCAGGTGAAGAACATGGTGGGCGAGGAAGCGACGGTGGTAGTGGCGCAGGTCGACGGCCTGGCAGCAGACGTACAGGTGGGCGGCGCATATATGGGCAAGGAGGTCGAGGGCCTCGGCAGTGCGGCGGGCGGAGAGGAAGGCGAGCGAGTTGATGGACTGGTTACGCATCTCGGCGGGCAGGACGTGGGCGGAGACGGGGTGGGCGAGGGCGGCGAGCTCGGACATGTAGGCAGCCATGTTCACGTCGAGGCCCTTCATGGTGTACGAGTCGTGGGGGTCGCCGAAGACGAGGTTAGCGTCGAGGCCGTTGTTCAGGGCCGGGTCGATGAGCTCGGTGCACTGGGCGAAGAGCATGCGGCCGATCATGACGAGGGCCGACTTGGTCTTGTCCATGGCGGAAGTGATGACGGTGGCCTGGAAGTTGCCGCCCGAGTAGACTTCATTCTTATCCGCTTCGATGACCGGGTTGTCGCACGTCGAGTTCAGCTCCAGCTCGACTTGGCGCCGGGCTTGGAGGAGGTCTTCCAGGTAGGGGCCGATCCATTGCGGCGCGGTACGGGTCGAATAGCGGTCTTGCCAGAGGCCGTCGCCCGTGCGCCTTTTGTCCTCGCCGTTGAGCCCGACGACGAAAGTTGAGCCCCCTAGCAGGGCTCTGATGGTCCGAGCGGCCTCTTGCTGGCCCGGGTGCGGACGTATGGCTTGAATGAAGTCGTTAGACCACTCGACGTTGCCCGAGAGACACTCTGCGGTGAAGGCGGTCAGGGACTGGGCCAGAAGGGCAAGCTGGTGTGCCTGGTGGAGCACGAGGGCGGCTAGGGCGGCGGACGGGGCTGTGCCGTTGATGAGACCGAGGCCTTCCTTGGGGCCCAGCTCGACGGGAGTGAGGCCCTTGGTCTCGAGGGCGACCTGAGACGAAACGATGCGGTGGCCGGTGGCGTGGGAGTCGGAGTCGGAGTCGCTGCCGAGACGGACGAAGATGTCGGGGTTCCCGGTCAAGGTGCCAGCGATGTAGGAAAGGGGCATGAGGTCACCCGAGGCGGAGATGGTGCCGCGGAGGGGGACCAGAGGCGTGATGTCGTGGTACAACAGCTGAAGCAGCTTGTCGATGACCTCCAATCGGACAGCACTGTGACCTCGTAGGTTCTGGTTCGCGCGTATCAGGATGGCGGCTTTTACCCAGGAAACTGGGATGACGTGAGACTGGCCATCTCGATCGGTACGACCGGCCTTGTCGTCGGAGGTGATGATGGCACTCTGGGTATGTTGGAGGAGGGCGACTTGGAGCTTGTTCAACTGTTCCGTGCGGGAGTCGGCACTACCGCCAAAGCCCGTGTTGACGCCGTAGATGATCCAGCCATTCTCGAGATGACGGTTGAGGACGCGAATGCTGTCCTGGAGACGGCGTCTGAGAAGGGGATCGGCTTTGATGTTAGGCGCGAGTCCATGCCAAGCCGCGGCGACGACAGAAGGGATATCGAGAGAGCAACCGTCAATGTCGAGTGAAGCGCCTCTGACCTTGAGACCCTGAAGCTTTTTCCACGTCTCATAAACAGTGAACGTGAAACCTAGAGGAGGTGTCCTGGACTGGATATCGGTAGCACGTAACATACTGGAGCAGGCTTATTACGGAATGTGTTGCTGTAGGGTAGAGGCGGTATGAGTACCTATGGACATATGAGTGCCTAGACGCCGAGGATTGCGACGGTGGATATCACGCCTTCATCTAAGCCGCGTCTTTACTTACGACGTCTTCTTCCTCTGGGTCGAAGTCGAGAAGTCAAGGGCAGAGTGAGGACGGACAGAAGTGGGAAAGCGAACAGAGAATTGTGCGAATAAACCCCCTATCTTTTTTCTTTTCTTTTTTTCCTCTGCTTCTTGTTTCTCTTTTGCTTTTGAGACCCCTGGTTGACTTGAGGCCTAAGGCGTGAACCAAGACAAGCCACGTCGATATGATGTGTCTGAGATGGCTATGAAAGATCCAGGGGTAGCCACTCGGATGAAGCGGAAGTAAGTGGAAGAGGAAATCGACGACTTGGAGATTGGCGCATTTGTATGATGATCTACTCCCCTTTAATAGAGAATGTCTGAGGCTCCTTGGAACAAATCTCTATTATATCCGAGGTTTTAATATGTATGCTTATAAGACGTGGACAAGTTGATGGTAGTGATAGAGTAAAAGTAAAGCGTGTTCGAAGTTGAATAATAAATCAGCTACGCGCTGAAAAGAAACGAGTCCGAGCGACGTTCTGACCTCTCACCGCCGTGTGTCCTGTGCTGTGATCGGGTAGCATGTGTCATAGTGGGTCCTCGAATAGGTGATAGTACCTGCAGGTTAATGTACTTTAGGTACGTAAGGTATACGTTGTAACCACTGTACAACCCCCTGCTGAACTACCTAAGGTACCTAACCTGACATACCTCATTCATGTTCTCCTCCCTCTCACCATCAACCCTTCCTCCATCGACTGCTACCGTACCCAGATCGTCACCTGCTCTGTTCTACATCTTCCTCAGCACACATGCTCTATTAAAATCCGGATTTCTGTCGAGTATAGCATAATATAATACTAGTGCCCAACAAGTGTTTCGAGTCCCATCAATCCCAGGCCAGCTATTCAGCTCTCACGCATCAGGCCCTCCCCTCACGACGTCCTAACACGCGTCGCGATCCCTCTTCCAACAAGTTCATCAAGTCACCCACATAAACACTATGGCTTCCGATCCTCCATCCCCGCCCGACTTCGGAATCACGGATAGGTCATCATCTCCGGGTATTCCCTTGACCATGACCGCCTCCGCCATCTTGACCGCCCAGCCCCGAGATGTCGCCGCCGCACTTGCTTCCGCCGTCCGGTTCCCCCAAGAAAAGGTCATCGTTCACTTTAAACCCATCGGCAACGCCCCAGCTCTCGCCCGCGCTACTTTCAAGATCAGCTCCACCCAGAAATTTGAAGCTGTCGTCTCCTGGCTCAGAAGGCGCCTCAAAGTCCAAGACACCGACAGCGTGTTCCTCTACATCAACAGCGCCTTCGCTCCTTCTCTTGACGAGGTCATTGGGAACCTGCACTCCGTATGTCTTTATCTGCCCCTTGTGATACTACGGTCATTTGTGCGTAGCTGGAATGAGTACTGACAAGGGACTGCTGTCGAAAGTGCTTCAAGGATATGAATGATCAACTTATCGTATCCTATTCTATGACTCCGGCCTTTGGCTGAGAATAGAACGCGGACGAGAAAACAAGTCTATCCTGTCCCATCCATCGGCAAAAAAGACCGAGATATATGAAGCAGAATGGTATCCCAAAAACAAAACTTTGAAAAAGAAATCATGTGCTGCATGGATGCTTCGCTTCATGCTTGATGCTCCATGATGCCGCCCATCATGTCCGAACACCTGTTTGTTGTAAGTGACCCTTATCTTCCCTGCCTTCGTGCCCCATCATTACCACCCCATCCAACTCCTTTTGAACCCTCCCAGTACCTTCATTGACAGCCCAGTTCATAGCTTTTCCACCGCCCTTTGGAAAGCCTCCAGTTCATCCTTCGAGATTGGATATGTGTGCTCCGGTGCAGGATACTGCCGGGTCTTGACCTCATCCCGATACGCTTCGATAGCGCGAAAGCTCTCGCCCCAGACATCGCCATACTTTTTAACGAACTTGGGGAGGAACCTGCCTGGCGGGAAATTACCCGTCATGTCCACTTGCACGAGCACCTGGCCCGCGCACCCATTCCCGGCCCCGATGCCGATCGTGGGTATTGACAGCTTCTCCGTTACCAGCGCGGCTACCTCGGCTGGCACCGCCTCCAGCACCATAGCGTACGCCCCGGCTTCCTGTACCGCGAGCGCGTCCTCCAAGACCTTCATGGCCCCCTTGGATGTCTTACCCTGCACTCGGAACCCTCCTAGAGCATTTTGCCGTTGCGGCGTGAGTCCGACGTGGCCGAGGACCGGAATGCCGGCTGAGGTGATCTTGCGGATCGTCGGCGCCATCTCCTTGCCTCCCTCAAGCTTGACAGATTGCACTCGGCCCTCCTTAATGAACCGAATGGCCGTCTCCAATGCTTGCTCAGGCGAAATCTCGTATGTGCCCATCGGCAAGTCACCGACCTGGAGTTTGTCAAGTTAGCAAAACAAAAAAAAAACAAAAAAAAAACCAGAAAAAAAAAAGGAAAAGAAGGAAAGAAGGGGGGAGAGCGGGTTCTGGGCGTCTTTTACGCACCGTAAAGGCGGCCTTGGTGGCTCGAGCGACGGACCGACAATGCAACAGCATCTCCTCCAGCACAACTTCACTCGTGTCCTCCATGCCCAGCGCAACCATCGCCAAACTGTCGCCGACGAGGATCATGTCCATGCCGGCGGTATCCCCGACGTAGGCGCTGGGGAAGTCGTGCGCCGTGATGACCGTGATGGGCTCCCCCTTCTTGTACAGGCTGCGCAGTGTGCCCAACGTCACCTTCTTACGGGGCGTTGCCGAGGGCGTGCCCATGGGGGAATGCGAACTCCATCGCGGGTGGTTGTACCGAGTGGGGTTGTGTTGCGTCAAAAGGGAGTACAGAGGTCTGATGGTGTTGGCTAACGGTCGCGTGCCTCGCAGGGCCGAAGCACACGACCTTGCCACAGTACTTCTTATTAGGGCAGACATCCGTGCAAAACAGATGTACCTGTCACTTTGAAAGGGAAAAGGGTACAACAGCTTATAAATGCATATAAGTGATTGATGTGTGGCAGGGGAAAGGGGGGGAAAGGAGAGAAAATAATTAGATCAGAGTTGGTCTAATGCTAGACGCTTTTTAGTCGCGATAGGGATACCAACAAGAAGAAGATTTGTAGGAGCGAAGGAAGACGCGAACCCATTTGGAACCGAGCATCTTATTTTATTCTCTCAAGGTCATGATGGTTTTTGCTGCGTAGAAATGAGTATCTCCAGAAATTCCCCTGGCGTTCTCTTTTCCCCCTTTTGGCTGAGGGGGGCTGGCGGGGTGAGTTGCCGCCCTAAAGGGAAGTTACTTGCCAAAAATCCCTTTCAGGGGCGAGGCTTCTAGAAGGAAAACAGGGACCACTTGGCTTTTCGTCCAATCATGTGGTAGATGAGAAACGAAGTACTCTGTACCTGCTGATCTAATCAGCTCATGCCGAGGCACTCTCCGGCTTCGGTGTCTGGTGTCGGAGGAGTGGCGGGTATTACAGCAAGCGCAAAACCCCGTCCGAAGCTCCGGGTCTTTTTGTCTACACTCATTCCTATTGATGCCTCGCGGCTAGATGTTTCTTAATTCTGGCCGAATTTGGATGTATACTTCTTAGAACTACTTAGTATACGCAGTAGATCAACTACAGAATATGATACCTTATACTGGATAGGAAGGCTTTGTCGTTCAAAGTCCGAGAGTTCTGAAGAGGGAAGGAAGCTTGTCACATGGGGTGGCGCAACCAAATAGTAAGTCACCGCTGCATAGTTTGGTTTAATACGGCACGTTAGTCAGCAGTATTGGGCTTTGATGTCGAGCTGGGTTTGAATCGTATTAAAAGTCTATTTCGTCTGTAATTAATGACGTATGGAGACCCTTTTTCTAGGACGGATACCCAAGGTATAAGCAAGGAGCTACCTACACTACCTTACCTACCTAGGTAGCGTTCTTTGGCAGTAATTGGATCCTGGTACGGTCAGGTAGACACACACTACCTTACAGCACGCACAGCTGTCCTGGAGTACCTTAGAAGGGAGGCTGCAAGGCCCCGATACTCTTCAAATTCAGTGGTTTCGCCAACTCTTTCGCTAAAGCTACCTTATGCTTTAAACTTTCTTCTTTTCCTGCCATCTTTTTGTCACATGATGTGGTCACATGGCCATTCATCCATCCTCCATCGATGTTTCCAGTTCCATCCGCATAAAAAGGTACATCATACCCAAGTCCGGATTAATGGTCTTATCAGGCCAGGCCCCATAATTCTTATCGATACCTCTCTAGCATCATCCAGCGCGTGACTTGGGCTGAACATCCCCGGGAGCCCGGTTCGAACGAACCCCTCTCTCTTTTCCCATTCTAATAACACATATTACATGCGATCATTGACTCCCATAACTCGTCTACGTATTTATTGCCTTCTCAGCCCGTTTTCTTCCTTACCGTCATTGCCCAGCTTCTTCTGGCTGGAGTGACGTTTGCGTAAGCCAGTGCCACTTAGCACCTACCTCACGAGTTCCCTAAAACAGGCCAACACGCCACCAGCCTTCCGGCCCAAGCCTCAGCCAGCACTGATCATCTTCCCGCGCACGTATTCTATCGATACGCAAACATCTGTCAACATGAGCAGCCCACGACGGAGAATCGAGACAGACGTAGGTTCTTTCTCTGTTTATTCTTTGCAGCTAACGTGCTAATATGACATGTTGTCGACAGGTTATGAAGTAGGTCTTCTTACAGTGTCATTGTTCTTGAGATCACTTAGCTAACGTGATGCAGGATGTACGTTCCTTTTCCAACGCTCTCTTCTCGAGGCTTTGTTCTATAGGTACTCACCCTCGGTGCTCTAGGCTTATGAGTGACTACGAGGTCACACTTGTCAATGATAATAGTAAGTACCTCCTCTCAGACCAGTGCACGCCATGGCGTAGCCGCCACAAAGTCGTCTCTTCAGCACCTACTCTTGATACTTCTGTTCACTAACCATGGAATTACAGTGTGAGCTACCGAAGACCACCGACCGTTCCACTCTGATGCATCATGGACCACCGACCGACCTGACTAAAACCAATACAGGCAGGAGTTCTTCGTCCGGTTTAAGGGACCTGCGGAGAGTTAGTGCTCTTCAGGCTGTTGAGCCAAGAACGCTGTGCAAAGGCAGTCAGTCACTGACATGCCAATAGCTCCATTCGAAGGTGGCACCTGGAAGGTCCATGTCGAGCTCCCGGACCAATACCCTTACAAATCCCCTAGCATTGGTTTTGTGAACCGCATCTTCCACCCGAACATTGACGAATTGTAAGCATCTCCAGACTCCAGGTCGCCGGCTTGGAATTTCCTTCTTCGAGTCGAGCAGTGACTGACTACGGGTTGGCAATTACAGGTCTGGCTCGGTTTGCCTGGACGTGATCAACCAAACTTGGTCCCCGATGTTTGATATGATCAACATTTTCGAGGTCTTCCTTCCTCAGCTCCTTCGATACCCGAACCCCTCAGATCCGCTGAACGGAGAGGCGGCTGCCTTGATGATGAAGGATAAGAAGAACTACGAAATCAAGGTGAAGGGTACGTTTCTGCCGGGGTTGAGAGAAGGGGAGATAAACAAACACACAAGAAGAAGAAAAAGAAAAAAGAAATCAGTGACCCGGCCTTCTCTAACTTGTCGACCCAGAATACGTCCAAAAATACGCCAGTAAAGATGCAGCGAACGAGGCTGGCGCGGAAAGTGAGGATGACGACGACATGTCGTCTGTGGGAAGCTTTGGGGACGAGGAAGACGAGCAACCCGCCGGGCGGCTGGATGATGTATAAGCGCTCCTCCCGGCAAATGCGGCGAAGGACGGGCGTCGGCAAATACTTATTTTTACGCAGGCGATTATGGCGTCATGGGAAGGTGCACCGGAGTTGGCATTCGCAGCCATAGCGTCGAACAGACGGGCAGCTTGCGGGTGGGGTGGACTTGGTTTGCATATTTTTTGTCTTTTCCCCGTTTTGTTACCCAAGCATTTCCAACCGCCTTCTTTGGCCTGGTCCTCTTGTCCTCTTGTCCTCTTCCGGTTGGCATTTGTACGGCCGTTATCAGATTTCTTCGGAGGACCCTGGAGGCACCGTTGTCTCAAGGCATGGGGACTAATGCACCTGTGAAGTATGCTGAGGTGGAATGAGCATCGGGGATTTGGGGTGCATTGGATTGCTTCTTTCCTTCGGTGTGTTTTTCTTTCTTTTTTCTTTCTTTTTTTCGAATAGGCACATAACAGGTAGGATCATTTCGTCTTTCTTCACTGCTTAGAGCGACCTTACGGCCTTGATGAACATGGTTCCCGCAATGGACCTTATTATAGGAGGATAATGGAAGGCTCGCGATCAGCTGGATGAAATGCCATGTGTATTACACGCCTGCAGCTGAAGCAGCGGGGTATCGTCTAGTTCTATCCGTATGTCCATTACCTTGTGGCCAGAGATTGCTCCAAGTAGATGGCCTCCCAACGAAACGCCTAACACCTGCCGAAACAAAACAGAGAAAAAAGAAAGGGTAGTCAATCCGAGTCGGACCCATAGCTAATCAAAGCAGTTTTGGGCGCGGATGTCTGTGTTGCTGGATCAGGTGGCTTATCAGGCACACCACTCGATATGTTGTTGTTTGCCCTCATCACCAGCTCGTTGTCGGCTCCCTCGTCAATGGCTCGCTTCCGCTTGACCCCTGGAATCCGAACAAGGGCTCGTCCCGATGCGGAGCCAGGGGGTCTATTGTCCAGTAGAAATGGGTCGTGAGCGGCACGGGTGTTGTTCACTACCTCGGAGACGAAGCCCCGGCGCCGTTGCGCAGCCAGCACCTCGGCCTTGGGGGTCCCTTGCGGCAGCATTGTAGAAGTCATGCTGATTCCTCGAGATGACGAGCCGTTGGCGGTTGTGGCGAACAGAGGTTTCGCCAGGGCCTTGTGCGGCCGGCGGTTCCTGACGGTGACTTCTTTCTTCGCGACTCTCTCTTGTTCCTTCTCTTCTTCCTCCTCCTCCGCCCCCTCCGCCCCCTCCCTCTCATCCTCCTTCTCCTCCTCTTCGTCTTCTGGTACCGCCCCAAAGTCGACCAGCGCAGCCCTCCTCGCGTCCTCCTCAGTGGCAGGGAGCAGTTCTATGCTTGCTCCGATCCGGTCGCGAAGGGCATCGTCGGCCAGTGTTTGCTTCTCGCGCTGCTTGCGACCGACACGAAAGGCCCTTCGCAAGGCACGGTTCCGCTCGTAAGGGTCATCCCACTGGCGGTACGACACGTCGGCGAGCTGGTCTATGCGTTCGGAGGTGGCGCGCAGGGCCTCGCGGTCCTCGATGGTGCGTTCCAGACTCGCGAAGGCGCTCTTGCGTAGAGCCTCGCGCTCAGAATCGGTGAGGATGACGAGAGGTCCTTCTTGTTGTTGCTGTTGTTCTCGCGAGGTCCCGTCGTCGCGTTTCCGACCGCCCGAGGCGACAATGTAGGCTGTGTTCTGCGGATCGGTGCGCAGCTCGAGGTCGCCGCCGCAGTCGGCGTGTCGGATGCGGAAGGACCAGATGGGGGTGGTGTAGTAGTTCCCTGCGCGGCGCTTCTCGGCGTTGAAGCGCACGCCTTGGCCGATCAGGGTGGGTTTCGGGCAGTGGTCGCACCAGACGGCGAAGGGCATCTCGAAGCGGACGGTTTGCGTGCCCGGCTTGGAGGCGCGGCGGCCCGGTGGTAGTTTGGAATGGAGTTTGTTGCCTGTCGTCGTCCCCTCCAGGTCCGGGGGGACGTAACGGCCCATATTGAAGCCCTGCATGGTCGGCGGATGGGCGGGAGGAGGCGACGAAAGAACGGACCGAACAGAAGATGTGTCGGAGGACGGGACTGTCTGTTTTCCGTTGTGATTACCGTATTGACAGCTGTATGTTTTAAACAATGAGAATGGGACATGGGGGATGAGGTTAGGAGACTCGAGTGTTGTACGGAGGAGGTCGAGATGCTGCGTCGAGGGGTGCAGTCTGTTGCAAGAAAACGTACAGGTCGCGTCTCCGTCCAGTAAACTTTGAGATACGGCGGGTCATAATCCATAAGGTAGGTAGGGTACCGTATCTGCCCCTCCAACTTTGGTTATCTTATCTTGGCACCGGCCTCCCAACGCCTCCAAACATTCACCGGCTGAGCCACCTTGGGGGCTGTGGTGGGCGGGACGAAGAAAAAGGTACCTGCGACGAAGTACTTCAACCTTACCGCCGAGGGTCAACCCCTGTCCTGTCCTGTCGTCCTACAACCAGTTCGCACCACCATCCCTCACCGTCCCTCCTTGCTACACTTTACCCTCCCACATCCCACCGCAGCCAATGATACCGAAAAGATTAGTATCAGCATTTTCATGGAAGCGGGACGGGCCATCCCTCCATGCCTCACAGCCATCGTTCATCGTTCCTGATCCCCGGGTCCCAGTGTCTATGATGCCTACTAATTATATCTGTTCTCTCTGTAACCTCGCTCTCTCTTCATCTTCTTCTTCTTCCTCTTCTTACTCTCCTCCTCCTGTTCCTTCTTCTCTTATCTAGCTTCTTTAACGAGATGAGCCGACTCCGTCATATAGACGACGATACAATACAATACAGCAATATTCAATCATCTCACCCCCTGGCCCTTGTAGATCGAGACGTCTAACCACAAGAAAGAAGCCTTGTCGTTGATGCTCTGGTCGGACAAAATGGATGAGCTACGCGCCCTCGCCAAATCCACTTTCAAAGACTGGTCTGAGTTCAGGAGAACCCCAAAGCCTCATCCTCTCGGACTCATCAAACTAGCTGCCACAGCTCATTGCGTGGAGCTACACCCGGCCAGAGATCTGAGCCAAGCTCAGTTATTTCAAGAAGTACAAGAAGCACAAGAAGTACGAGGGCCATCCCCGTCAGATACGGACTCGGAATCTACCTCGGCCGAGCCGGACACGTCCCTCCGGCTCGTCATCGTAAACCGCGCCGAGGACGACAGCATGGACATGACGGATGCATCCAGCTTCCTCGAACTGTTCGATCTTTTCGACATCGACCCCATCGTCCTTCAGCAGCTTGCCCTGACCAGCTACGGTTTCCACCACTACGATGAGCCGTACCGCAATGCCTATAGCTTCTACGTCGGCACCTACGTATACTCCCTGGCCTGGTCCTACAACCCAGTTGCCATGAAGACGAACGCCATCCTCCTTCTTCGGACCTCCCCCGTTCTCAAGAACGGTCAGTATGCCTTTGACGGCCTCGGCGTCACCCTCGACAAATACAAGGCATATGCCCGGACGCCTTTCTTCCTCGCCTTCATCGTTTATATTCAACTCTGCCGGATGTCCCAGGAAGTCGTCCTTTCGACGGTGCGCCATCTTCGCCGCATCGAATCCGTGACCGGCCACGGTCCTGGTTTCGGCGTGCAGGCGTCGGACCTCTCGGTCGCATCGAACATGAATCGTCGAGACCTTCACGAATTGTCCGCTGCCGCCCAGGAGGTGGCCACCATCCGGGTCCACCTGGCCAATCTGCTCCGTCACGACGTCTATCTCAAGTCTATGGCCGCGTACCTGGAGAGCCCCGGACTGCGTTCAAAGTGGAACAACCAACTAGGTCACCCGGAGCTTGCCGCCAGCTGCGACGCCGACTTTGACTACCTTTTCCACCTGAAGCCCGCCATGAAGAAGTTGACCAGCGACCTCGAAACCTCCTTGGTCTATCTCCAAACCCGGGCCGAGTGCCAATCCAGCGTCGTGCGTTTCTATCTATCCCACTTCCCCCGCCAGGAGAGAAAAGGGGGGGTCCACTCACTAACAGCCGCAATGCAATAAACAAACAGATATTCAGTATGATGACCCACGAAGACGCGACCCTCAACACGGAGCTCGCCGCCGCAGCGAGGAAGGACAGCTCGGCCATGAAATCCATCGCCATGATGACCATGTTCTTCCTCCCTGGAACCTTCTTCGCCGCTGTCTTCTCCATGCCCTCCCTTCCAAGCGAGGCCGAAGAGCACTTCTGGATATTCTGGGTGTGCGCCGTCGCATCAACCCTTGTAGTCTTCGTTGTGTGGAGATATCACCACAGACTGATGGAAGCCAAATCGAAAAGTAAAATTGGCTTCTCACGTCAGCAGAGACAACAACAGCATGAACAACATGAACTCACCCGGGCTTGCACGGGGGACACGTTGACCAGCAACCCCAGCCTTGTTGCGGAACTCCAAGACATAAAGAGCATATAGGAAACGATCTGGCGCCGTGGAGCTTTTATTTTCCTTTCCACCTCGCAGGTTCTCACTGCGATAGCCCGTCCCTGTCTTGCTGCTCGCTCTATCCAACTCCCCTTCAAAGGGCCAGAGTGAGCTGCAAACAGCTTTCCTGTGCTTTCGCCTGTCATGCCTCGCCCCACGGATCACTAATACCAGACTCGGCACAATTACCGGGTTGGTAGATGGGGAAGACGATCGCAATGCGGTAATGTATTGCCATTCCCAGTTTAGATGGATGTACGATACCCCTTGAGTTTAAACCCATTCACAGAAAAAAGAAGAGAAAAAAAGAAGAAAAAGAAAAAAAAAAAAAGGAGAGAGAGAGAGAGAGAGAGAGAGAGAGAGGAGGCGCTATAGCATAAGCCCTTCAGGGGCATAGACTGGTCACCATTTGGAGAATCAGGCGTTTTAGGGACATTTGAATTCGGAGGGAGGCAGCTCATAAGAGCGAATTAATTGTGAAATCTTTCGTCATCCGGCTCACGGCCGTACTCATCGACTGTAACATATTCCTGGATGAAGCGAGACCTTTGTTGAACAGATCAATATATTATTTCTCGTCTGTATAAATGTACCAAAGACCATGGTCAAAGTAAATCCTTGCTGCAAATTACATTCGTGGCAGCTCCAAGAACATTAAATAGCCGCATCTCGTCGGGAGATATCAAAACGCTTTTACACGCCCTCCTAGAAAGAATCAGAAAACCCTCACTTCCACTCACCACAGGGTACTACTATGCGCACTATGCATCCCTGTCCCTGGAGATCGAGACGAGTCCCTCTGGCAGGGAGGGGTCTGACTGTGCCCTCACCCCCGCCTCCCTCTTTCTCCCCCTGCAATGCCCTCTCTCCTCTCAACTCAAAAGGGAAGTTTGAGACTAAGTCCCAAATCCAGACCCAGAACCCTAAGTCTCACACGTCGACTGTGCGGTTCACCGTAGAGGGGAAGCTCGTCCATGCTGGTGGGAAGCATGACATCCACGTTTTCGACGTCGACTTTGAGGCTCGGGACGCTCTCTACAGGGATGATGGTTCCATCGGGCTAAAGAAGATTCGCACGATGTTAGTTTGTTTGTCGCATACGTAGTTCGTCGCCTTTTCAAAAATTGCCCAATATTCTCCTCTACCACAAAGAACCTCCTGCAGGACGGCAGGGACGAACCACTGAAAAAGCTTACCTTCGTGATTTGGATCTGTAGGTCCTTCGTCAAGGCGTAGAGGAGATCTTCTTGGTCGAGATCAGCCAGCCCAGCCAGAGAGATGGCTCGCTGCAGTGGGATTTCGTCGTAACTGACGCCCTCGGCCGGCATGCCGAGCAAGGCGACCGTGCCGGCATGGCGTCCGCGAACGAACAGGTTCAACACGGCAGGCAAGTCGAGTTCGGACCTCTCGACCTCGACCGTGGCGAAGTACTCCGTCTCCATCGTGGGCTCTTCTCGCTCCTGCCAGCTCCGGAACACGTCTCGTTTCGCTCCGCCCCTGAACCTCGATAGCATGCCGCCGCTCGGGGAGTTTCTCGAAGGGACAGGGCCGTAGAGTTCGTTGATTGTCCTGGTGACCGCAGTCCTGAGCTGGGGTGGGCTCTGGTCCCAGTGGCGCAGGGGCTCGTACGTATAGCCCCAGCCCCGGGCACTGGCGAAGTCCTCGCTGTTCAGGGGGCCGTCGGGCCCTTCGAATGGCACTAGGGGGGACCTTTCCGTTACGGTCGTTCCTCGCGGTGTGGCGAAAAGCCCGCGTGTCTGATATTCGAATTCTACGCTGGCGTTTTCATAGTTGAGAGTTTGCCAGTATGCGAGGAGCCTATCAACATTGCAGTGGTGAAGCATACTGGAGAAGAACAAAGGCTTTGGTCAGAGAGGGGAAAGGATGCAAGGCACGACGGGTGTTGAACCCCCAAGGAAGAAAAGACGTACAAAAGAGGATCAAATCCTGCCGTTTCAACCCCTAGAAAATCGTTTCCGCAGGCTGCGTGGAGATGGACGTTCCCATGAGGACCTTCAATGCTGTTGGGTCCGACTGATGTCGAACTGATCTCTGACCAGCTTCGGGCCCTGGTCAGTGAGGTATACTACGGCGAGTCAACTTGGTACATGTCTTTCGGAAGAGTCAACTGATAGTAGGAAGAGACTCACGACTCGTTCTCGAAGCCCCTGTTGGGCCATGGCCTCGTTGGCCGATTCGGGATAGCTTCTGCCCTCCTGTGTGCATCGTTCTGTTCTCCCGACACCGATAAACCGACCAAACTCTCCGTTCTGCGCGGATCGTGGATAGGTGTAGCTGGCCAGGGGATTCCGGACAGGCAGGGCCGTCAAGGAGCCGTTGACGGGTCGGCGGATAGTGACGGTTGGCGGAGTTGTTGCAGGCGGAACATTGGAATCGGCTGCCCAGTCCCAGTATGGGACACGAAGGCGGTCGGCAGCCTCTCGATATTCTCCTCTCACGTTGGGGGGGTAGCCTTCTGCAATTCTTTGCGCCTGTGCAACGAGCACTTGCTACCAAGGGCGTTAGATTCATCAGCTAAGAGAGAGAGGGGGGGGGGGGGGAGACAAACCTCATAAAGTGCGAGGTAGCCGCGATGCCAGGTGCCAAACAAAGGTTCCTAAGAAATGGATTGTAAGTGCCCATCACAGGAAGTGGAAGGGAGCAGAGCAGCAGAAACACAGCCGTTGGACTAACATTGTGCGGGCAATATCCACGGGTACCTCCCTGCTGAGGACCACCGCCAGGCCACGCCATAATCGGCTGTCCATGGATTCCTGCGACAAGTCAGCGGTGAAGCTGTCCCTACTCCCCCATACACTGAGGATTTCTTCTCTCAAAATCGTACCCATGATCTGGAAATATGACAGGGGATGGGTCTCGTTGGCGGCTTGCATGGCGGAGAGAGCTCCTACGAGTAGGTCCCTAGAGAAGTTGGTTGGATCAGCATTGGTCGGCTTGCGGGTCGTCGAAGACGTTCGCAAAGACCATGTCTCATGTCTCACCATTCTGGACCAGCTTCCCTATAGATGTCATTGATATTCCTCCTGGCAGGTGTCTCTCCCGTGCCTGGGTTGATCCCGGAGCTGACTCCCACCACAGGGTGAGTTGACTGGGCAGCAGTCCAAGGGATGGATGCGAGGGCGGCCAGGCCCACGCAGAACAAGGGAAGAAACATGGTAACGACCAAAACTGGGCAACAGAGACAAAAAATAAAACGAGCGACTTAGGTGGGAAACTGCATGGCCGCAGGCATTAAACAGATGAAGGGGGATCGAGGATATAATATAGATATTTTCTGTTCGCCCCTCCCCTCCGCTCTCCTCTCCCCTTTCTGTCACCCCCCCGCCCCCCTTCCATACATATGTGTATGGGACATCAAGCATACCCTGCCCTCGGGTCATAGGGCAGTAATAGCACCAAGAGTATGCGGGGATCCATCTCGGGATTTGTGCTGCGCCCAGCCCTGACCAAGAGGCTGAATGGACGTTCTCTCAACTTACCCCAGCTATGTATGCATCGTGTATCTTTCTGGTGAACACGTAGTCAAGCGAGTGAGGACAGGGATCGGCATTGGCAGCACACGATGGTCAGAGGCTGGCTGATAATGCGTCGTACGAAGCAGTTACATAAACGAGTAGAGCACATCCACATCCCCCCGTATGGCGTCGTCGGACGCGATTGAAACCCCCCCCCCCCGGTTGGAAACCGGCAAAAGAAGTCGAGGCCAGGCGAAATTGACGAGCGAGTCCGTAAAAACTCCACTTCGATCTGCTTGTCTTACCCGGCGGCGACGAGGGTTGTTAGCAGAGAACACAATGTCGAGTGCCCCTGAAAGGGACTGACAGGGGCTGCGAAGGACAAACGACAACTCATCTCACGTTATTACGAAGTCCTCGACAGACAGCATCTGGGCCACCTAGGAGCCCGTGCTGTCACGCCAGGTCCGAAGTACGATGTACGAGTATGTGTGGCCGGACGATACGAACGGTCGAGCAGTATTACCAACTGTCCGGTTTTCTTATTCGACAAGCCCCCTTTTCGAACTATCAAAAGCAGGCTTCTCTCTCTATCCCATGAGAATGCCCCATACTGTCGCACCATGAGACGCGCAGAAGCCATATACCACGTCAGAGACGCCTCCGGAGCGGAGGACTCAACTGCAGGCGGCCGAGAGTTCGAGATGGTACGGCATAAACAAAGGGCCAGAACCCAAAAAAATAAAGTAATAAAATATCAAGGTACCAAAAAACTTCGTCTCCCCGCCTTGTTGGGCCGTGGAGATTGTGTCAATGTCGTTGCGCTCAGGTGGATAGACGATCCGTTATTTTTTAGTGTACCGCAGGGATGTTAGACAGTTGATGTCAGACAGCCTAGCTATTAGGGCAAATGAGATGCAAGGTATTTGGCCTGGGCTTTGAAATGAGATAGGTACGAATAAATAGGTGTATTACCGCCTGGTCCAGCAAGTGATCGTCGGTGTCAAAGCGATACGAGATACCAATAATTCCCCGTCGTGTCAGCGTCGAGGCAGACGACGAGGAGGAGGGATTGGCCGAAAGAAGAAGAAAAGAAGAAAAAAAAAAAAAGGGGGGGAGGGGGGCTGAGACATAAGACAACCAGGGATCACCGCCATCCGGGGCGTCTTGTTTGCTTTCTATCTGTCAGTCCAGTCTTTCCTATAAAGTCCAAGTCAAAGTGGAGAGGCATCGGAGCACCATGAGAGATGTGTGGAAATGTGCAAAGTGATTAAGACGCGAAGTCGGGAGAAGAAAAAAGTTATGAAAGGGTAACGTTGCACAGATGGATCCGAAAAGGACTCGATTCTTTAGTTATCTTGCGCGGGAGGAAGAATTGCTGATTTGATGATGGCTGGTGATGATGAGAATGCAAGACAAACCAAGGGGAGGAGTGAAAGATAAATTATGGCCACGTGATGTGTCATATGAGTGCCCCCAAATCCTACTTTGGATAAGCCTAATAACTGATTCCTACAATTGACACGATTCCTTACATAATCCTGCCAGGTTGTAGGGGTCCCCTATTATCCTAGCCAGTTTATCAGATTATATACGAGCTAACGTTTCTAATCCCTGAGGAGGTGTACACATAGCTGAAGAAATGGGCGTACCTTAGGTAATCAATACTCCGTACTAGGTACACTTCGTATCCCTTGCAGTACCTGCGAAAAATGCAAAGACTCGAAGATCGGTGCATGTCGTCGGAACTACGTATTATTTATGTGCAATCCCTCGGGTGCATCGCCTCTACGGGTGCATCGCCTCTATGTCTCTCCGGACTATTGATCCCCGGATTGAATCGTGCATAGGGCAGTAGATCGAGGTAAGTTCCCTTGTTCGTGTCACTCGTCGGGATCCGAGTCGGAGGATCCCGACTACCTTTCTTCGGATCCCGCTGCCTTTATGAGGTCACTCGCATGAGATCCTGTGGCTTCGGAAGACCTGTGGACAACGCCCCAAAGCCGAAGGACCCACGTGAGAGTGCAACGTATATCGGGACGACCACGAGCTGAAGCCCCCTCCTTGGTCCCAGTTGCAGGATTGTGGATTGTGGCAGGAGAGTGCGGATCTCACCAAGTTCCATGCCGTTGTCTTGATGGCTGCCAATAACCAGGGACTAACTCCAGGAGAGATTCTCGCCGCGTTGCTAAGCTGAGTCAACCGTTCATCATTTAATTACTTGGTTGAGTATCCCGACTATCCTTGAGCGTCGGAGTTTCCCCCCGGCACCGAGACCTCATTGTGGCTTACATAACTTGTGGCCATATGGCTTATTCTTCAATCATCATGGACGTCGTCGTCGTCGTCATCGCCGTCTTGAAATTTCATGGGAGTATCATGGCGAAGCAGCATACGAGTTGGACGACCCTAAGCCCGTAGCGCAACTATAATCGTCGGCCCAGAAAGGACGTTCAACCAAGCCTCGCTCGACTACTACCGGGTTGCGCCGTACCCCAAGCCGATCGCTGTCACTCTGCTGTAAGGGGGTAACTCCAGCCCAGCCTCGAGATTATACAGATGAACCCCCACCTAAGAACCAAGTCAGCCCTTCTGGTTCTAGTTGAGACAGCCGGATAGGTTCGGTTTACTACTTCGTACATACAGTCCTAGTGCCACGATTTCATCCTGTGATGACGTATGGCATATAAATAGGTAGGATCAGAAGTTCGAGCCCTGGGATGTCTATCAACCTCCAAATGATCGGGAGAAGAACTCCAACGGAGCTCGACTCTCGGCCGAACTAACACTCCTCGCAGATTCCGGCATCTGTCAATTGAGTTATACTTCGTCGTCGGTCAATTTGACATACTCGTTGAGTCGAATTTCATGTGACAATACTGCAGCATCGGCGCATGTTGTGACTTCCACGATAAGGCTCAAGACCGCTTCCGGCTTGAGGCCGATATTTCCACACGCATAGTAGCGTGGTGTTACGGTGTACCAACGACGAAATGCGAATTCAAAGCGACAGACTCTTGGGCCCAGTGGTTCTACCCCAGCCCCTCCGACTTTCAACATTATGTTTATACCCGACGACCCTCGGTTCAACCCCTATTCCCTCGACAAACAGGCAGTATATAAGAAGAGAATTGAGAACGGACCATCGAGAAGCCATTAAAGTGTCAGCCTAGTTGGCTTGGCCGCTCTTGTTAGTTATTACGTGGCTGGGTGGTCCAGTGACACTGTTCGGAACCGACCCCTACTCTGCGATATATCCCCTGTCTATTCATTAACGTATCTGACGACTTCTTCTGGAGCTCAATAGGCCTTGACTACGAGCTACACTGGACATTCCAATCATATGAACAGGGGCTATGTGTTCCATGGGATCAAGCTCATTTCAAGCCGTTGTTTCCCTGGACAGGTAAACAACAGAATCCCCATCACTCAGGAAGTGTGAGGGAAAGGATGTTCCAGACGTGTCTCAGGCCATGGCCTCTGAATAAACGGGGAACAAGTCTCGTTGGAATCCGCGGAGAGGCTATAGGAGAAGAGACTCTGCCCTCGGTACAGAGGAGGTTAAACCGGGGTGTATCGTCGACCGGGCGACCTCGGCACCGGACATCAGTGGCCTACGCATATCCCAAAACCCCCAAGATGATTGCGACGTCTTGTTCGTCCCATCCCAGAAGCTGCCATTTGATCCCTTCATCTTTTGTCCAGCAACTATGAAGACATGTACCCCTGCCGATGGCGACAACAGGTTCTCCTCCGATATACAATATTTGGACACTCTCCAAGCTGTGCCATCTGTGTCATCCCATGCATTCTCCTCATCGTCCTCCCAGTCCTTCCGGTGTGTTGGGTTACTCCCCTGGACCCAAATGATGTCCTTCTCGCCGGTCGTCTTTTGCGGCTGGAAGCCGGCATAACGTGGTCTATTCAAGGGAAATCTCCTTAGACTGCAAGTCTGCCTCCGTGGGCCAGGGGCTAGTCTAGACTATATATGGCCCTACCGATTGGCAAACTTCCACTTTTACCTGGGGCGGTCAAAACAGGAAAGATGGCAGTTTAGGTCTACTATGTGTTTAGTATATCATGTACTATATGTTTAGTATATCATGTACTATATATTTAGTATGTCATCACTCGGTGGAGGATAATGCCGGTCTTTCAGGGACTCTCAGATATGCTACACCCGCTGGGCCGGATCGCACCCGGAACACCGGGAAGCCTGACAACATCGTCCGACCCCGAGCCCCACCCCGATCCCGCACAAGGATCTTACTGAGTTACACGAGCAGAAATGCCAAGTGATTACCCAACGGCAACAAGGCTGAAGACGAAGTTACCGGCCTATGCTCACCATATCCACGACTCCCGTGACGTAAGGCCAAGGGTCTGGGGGTTTGGCTTCCCGCGCGTTCCACAGCGCTGAGGCCATCACCCGAACAGACGGTCACCTCTTTTGGATCTGGTGGTCGGGAAATTGTCCATAATTCGAAGTACAATTATCTACCGTTACAAATAGTTACTCGGACATAGCCGACGGTGCACTGTACACGTCGAACGATCACTTGCGCGCTGAGTCGTCCTGGACCAATCACCAATCCGCATTTCTGCATCACTCGTCGATATTCGGAGTTGCGTGACAACTTCGTTACTTATCAGAAAACAGGGGACAACGACAATAGAAATTGATCCAGTGCCCAGGACTCTGCCAAGGACTGACGATGACGAAGAGCCGATGAACCAGGGTTTTGTCTGAGATGATCCAGCCATTGGACAAATAAAGGATTGGGACCGATTCCATGGCTCATATGCTCATATTAGAGCAAAGATTAGAGCGACAAAAGTCGAGAGTCACCGTCTCCCAGCATGTTAAGCTACGTAATGGCAGCGCAGACTCGGTAATCCAGGCTACCTATGCGGCTCGCTGCCGAGTTTCGTGGTTCCGGACAAGTCGCAGCTGCGAGATGCTCGTCGGGCCGATTCGACGACAGAGTCGACGTCAGGGAACAGGAACAATATACGGATAATGGGGATTCGCTAGAGCTTGAGGGACGTCCGAATCACCGCGGTGCAAGACGACCATTTCTTTCCCCCCCAGACATTCAGAATAACTTTTCGAACCACATCTGCGCAAAAACGAGGCCTAAAAGCGACTTGTCTTGGAACAAATGGGGGGAAAGTACGGACTAGGGTTCGCTGCAAAAGATTTTGCATTACAATGTACATTGTCAAGACATACATCGCATCGCATGTCAGCCATTGGGAAAGGGTCCATATGAAGTACGGGGCGTGGTCTTCACAGTCTTAGGACCTACATAGTCAATATGGCTACGCTAGAAGCACAGGATGACCGGACCCGTCTGCGAACTGCACCGTTCCTCGGGGGGGAAAGAAGCTCGTGATAGTTAAGGTAGGCTAGGTGTAATTACAGCGTGAGTAGCACCCAAGGGCGGTGATGGATTACCAGCCCACGAGTGAAATGTTGAAATGACACCGGGGCGATTATAAGTTCGAAATTAGTTTGTGGTAGGGCGAAACTACGGGCTCTTCCGTGAACAGTATCCCAGGCATGTACATGGGAGGAACATGCTCGGCGATTCGGTGACTCAATTCAGGATAGACGAAGATAAGATTGATGGTCCCCAGCGCTACAAGAAGCCGTTCTGAAGTCTCTTTCAGGTTGTTTCCATGATGAAAGGAGAGAGCCCAACGAGTCGATATAATACAAGAGAGATTGTCGGTCGCCCCTGGGCGAAGTACAAAAGTGAAAGTGCCAAGTACCAGATTACTTCGTATGCTCATGCCAAGCATGCATAGCCTCACAGGGCCAAAAAAGCACCCCCTACCTACTGGTCTGTCCTTTAAGAGGTCACCCCCCCGTCAAGTAGGAGTACAACGTACGCACAACCTGGTGGCCAGCAAAAAGAACGACGAGCATATTATCCATCCACCCCCCGTATGCAATGCATAATTACTCCGTATACAACGTAAAGCTTGGAGGCGACAAGCAACGGTTATTAAAAGGCACTTCCCCACCCAACTAAGAACACAGGACAACAGGCGTCCGAGATTTTGGATTCGAGACATATAGGTCATGGGAAGTGGGCTGACGAAGAGATCGTGACAAGTCACCCCCCCCCCCCCCCCCAAACCAAGAAATGGCAGTCGGTGGGCCGGGTGACTCCTTCGGTGGCTCAAGTGAGCAGGAGAATTTCGTGGCGAGGAACAAAAATGCCTTAATAACAGTCGCCGTAATATGACAGAAAGAGTTGGGCGATTTTGTCTCGAAAACTGTGTCAGAAATGTGTCCCGGCGACTCCGTTTCCAGGTGGTGTAGAAATTGAGGCAAACGCCTCCTCCCTCTTTGAGTCTGTCACGTTACTTCGGACACCAGAAAGAAACCTCGGCGAAGGGGGGTAAAGAGGTGGGACTATGATCACGTAAGGAGTCCCGGGAGGATCGACGAGCCGGACGGACGCGTGTACGGATAGGAACGAACGTCGCAGGGCCGGTAGCAAAGGGATAAGGGGTGACGAGTTTGTTTCACTACTTTATTTTGTGGCAGATTGTAAAGGGGGCCGTTTCGTCTATGAGAAGCGACTGCGATACATGGGGATGAGAAGTGTCGCGTAGGGTCGATCATTGACAAAAGAAAGCGACCTTTTTGTGACAAGATGTCGGAACTCATTCACTTGGTTGAGTCGAGACACGGTTTGGTTGGTTGCTTCGGACGTACTTGGTGACCTTACAAGTACATATGTACAAGTCCCCAGGGAATTACGGAGTAGGTAGGCCTCACAACCGTTTCAGCCTGTGATCCTAACGTTGTCTTAGTAAGGTACTTAAAATGGTTTCTGGCCTTTTTCTTTCGCGCACGGAGAATGTGCGAAATCCGTAATTACTTCCGGGGAGAATAGGTATCTCCGTATCCGCTTACTCCGTAACCCGCACGCCGTATGTGAACCAATTGAACCCCCTCTTACCGTTTCCGCCTTGGTTAAAAATGCCTACGCCCAACCAAAAGGCCGAGGCCAGACCAACAAGGGTAAGACTCCATAAGGTCTACGCAGGGACCTGGTGACCAAGGCCCATGATCTACGAATAGGATTCGTTGAATCAGAGAAACGGGGGGAGAGCGACAGGGGTTTGACGCCCAGAACATTTGATGGTGAAGACGAATGGTTTCGGTTCTTTGTGGACACCCGATCTATTTACGTTCTCCAGGTAATAGGGTAGACAGACAGAACAGTAAACGGAAAATCTGTAAGGCAACCAACCCCAAATTGAATACCTGGTAGGTAAATATTGAAGCGCTGAGAAAGAAAAATCCCAACACCCCGTCTCTCTAAGACGCTTGCTTGTACGAATATCTAGGTTGGGAGAGGGGGTTCAGACGTCGCCTACCTACCGCTCTCTTGGGACTGCCGGGCATAAAAGTCAGGCGTCCAGACGATACCTCGTCAGCACTACCTAGAATACGTACTTAGTAATAATTAGGTACCATGCAGCGACCGGGAAATATTGGCGACTCGAATACGCGTCACCCATCCCTGCTTAGTGCTATTTCTGGTATTCAAATCATGAACCCACTTTCCAGTAAGGGATGTGGAAAACTCGTAGATAGGGGTTGTATTTAAGCGATTCAAGTTACACCAACTTGATTTACCAGTTTACTCGTAGGAAAGGTCAAGTAAGAGTGCTAATTAATGGGTTCTTTTTTTCTGTTGATAATTGAACAATGCAACTTACTTCTCGACTGCAAGATGTTGGTGCTGGGGTCCATATGTGATGTCTATCTACATACGTTCATTGCGCTGGTTTATTCTCCAGTCCCAACCTCTTCTTTCAACTTGTGCTGAGTAATAAAGGGGTCCATGTCTCGTACAGCAACGAGTTATGTACAGGAACAGCCCTGGAACGATTCGCTACTAGGCCAGGACGGGTTGAGCTAGCCGCCTTTATTTATTTCGGTTAGCGGGAGAGCGGCACAGCGGTCACCCATCCGGAAAAGAGGGGGTGCTTTTGGACCTCAAGCCTCAGGGGGTAAAAACTGCAAAGTGCTTGGCACCCCCCAGGCTGCGCCTTCCTTCCCATCACCAAGAGTACATACTCACTCCATCACCAACAGCATTCCTTTCCATTCCACAATTTGATTTGCGTGCAACGTACATGCTTTCGTAGAACACCCCCTCCCCTTCTTCTATGCGCCAAATTCAAACTCAAGTCCAGATGCCTGCCCAGGGGAACCCCCTGTCATCGTATCCATGGATATGGTCCCAGGGCTGTGGAGTCTTGGCACTCCTCCGGAGACCAGGACAAATCTCCCCTGCCACCCCTGCTCCCCCTGTTATGTGCATCATGAAAAGACCGCCGGCCCAGTCTCCCAGGGTCTTAAACGCTCTCCTTCCTTCTTTCTCTTCTTCTACCTTTCTCTCACGCCGAACTTCGTGATCTCAACTTCCTCCTCGTTATTGTTCGCGTCTTTCTTCCCATCAACCGTTGCCACTCGCTCATCAACGGTCCTTTCTTTATTGCCCTTTTTTTCTTTCTTTATCACCACACTCGCTAAATATATACCTCACGACACCTGTCGTATAATAATCCCTCACCCGTACTTAGCAACTACACCCGAGGATTCATCAACCTAGAACGATCGCGATGCTGTCCAAGACCTTCTACGCGGCCACCGTGGCTCTTGCCGCGTCCACCTTAGTCTCCGCGCAGACCTTCACTGACTGCGACCCCACCAAGGAAGGTATGGCTTTCATCCGCTACTGCCTATTTCTATTTCTGTCCCTTTCGGCCGGAGCTGACGCTGACGCCTTCTTCTAGACTGCCCCAACGCCCCTGCTTTTGGGGACGACGTCTTCCTTGATTTCTGCGTCAACAACGGCGAGGACTATATCTACAGTCTCGACGGCACCACTGTTACATACGACGATGAGCACGGCGCCGTCTTCTCCATCTCTAGACTCGGCCAAGCACCCACCCAGTCTTCGCACAAGTACCTCTTCTTCGGCGAAGTCGAGTGTACAGTCAAGGCCGCTCCTGGTCCCGGCATCGTGACTAGCATTGTCCTCGAAGCCGATGACCTCGACGAGATTGACTGGGAGTGGGTTGGCGGCGACAACTTCAACGTGCAGACCAACTACTTCAGCAAGGGTGACACCACCACCTACGACCGCGGCGGCATCCACCCCATCGAGAACCCTACCGGCCAGTTCCACACGTACGGTATTGTCTGGACGAAGGAGAAGATCGACTGGACCATCGACGGCAATGTCATCCGTACCCTCACCTACGAGGAGGCCAAGGGCGGCAAGGAGTTCCCTCAGTCGCCCATGCAGCTGAAGTTCGGTACTTGGGTCGCCGGCCGCCCCGACGCCGGTGAGGGCACCATCGACTGGGCCGGTGGTATGGCCGACTTCTCCAATGGTCCTTTCGACGCCTACTACCGCGACTGCCGCATCGTCGACTACGCCGGTGGCGTTGAGGGCGCCATTGAGTACAAGTACGGCGACCGCTCCGGCACCTGGGAGTCCGTCATCGTCATCACCGAGGATGGCGAGGCCCCTCCCACCACCCCGACCACCACCGCCAGGACCACGACTACCTCCCCCACCACTGCCGCCCGCACATCCACTAGCTCTCCTGCCAGCACCTCCGCGGCCCAGTCGTCTGCCCAGCCCTCCAGCTCACCCAACGCCAGCTCCGCCAGCTCGGCCAGCTCTTCCGCTGAGTCTACGCTGGTCACCTCCGTCGTCCCGTCCTCTTCTGCCGCTTCCTCTGCTGCCGCTTCCTCTGCTGCGGAGACCAGCGCCGCCTCGACGCCTCCAATCTCGCCCGATAACGCCGCTGTCGAGCAGCCCAGCGCCGCCCCCAGCGATGAGCCTTCTTCCGGCATGACCACTCGTGCTAACTTTGCCCTGGGCATTGCCGGTCTGGTCCTCGCCTACCTGTTCTAAGTCGAACGGTGCTTCAAGGCAGACAATTGCGGTGTTTGCGTGCGATCGCCCGAGTGCGGATCACGCCTCTTCGCTCTGCGTTGAACGTCGACACGGCAAAGCAGGGACCACACGCGGCTCACATATAACATAAAACCACGCCGGTCAGACGGGGGAGCTTGATCATATACTTTCTCTACTTCTCATTGTCTCTCTCTCACCTCATCTCTCAGTTATCCTTGCGGATCTCACGCTATATCTCGGATTAACTGCTGTGGGCGGCACATAACTTACGAGCGAGTTTTGGACAATCTACCCCTTTTGCGCAATACATAGGTTTTTTTTTGTAATGGCATCATGCTCTTCTCTCTGGGCCTTTCATCGGCGCCGGCAACTCACAGCACGAGATTGGTCTTATTTTGCAGTGACCAGTGACGCTTTTTTTTGGCCTCATGGGGCAACGCCTTTAGAGTTGTTTTATGGCAAGGGGCATGATAGGAAAGGACTTGACGGTCACGGGACGACGGTACTATTTAGCGGCGTCGCTTTTATTTTTCTTTCTGATGAAAGGCTTAGGAGGAAGATGAGTGCACTATCTAGAGACTTGAGGCGGATTTTCGTTCGTCGGCATGTGTTGGTTTTAGCAATGATACCTACCTACTACCCTTTGGATAAAGGCGTGGGCGAATAGAGCATGAAATGAAAAAAAGGATCTTCTGGTTCCGAATCGAAAGCCAAGCATGGTTCGTTCGTGGCTCAAGTATTGGGTCGGATTTAAAATGATGTGCCTCTTTGAATGTTAGTTGTGTACGACAGCGGTTTGGTTTTTACGGTAGTTCCGTTGGTTCTTCTTTGGAAGGAAGGGAACCCTAGGTAATTAAACATCATGCAGCCACCAACGATTCGAGATCTCGGTGTCCTGATCCAGAAGTAGCTACTTCGTACGAAGTATCCATATGCAAAGTCAGGGGGTTTGGCTTCACAAATCCCTGTTGTGACTTTTGACTTTTGCTTCTCAGAATGTTCTTCAAGCTGTCCTTCATTCACGAGTAGGTAAAATGTACTTCGTATGAATTGGGCAACACGTGTTCTTCGTGTTGAACCCCTGGACACCCGACAGAGGTCATTTGAAGTATTCGTTCGTTGGTTGCATCCTTTCCGAACAAGAAGTTGAATTTAACTGTGGCTTGCGTCTCTTCAGCCACCAACCGTTGGTGGAGCTTGAGCCTCTTGATGAATACCGAATGCCGAACAGGAGGTAAAAATTATCAACGTCCGACGACTTTTCCTTGCTCCACGGCAATTACGAACATACTCTCATTAGCGAGATCGACCAAAAGAATTTACGCTGGTTATTAACGCCGGCAGGTCACAGCATCTCAGTTGGTAAAACATATTTGCTTTGCGGCTCCGGGGATTACGATGTAACCCCGCCGACGACTGACAGATATGTGTCTCGTGATCGTGCGTTTGGCAAGTGTGAAGGTAATAAAACAAGCTGCCTCCGTTCGCCCGGCGAACCAAAGAGCTCATAATCCGGAGAAGCCGTTGATTAATAAGCCTGTCAACGGGACCATCGGTATAACGTCTCCCAAGATATCGAGTTTTCCTGGCTCATCGGCCATAGGATGTTTCTATGACTCTCTAAAATCCGTTGCCGGCCCTTGCCATTGGCTCCATCGAGACTAGTCGCCGGCACTAAATAAGCTCGACCGCCATAGCATCTTGACAACTTCATTCACGTTTTCACTGTGCTTGCCTCTCAGACCGCGGTGGGGGGATGTTAGGCGCGAATCATTGGAGACCTGCTACTTTCCTCGTTCTAAAAGTGGACTATCCCAATATATCGTTCAGCACCTATACACGTGTAGGGGCATCGAAACCTGTGACGTCCTAGTTGTTTATTAATCACACCGGCTCGGGGTTGGTTGTTATAAATCCGGCTACTAACGCAGCCAAATTCAGGACGTCGGGGGGCGAGGGAGACCGCGGCTCGGTGTTTAAGTCGTGACGTGATGAGGTGGAACTTTTCTCGTTGAAGATCCATATGAAGTCGGCTTGAACTGACACGTATATAAGTCGTGTAGTCTCGGACGACTCTTCAGTCGACGAATATCGAAATCCTCCTGGAGACATCGAGACCATCATAATCAGTACGGATCTTTAAGACCTCGAGACGCCCCCCGCTCTAGAAACCCCGCAGAGTTGCAATCCCTTTCGGGCCACAGCATCCTCGCCATGGCCGCTGAAGACTATAAGTTCGAGGGCTGGCTGGGCAAGGACTTTTCCTGCGTCGACGGAAAGATGGTGTGGGAAGAATTCGAGCCCAAGCCATGGGAGGAGACGAACGTGGACATTCGCATCACGCATAGCGGCATTTGTGGTAGCGACCTTCACACGCTAAGATCGGGCTGGGTAAGTTCCACGACTCCCTTTTGACTTTCCGCCCCCCCGGCGCAGCAGATCGATATAATCCAGGTGGACAATAATGCCCGACGTTCCGTGGGGATAGTAGGACCAATACTAACACTTTCACTTCTCTTCTCCTTCCAGGGTCCCGCTCCCTACCCGGTCTGCGTCGGACATGAGATCGTCGGTGTGGCCGTCCGCGTGGGTTCGGAAGCGTCGGGCGACATCAGAGTGGGCGACAGGGTGGGCGTGGGCGCCCAGTCAGACGCCTGCTTCGGCCGCAATGCCCCCGATGGCAACTGCGACGCCTGCAGCGAGGGCAGCGTGACGTACTGCCCGCGCATCGTCACCACGTATGCCTCCACCCACTTCAACGGCGCCAAAAGCATGGGCGGCTACGCCACGTACCATCGCTGCCCGTCCAAGTTCGTGGTCAAGGTCCCTGACGGCCTGTCCTCGGCCGCGGCGGCGCCCATGCTCTACGGCGGCGTGACGGTCTACTCGCCCCTGCGCTTCCACGGCGCCGGTCCGGGCAAGACGGTGGGCATCGTCGGTGTCGGCGGCCTGGGCCACTTCGGCGTGCTCTTCGCCAAGGCCCTGGGCGCCGACAAGGTCGTGGGCATCTCGCGCAAGGCCGAAAAGAAACAAGAGGTGCTCGACATGGGCGCCGACGAGTACATCGCCACCGACGACGACAAGGACTGGGAGAAGACGCACGCCAACTCGATCGACATCATCATCTCCACCGTGTCGTCCTCCAAGGTCCCGCTGCAGGGCTATTTCCGCCTGCTCAGGCGGGACGGCGCCTTCGTCCAGGTCGGATGCCCTGATATCAGCGACCCGTACTCCTTCCACCCGGGCCAGCTCATCTTCAAGCGTATCAAGTTCACCGGCTCGCACATCGGCACCCCTGATGAGATTCGCGAGATGTACGAGCTGGCCGCTAGCAAAAGCTTCAAGCCTTGGATCCAGGAGAGGCCCATGGGCGACGCGAACCAAGCCATTGTTGATGTCGAGGCTGGAAAGCCCCGGTACCGCTATGTGTTGGTTAACTAGAGTCCAAGGCCATGCGATGGGTGAATGATGACATGAACTTACGAAATCTTGAGCGTCTCGACTTGTTTTCATAGTAACCAAGACTGAAGCATAATGCTTGGTATAGATATCGATAGATGGATGCATATAGACAAGACGGAACTGCAAAATAGAACCACGGATATAAAAAGGGAAGATCGTACTGAATTCGTATGCCCGCTCCTTCTGACTTTAGACGGTACACGGTGTTTTGTCCTCGGATCACTTCGTTTTCTGGGGAGGTATCTCAACTGCTTAGGTAGAGATGCACACTTACAAGACAGTAACGACGTGGATCTCAGGGGGGGGATGCTTCTTTTGTGTCACTTCACCAAGGGGGGGGGGTTGTCTGACATCAGCAGAACTATCGATCAGAATTCCCCCTCTTCATTGGATAGTGCTCGGTACCTTATCTAAGGTAACAATGCACGGAGTAGATCAAGTACTCAGGTCTGCGTCCCAGGTGAATAAGGTAAGGTAAGGTAAGGTACCTTAGTAGGTGCTTTACCTTTTACTTTTGGCTTCTCGCGACGTATCGGTCCCCAACGGCCTCTCGTGACATCGTCACAGTCTAATCACTACTTAGTATTACTGAGCAATACCCGGTAAAACACCCGGCTTCTGCGAAAGTGAACCTCTTGAGTACTTTGAGTATATAAAAGAAAATTGGGCTACCTAAGTCACCAACAGGAATTTCCGCGGGCCGCCATGCCCATCATCAACGACATCCCCGCTTTCCATGCCTTCCTAACCACCAACCCGAACTCTCGCATCCTCGCCCTCTGCGGCGCGGGACTCTCGGCCGCCTCGGGCCTGCCAACGTTCCGCGGCGCCGGCGGTCTGTGGCGCAACCACGACGCCACCCGCCTTGCCACGCCGGAGGCTTTTCGAGCCGACCCGGGCCTCGTATGGCTCTTTTATGCCTACCGTCGCCATATGGCCCTCGAGGCGAAACCGAACCCTGCCCATCACGCACTCGCTGCCTTGGCTCGCCAGAGAAGGAAATTTCTCTGTTTGACGCAAAACGTCGATAGTACGTCTACTCTCCTCCCCCACCTTCTTCCCCCACCTTCCCGCCCCCCCCTTCTTTTCAATCTTGCTATTCATATTCATCCGTTCATGTTGTGCAGCCCGAAAAGATACCCTCCACGTCCCAGGTTCATGCGCGGCAAGCCATAAAGGTTGCATGACCATATGGGGGGGGTGGGCGGGTACGGCTGAAAGGGTAACACAGGACGGAGATTAAATTATTGACGATGAGAAAAGAGTACATGGCCATCAGCATCATCTGGCTAACGGGACGACAGACCTCTCCCAGAGAGCGGGCCACCCCCCTTCCCAGCTCCGAACCCTTCACGGGAATCTCTTCACGCTCAAATGCTTCAACCGCCGGTGCAGCCACGTAGAACACAACAACACCGCCGATCCCCTGGTCCCGTCGCTAGCACCCGCCTCCGTCACAACGCCCGCTGACGCGACAAGACCCCTTCCCCTCGTTGACGCGGACGTCCCCTTAGTCCATATCCCCGCCTCAGAACTCCCCCGTTGTCCGCAGTGCGCCTCTCTCCTCCGACCTGGCGTGGTTTGGTTCGGCGAGCAGCTTGATGGCGCCCTCCTAGGCGAGATCTACGAGTGGCTGGACGAGGGCCCCATCAGCGTCATCTTCGTGGTCGGGACGGGCGCCCAGGTGTGGCCCGCGGCCGGGTACGTTCAGGAGGCGGCGGCGCGCGGCGCGCGCGTCTGCGTCGTGAACACCGAGGTTGCGGAGGAGACGTTGGGGCCGGAGGACTTTGGCTTCGTGGGGGATGCGGCTGTGTTGTTGCCTCGGTTGCTGGAGCCCGTGATTGGGTCTACGAAGGATGACGGAACGTTTGAGTAAAAAATGGGTGGGTATCCGTACGCAACTCGAGTTCTGGAGGTACGGATAAGCCGTTGATCTAAACAAATATCTATGATTGGTATCTGTCCCCCGCCTAAGCAAAGAACAGAAATTATGCTTTTTATAATTAGGTAGATTGGAGGAACAGATTTGACTCGTTCGTGAAACGCACTTGCCCGGCTCCGAGGTGGTATGCACCGACGGAGCCGAAACTCGGAGCGGAGGATCATGGGGTCAGCATTGGACTCCGAATCTTCCGACGGCCAAATGGCACAAAATCATTTCGAGTCACTTCAGACATCAAACCGAGACTCGACCGGGACGGGAGAAAAAGAAATGGGAGGTCCGCATCTGGGGACATTTGAGTCTCCTGACCCGACCATTCCACATGGCATTAGCAGCGCCCTTAAGGATTAGCATCTTGACAGCGGCATGGCCCTGGTCCAATGCTGCGAAGGAGACAATGGGAGGTGAGGATGGTTCAAAGGCAGATATATACATGGCCTGATGTAAATACGAGGATGCAAAAATCCTCGGACATGCGCTCTCTACATCACCTGGGTATATTCCCTAAGGTGATGTGAATTGCGGAGCGCAGAACATGACTTTCAGATATTGGTACGTAACTCTACAGAGTAGTTCGTTGTCAAGCGAGACACTAACGTTAGCGTTGGTGCGACTCTGAACTTCGGACATGAAAGATCGTGAAAAGGTGGATCTGAAGTTGAGGGGCCAGCAAGGATAACCAAGTCAGGGGTTGGCAGCCGAGATTCCGTCGCAGGCGGATTGGTTTCTGAGGACCCTGGGAGGCAACCACGATGTCGTCCTTTGGGTTCGCCGTTGTGCAGGAGGCTGATTGCGACGTCATCTTCTGCTCCTATGTGTAATATATATAGCTCATGTTAATCTGACAACACGGCTTGAGTCTCATTCACCGAGCAAGAGCCAAGAGGAAAGATTAGAGAATTATAGACGTGAAAACATCCCGTGATTTTACTGACTTGACTGAAATATTTTAATTTGATAACATGTCATCCATTGGACAGTCAAAGATCAGTTCATCATATACTCGAAATACTCGGAAAGCGAAGAACGCCGTTTGAGGTTGGGTCGAAAATAATATGGGAACCATTTGATTGGGAACGCATTTCCTATTCTGGGTCCATTTTTGGGGTTGACGGGTTTGATGATACCCCACAATTACCCCCGCATTCCGCAGTATGTGTACAAAGTACCTCTAGTTGTTGGGTTTTGTTGACCTCGATTCGGAAACCGATCACGCATCTTGAAAAGTACCAATATGAAATGAATCTCAGGAACTGTTGTCGTTTTGGGGAGCCTACCGAGGAATCGCGGGCCGGATGAACCCCTCCAATCTAATGCCAAGGGATGAGAATAAAGAGAATACCAATAACAAGGTGGACGTCGCAGGAAGCCTGCAGTGTCTATCTAGCATTATTATATGCCATGAAACTGTAGTATTCGTACACCGTACTCTTTGCAAGGCAAAAAAGGTCTTCCGAGTTCTGAGACGTGTCTGGCAAGACGCGGTATGCGCCTGATTGGCTTTGATTCCGTGTCGATGTCTTCTTAGTTCCGGTGTATTCCGTGTTGCCCGCTCTGTTCTGTGGTAGGCCGGGAAGAATCGCTAACCATTGGGCGATGTCGCTTCTCGAAGGTGAACTCGGCCGCATATTCTTGTTGTTCTCCGAACAAGGTACGGAAAGAGAAGGCGGTCGGTCGTGCGCTGGGCGTTTGGGTCGTAGCACCGCACCAAGGTTGCTGCCAAGGCCATGACTCGGATAAGGCCAAGGCTGGCGCCATCCATTACGTTACAGCTTCTCGCGACCGAGACGGAAAGCGGAATCCAGGGCTTTTTCATTACCAAATGGAAGAGAGCCGTGTCGTGCTGCCGGGACATCCGCCCTGCATCGGCCGCTCTACTTTGTGTGAACTTCTTCTCATGTCCATATCCCTTGCTTTTCGTCCCCCTCAATATAATTTCTTCAAGTCCCTTCAAGTTTCTTTCAAGTACCCACACACTACCTGCCAGACGTTTCAAGCACGAGAACTGTACAACATAAGGTACATAGGTACGGTACGTACGTTGTACCTCGACCCTGCAGCTTTCATTTCCCATTATGTATTTGTGTCTCGTACGAATTCATTTGGTCAGAGATAAGAGTGCAGCTTGAAGCCAATCTCGCATGTGCTTCGCTCACACTTCAATTCTTATTCATAGCCTCGTCTCTTGGCACCTCCGTCATACTCTTTACCACCACCTCAGTTCCCCCTCGTTTCTCGAGATGCCACGCCACCGTCTTTGAGAACCACCCGATTTCATCCTAATCAGGCCCCGCTCTGAAGTCCCAAATGTCATGCGAGAGACCCGACGATATCCCGCCTCCTCTCCTCTTCCCTTCCTCTGACGCTGGGAAGACCAGACTGACTACATATTCCAGGCTATAGGGGGGCTGGCCTGGATTTCACTTCCTGAAGACTGGTTGCGCTACATAATATCGAAGTACTTTTAAGGTACATACCATTTGTTGCTGGTGTTAGTCTGCCATCCAGTTCAGCCGCGCTCTATACACGTATGTACAGCGCGACCAGCGTCGTACAGGGTGTCCTCTGTGAACTTGCCGGAACTTTATGGTCACTGAAAAAGATGAAGATATTTGGGAGGATGATCGCATACATATACCCATGTAATAATACGCATGCCGGTAGTATCGGACCATCGCAGCGGAGCATTCACTGCCCCATCTTATTTTTCGTAGTCTTCTCTTTGGCTGTCCCGGCCGGATGTTCCCCGTATGAACGACTCCATTTTGGCGTCGTCTCGCGTGCAAGCGTTCCTATAATTCGTACTCTGTAAAGTCAAGGATACTTGGGATTTCGGACGGGAACACGAAAAAAGGGGGAATCTCGAATCAATCTGCTTGGATCTTGGATAGGTAATTAACCCTTCGCGCTACCGCGGTTTTTTGCTCCGTACCTATCTAAGGTACATACGTCTGCCCAGGCGGTCTCAGAGTTTTACCAGCGGTGTACCCTCCTGTTCCTCAAGTCCGTGTCATTGTACTTTCCCCTACTCCGTACGTAAGAGTAAGGTAGACATTCCATTACCTCTTGCTTGTCGTCTTCTTGGTCCATCTCCCTCCCCTCTCCCAAGGTACCTTACCTACGGCATGCTGCTAAATTATTACATGCTGCACGGCGCCTCTGGTTTCTTATCTCTGATAACCTCCTTTCGCCTTTCTCCTACCTACCTACCTCTCTTTCCCTCTCCCTCTACTATTATTCCGTTATTACTCTGATTCTCATCGCCCACCCAAAATCCCATCCTCATCCATACTCTCTCCTCCCTGCCATCCTGTCATGTCTTTCGTCTAGGTTGGCATTTTTAAAACCAACCAACGGACCGGAACATTGATCCTGTCTGCCAATGACGCGCAAAACCCTGGCTTATCTCATACTCGCCTCGTTCGTCACCTGAGATTAGGAGGGGATCCAAGAGATCTCCGACCCCAACGCTTATCGCTTTGCCGCCCCCCATCTTGTCATTCGAGCTTCGTGCTCTGTACTCCATATTATTACTTCACCTTCATTTCTGGGGCTCCCCAGGATCCAATCCACGTGCCGGAGACCCCAGCCGAACGCCCGCAAGTCAACCCGTTTTCGTCCATTTCTCGCACCGGCCTTGCGCCGTTTATATTATCTATTCGTTGATTGAGATAATTTCACGACATCGCCCATCTGGTCCCGGGCACCGGCCGGAAATCCAGTGGTTGGCCGCTTTACTCATTCGATTGCTCTTATCTTGCCCTGTGGTCAGCCATCTCTGCAGGTGCAATTGGATCTCGCAGATTTGCTGACCCACCCCAGGCTGCCTCTCGACCACTCACAGAGCCCTCTTCTGCCTTGCCCACCTACCGAAGGTAGGCACAATCGTTATCAGAGAGACCCGTTTGGTGGTTCCTAAGTTCCTGTTACAGAAACCAACCCTGGTTAGGGCCCGCGGGGAGTGGGAACGCAATACCTACCTTCCTCTATACCCCTCGGACCTCTCGACGATCTTCTCGGAGAGGGGGGGACCGCTGCATCATATCGTCACTGCTAGATACTCTCTCCTACGAGCTGAAGCCTCTTTGGTCTCATTTCGAGCCATCCCTGGTTCCAGGTGATCTGATCTATTTGGGAGCTTTTAGCTTCTTGACCATCTATCTGGCGCGCGTTGGATTAACCCCCCACGGAGCTCGGGAGCGGACCGCATCATCGACGTCGGCCCCGGCCAGTATCGCGTTGGCCACCTATCTTTGACCCCGTTGTTCTGCTGGTAGCGTTACCAAGGCAGACAGACCTCTACCTATCTTAACCTAAAGTACCTACCCACCCCTCCGAGCCTTTTCCCCATCATGTCCAAGTCAAGTCAGCCTCTCGTCACCAGGACGGCCCCTATCGCCATTGCCCCCAAACCTGCCCGACCCCCGTACCGCCAAGAGAGCTTGGACTCCTATCGTCACGGCGGCAGCATGCCCGGCCGGGAATCGGCGGACGCTTCGTACACCGGCAAAGCCCCAAATCCCTGTGACATATGCCAACGCTTCAGGATCAAGTGCACGCTGAGCGACGACGACGAGGAGGGTTGCCTTCCATGCCAAAACCGCGGTTCCGAGTGCTCTTTTGTGTCAAGTCCGCCGGGCCGGAAACGGAAGCTTAACGGGGCTCTGGCCGACGACGGCAAGAGAAGGTCTGTCCCTCGTCTCCATATACAATTCTTGCCCTTCTTGTTTCTTTTTTCCCCGTCTTGATGTCCATCGCCCTTATTTATGACCACCCCCCCTCCGTTCCCCCCTCCCCCCCTTCCCCCCTTCGCCCCGGCGGTTGGGAGGGAGGGTGGGCAACCTTTGTCGTTCTTCGCCTGATGGTCTGCATATGTCCGTCCGGCTGATCCTACGTCTACCACTCTGTTCCCTTGGCTTGGCATGCCACCTAAGACATAATCGCACCCTCTGCCCCCTTGGATCCGCTCTCTCGGCATGGCGTATGGCGGTCATGTTTGATAGTTGAAATATCTAACATGTTATTGGTCCGACAGCTCACCGGGAAAGTCTGAGATTCGACGAAGGGGCCAGCATCAACAATCGAGTCTCTCGAGCATGGCAAACTCCTTCATTGAAGACATGGCCAACGTTGGAGGACCAACACAACTTAGAAGGACTCTCGGTCTCCAGAACGACCGCTACAGCCAATATATCGGGCCGACGACTGATTTCGAACCGTCTCTTATCAACCTCTCTCCGTTCGACCCCCACGACGAAAGTCTCTTGTCTCGAGGGACCCTGCGCAAGGTCAGCGACGATGAGACTTTTCTTATGCTTCCAGACCACAACTCTCTCGGTTATGAACATATCTTAGAAGACGTCGAGGAAGTAGAGGCCATTATTCGACCGCACGGCCGCAAGCTAGTGGACCTTTACTTCCGCGTCGTTCACCCGGCCTTCCCCATCATCCAGAAAACGGTGTTCTATGAGAAGTATGAGCGAGGCTACCGCGAATTTTCTCCGCCTCTTCTGGCTGCCGTCTATATTCTGGCGATCAACTGGTGGGATCATGACGAAGAACTAGCCGGCCAGCCACGGCCCGATGCCCGTGAGCTCGAGCGGCTCGTCCGCACCACACTTGCCGACGCCATGTACCGACCGAAGCTGTCAACCGTCCAGGCCGGGCTACTATTATCACAACGGCCAGAAGGAGATCAGTGGGCGCCCACGGCCCAGCTGGTGGCTATATCGCAAGAGCTCGGCCTGCATCTCGATTGCTCGAACTGGAAGATTCCGCCGTGGGAGAAGGGCCTGCGGAAGCGACTCGCATGGGCGCTGTATATGCAGGACAAGTGGGGTGCTCTGGTCCACGGCCGGCCGTCTCACATTATGCCTGCTAACTGGGCGGTGCAACCGCTGTCGGACAACGACTTTCCGGATGTGGAGTGGGACGAGGATGACGTGGAAGGGCAACGAGAGATCGAAACGGGAAGAACGCTCTTCAACCAGATGGTGGTTCTCACCCAAATTCTCGCGGAGATACTCGACACCTTCTACACACTGCAGGCGAATCAGCATGTCAAAGACGCCGGGGCACAGGGGACCCATCTTATACTATCTCTCGCCAAACCCATCCAGTTGAAGTTGAAGGAATGGTACGCCGGGCTACCGAGCTCGATACGCATGGACAACTCTTTCAGCACTTCCAGTCTCTCTTCAGTGTCCTCGGACAGCCGCAGCCGCCTCTCCAGCATCGGTCACCTTCACCTTGGCTATTTCGCGACCGAGATCACGCTTCACCGCCGTATCATCCGGTCGATCGTGGCACCCGAGTCGACACTAGATCCGTACGTCGAACATATATGTCGTAGCGCCGCCAAAGCCCGGCTCCTTTCGGCCATGGACTTTGTCAACCGGCTCACGCCGGCGCACCTGCGGTCTTTCTGGTATTTCGCGTCCAAGACAAATTTTGCGCTGATCGGCACCTTCGGTTCCTTGCTCTGGGCTACCGGTCCCGGCCAGGAGGAGGCGGATTGGTACCGGCGTCGGTTGGGCGAGTACCGGTGGACGCTCTCGGTGAGCTCCAAGCCGGGAGAGGGCAAGGGGCTGACGGAATTCGCCATGATGATGCTCGACATCTCGACGGGATTGTTGAAGAAGCTGCCGGAGAAGCCGTCGATCAGCCGCAGCGGCAGTGCCGTGGACATGGCCCACAGCAGCCTAGCCAGTGGCAGCTTGGGGGGCAGGGGTAGGCCTAGCGGGTTATCCAGCGGCTTCTCGGTGCTGAGCGGCATGGGAGGGGCTCCCTCGGTGGGGACGTTTAGCGGGTTTCCGAGTGCGGATGCCAGCCATGCTCACAGCCCCCTGAGCCTCGAGGACGTGGACGAGAGCAGCGATGAGGATATGTATGACGGGTTTGCTCCGACGGCCGGTATGGCTCGTAGTGGTAACTGATGACCCATGTGTGGTTGTCTGACGATTTCGCTGCCTCACGCAAGGGGCAGGAGGGAAATTATCCGCTGGACTAGGCGGAAAGATGATCGGATTCGGATAGAGACGGGGAACTGGCGAGTGGCATGCCACAGACCTGGAACTTCGCGCAACGGGAATGGATTGGGCTTGCGACAGGATTGGGACTCGGGCGCTTGTGGCGTACATCTTTTCGCCAGGATGATTATCACGATGAGCAGATGACCTGACGCGGGGCGGACTGAGAGATGAATCCATACGAATATTTGATACCAGATTGCTTGGGACGCTTATGTTTTGCTTTCTTCCGCGTACTTGTGTTCTGTAAAAAGAAGAAGAAGGGGGGGGAAATAAATATAAAAAAAAAAAAGATAAAAAAAAGCGAAAGAAGACTTATGATGAGCGAGCTGTGTGGTCTCATGGCAGTGGGAGCGGGATCGGTGATTGATATATACCGAAAGGGCGGTTGGTAGTGAAGGAAACCGGCGAGAGAGATGACGAGGATCACGCAATCGGAGGCGTGATTATGGTATGTTATCCTATGACACGGCAAGTCCTGCGACACGAAAGCCGTGGGATTCATGCCCTGCTCTGCTGTGGGCGTGTCGTACAACAGATTGCTTAGGCACCGACACCGACTACCGCCATCAGAACAGCGCGCTAACTTCTAGGGTAACCGTACTACGGGCTTGGTTTAGCTGAAGAAGCCCAATAGCTATAACAACCGACCTTGAACGCCCCTATCGCCAATGACGGAAGTTGGGCATCAATAACCCTTCGACCTTTCAGTGGAGTGACCAGACACCACTGAATGGCTCCATACCACCCCTGAGCTTCGTTACACCATATAGTTCCGATCACGATGCAGTGCATTCGGTGTAGAGAAACCTAGTTGTGTACGGAACCGCATCATCCATCGCCTGGATGTTCATGTTCGAAAGGGAATCCAAAGCATTGGACTCGTGCCAAGTGGTGGTAGTAATTAAAACCTGTCTATATCCCAGACCTTGATAGAACCCGATAACGCCCGCCTTACCGGAGAATAACCAATTCATCATCATCGTCATCGTCATCGTCATCATCATCCTCTAGAATAACCATACCGCCTCGCCCGCGTCCTTCTCCCATAGAGTCGGTTGCCACAGGCAACCCATCGCCCAGGCTTTCCCTCCCCGCTTCACGGATCCCCTTTTCGGTGACGAACCGCGTTTTTTTCCTCATGGGTGGTCGGTCCGGATCGGTCACTATCAGTTTTTCACCTTCTTTCATCCTCGCGAGTTTATCCTTTAGTCCACCGCCCCATCCGAATCCGCCACTGGGTTTCGAATTTTGCCCCGTGCCTGCCGTCGCAAGGGACGACAACGACGACGACGCCATCGTCGACCCGGATTGGGAACTTTCGGGCCGCTTGCGCTTCATGGGTCCGAGATGGATTAGGTGCTCCCTGCCTCGCGGCGCGATCAAGCCCAAGGCTCTGGCGTCGAGCTTGGGTACCTCCTCGCCGGACTGAGACGTTGAATGAGGAGGCCCCGAGGCCGCACCGGGTAGCGCGGAAGTTGACGATGACGCTGTTGATGACGACGACGAAGACGCCTGGTTGGCAGTAGCAGCAGAAGTTGGCCGGCTCTCCGTTGGCTTCATGTATTCCTTCCCAGCACCGGTGCCGATCTTGCTCAGCTTCATCTTGATGGCCCGCTCGCGCTCCTGCGCCACGAGACGTCGTTTGAGATTCTCCTCCTTCTCGCGCCTATCCACGAGTTTCCCGACTCCGTCGATGAGGTCTGCCGAACTCAAGCTCCGGCTCGCGAACCAGTGGCTCTGCGTCTCCCGGTCGTACTTCCCGCGCTGCTTCTCCGCCTCGGTGGGGATATGGATGTCGTGCGAGTTGACCTTCCGCCGCCCGAAGCCGGCCGCCGCGTTCACCTCCATCCTCATGGACCGCCGCACCCTGATGGCCTCGTTGGTGTGGAACTCGCAAAACTCGCTGCGCTTGCGGTTTACCCAGTGCCCGCAGAGATTGCCGTCCTTCTTCACGCTCTTGCAGAACCCCAGGTCGAGCGCCATGCCGACCTCGATGATTTTGTCCTCGTCCGAGTTGACCACGAGACTGAAGCGGCCCGTGTCGGCGCGCCCGGCGGGCGGCGGCATGACCATGGGGTTGAGAATGGCGATGACGGTGCCCTCCCTGATCTTCCAGAAACGCGTGAACCCGGAGTTGAAGAGGAAGAGCTCGAGCTCGAACTTGAAGTCCACCAGGGTCATGATCATGTACTTGCCCCTTTCCTCCTGCTTCACGCCGTTCTTGTCCAGACGCGGTTGGTGGGATTTCGGCTCCGAGCGCTTGGCCACGATGGCGAAGAAGACGATGTCTTGTTCGACATCGGGCAGTTCGTAATTCGGGGATTTGACATGCCGGAGCAGGTCTTTCATGACCATAATCTTCTTGCCCGAGAGATTGCGGGTGAGGGAGTTATGGGGAACGATTCGTTTACTTAGGTGGATGCTGGAATAGGGTTCGAAGGCGGTAGCTTCCGCTTCGGATACCTGGTCCGGCGCTGTCTCCCGCCGGGACGTGTTGGATCTCACCGTTCCTGCCGTAGCTGCTTGTGTGGTTGTCGTTCCGTTGTGGTTTGGCTGTGCCCCGAGACTTGGAGCCGTGTTGCTCCGTTGGAGCCCCGCGGGCATCCTGCTCTTATCTTCCCCCGCCAATACCTCGTCCCGACTAAACTGGGGGGGCTGTTCAGGTGCCTCAGGAATTTCGACGGCCTTGGTCTTGAGTTCTTCTATTTCCTCTTGCCCTATGCCAAAGACGGCCTTTGACCTTATCTTTTGTACCCTCTCCCGCCGCTCATGACGGCCTTCTTCCTCCATCCGTGCGGCGGCAAGACGTTCGTTGAAAGTGGGCGGGCGCGACATTTCTGCGAATTGCGGTTGTTGTTGTTGCTGCTGCTGCTGCTGCTGTTGTTGCTGTGGTCCCTGGCGCAAACCTCCTTGCTGCTGCCCAAGCTGTGGCCCTGGGTTCCTCCGCAGATTGGGAGCTCGCTTGAGGGAGATGTCCTTAGCGGTGAGGCCCTTATCGATGCCCAGTAAGACCCGGCTTGGAGACGTCTGCACCGGCGGCTCGGGTCTTGCTCGTCGTACAGGTGACGCTGGAATTTCGATGGCATTTTGTGACATGGGCCGGGCAGGACGGCCTTCCAGCGCCGTCCGCCCCGGCGATGGAAAAGCCGACTCGGGCCTCGATGATTCCAGCTTGGCACCATTCGTTTCGGTGTTTTTCGCCTTTGCATTTTGAAGTTTCTTCAACTTTAAACGGGCCTGGATTTCCTGCAGCTTGAGCTGAAGCGTTTCCTCGTCTTCATCGTCGTCGAGAGTGGGCGGCTGGTCTTCCGAGTCGATTATGACGTTCTTCGCAGCAAGTCTTGAGGAGAGGGTCGAGCGTGATCTTCCAGTTCCGAGAGGGGAGGGGGAGGTTCGGTTTGCGAGCCGTCTAAGACGCTCACGGCCGCCGGGGGTGCTAAGAAGGACTTCGCGCGGAGATCGTGGAGGCCATTCTGGCTCGTCGACTTGCGTGGCTGATGTTGTTGTTAGTGATCCTGCATCCTAATTTTTTCTTCTCTTTTCCCATGAGGCGAAAATCACTAACGAGGTGCCATAAGACGATTTGGACAGTCAACCGCGATCCCTTATAGTGGAAAAAGTCTTTCGAAATGGTCGAGCCTCCCTGGAATATCCCCAAAGTAAAGGATTACGTCGAGACGAGGATATCAATCCCAACCGCCGACCGGGGGTGAGGAGGCCAGCAGCGGGACGAGAGACTCCGTCATGCGTTTTGCGGGTAGTAGAGGCGTGATACGACTTTCGAATCGGCTTGGGAGCTATCCGGACAAGACTGAGGAATATGAAAACAGATGGTTGAATGGATAAAAAGATGGAGCCTCGTGGGGCCAATGGTACTCGATGTCGGGAGCAAGCTGTTCTGAGATGACCAGGGCGACAAGACTTTATGCAAGCTGTTGCAATTTTTCGGGGGGTTTTCGTGTTACCCAAGACTTGATAATTTGGTTGCGTTCCGTAATTGGCCCTGTGATATTACATGTAACGCGTAAAACGGCGTTGAGAGACGCGTCTCGTTAAATAAGCGATTATGTAATACACGACGCGCTGAACGCTGAATGCTGAACGCGTTCCTCAAATACATCTCCGTAATACTTCGTGCTCCGTCTCCTCGATGTACTGCATCTCCAACCGACCCAAAGACATACCTCGTCAGATCAATTGGGCCCGGCTACAGAACTGAGAACACTTTCTTCCTCATTCATCAGTTCTGTTTATCTTCATACTCGCCGTTCATTGCCTTATTCTCGACTTCTGATCTTCCATCGTGCCACCTCCACAGCTGCCATCTCCTCCCGCAAGACCTCGGACCTTATGGCCCGGACGAGATCAACCAAAGCTGCTTCGGCTGCAAATGGTGACCAGAGCCAGCCTGTGGCCACCAAATCCAAGTACTCTCCGCCAGTAGATTCGAACGAGCCCTCTAGAGTGTTCATTCTTCCTACCAAGGCCACAAGTGCCGCCCGCATTATACTGCTACTGAACCCCCGTTACTCGAAACCCACCAAGTATCTTCTTTGTCCCGAGTCCGGCCTCTACGAATTTACCCAGATTGCTGCGCCCAAGACCACCCCGAGAAGCTGGTTAATCGAAAGAAAACCTGCGGCGACAGAGGAGGCAGAGGTTCAGGCCCAGATTACCAATGGCGCCGACCTGTTCATTGCAACTCCGGTTGATCCTCTCTTCGTAGTGCTACCCGCTCTAACAAGCTCGACTGCCTCTAAATCGGACGATGGAAAGCGACTCTTTCTAACGAGCGAGGACCACTTCGATTCCCTTTCCGACTCTGCCTCCACGCACTTTTCAGAGGTACTACGATGCGAAAAGACAAGGACGTTATTCGAGGCGAGGATGGGAGCAATATGCGATACGGTGGAGGCAGGGGACGAGAAGATGTTCCGACTGAATGAGAAGAAGCTCATTGAACAAATTCTGTTGAAAGCCAAGGCCCTGGGTTCGACTCCGTTGCCGCCCAGCATGGAAGACAAGTTTGTGAAGAAGGTTCTCGAGGCACCACTTAGTGTGCAGAAGAGCGATGTCATCAAGACAGAAACGAAGGAAGGCCACGACGCCCCATCCCTCGAATCGGTCGAGTCTCAATCTTCAGTGAGCACTGTGGATTCGGCCACCACTGTCGATAGTACGAGTTCGCTTGCATCGGCGGCATCAACGGCAGCCACATCGGTGAGCGGGGACGCAGTGGAGGACTCGGTGTCAACCGCCATGAAAGCCTCGGATGATGTCGTGGCGTTGCAGCGGCTGAAGGTGGCCTTCAGTTTCATCTGCTCGGGCCACGTTTCTCCGACCACCGCAACCCGCTTGGAAGGCCTGCTTAAGGAACGGAACATGTCGGGCGTGGACTTTGCACCCCTAGAGGCCTATCTCACAGAACTCGCCAAGTTGCGCGCCGAGGCTGCCTCGGCACGATCCATGGCCGATTATTCCGGAAAACGACATTTGGACGATGAAGCAGAGGAAGCACGAGCCGAGAAGAAGCGGAAGCTTGAAGAGGAAAAGAAACGAAAAGCCAGCGCGAGCCGTGGCGTCAGGGAGCTAAAGAAAGTCAACACCTCCGGGATGAAGAAGATGAGCGACTTTTTCAAGAAGAAGTGATCCGCGCCCCCCCGGGGGGGTGTCGCGACAGCCGGTTCTCAAACAAGCTTCACACACATAGCACGTCACATGCTTTATATTTCGGGTATTATTTCCTCCTACCACCTTTCGGGCCATTGCGCAATAAGCACCCGACCACCACATCTCGTCCCCCCGAAATGAATATCGAGTCTAAGTCGCACCCCGGCCCCGATAGCCGCCACGCGTGGACGCAGCTCCTCGACCGATCCTTGTCCCGGACGTGCTCGTGCTCGTACTCGAATAGCTGGCACCCCGAGTATGCGACGTGCCTGTGCTCGTTCCCCGCACTCTACCTCGAGCGGTCCCACGACCACGAACACTGGGGGTGCGGCCGACGACAGCCGCCTGCTTCTGTCGGCCTTGCTCTTCCTCTTCGCGTTTCCGCCGAGCTGCTTCGCGTTTCCGCTCTTCCTCGGCCGCTCTGCGCTCTGCGGCCTGTTGTCTCCGAAGTGCCTCGGCCTCGATGTCGAGCACGTCCTGGGTTGCGCCCCGCCAGGTTGGGTCGAGAATGAGCCGCTGGTTGTGCTCGGTCTGAGAGAGGATGCGGGTCCAGGTGTTGAGCAAAGTCGAGGCATGGTTTACTGTGCCGGATACGGTCTGTAGCATAACGTGTCAGAATCGGAGGAAAGGACGACACCGAACACGAGATTTCCCAAAGGAAAGAGGACGGGACGAAAAAAAAAACCCCCACAGCAAGACCTACGGTCATGTTTTCTTGCGCTCTCTCCAGTGTGCGTATGAGGCCCTCGATAGAGGCATTAATGGTGCGAACGCCCTCGAGCTCCTTGCGCAATGCGGCTTCTCTGTCGTATTCGGTCCCTTGGTTCGGCCCCGGTGTCCGGGGCGGTGGTGGTGTCTTCGGAGTCCTGGGGGTCTGAGGTTTCTTGGTGGGCTGCTGTTCTGGAGATGCCCAGATGTCTTCGGTGACGGAGTCGTCCATGGGGTCGGACATAATGACGAGTTCGCTGCCCCAGCCCGGTTGGTCCTGCACACTCTCGATGCCTCACAAAACCTCGTCGGCTGCTCGTTACGGCTCGTTCTATTCGGTTTGTTTACTACGATGCAGACAAGGGCTTCAGGCTCGAATTGATTGGCAATGACGTCTTCTGTTTGTGTATCAGAAAATAGAGGGGTCTTCTGTGGGAATTGACCACGATGCACAATGGGCGGAGAAGGCCTCGGAAGTATACGCTACTAAGGTTAGGGTGGGTTAAACCGGACACAGTTAGGTCGCTAGTACATTGGCGTTTGCATGCAGCCGTGGCATTGGATGCGTTGGTATGAGACTTGGCTTATGGTTTTCGAAAGTACTTTCGTGAAAGTACTGAGGACAGGCACAGGGAGGACGCGAAAAATCGCGTATGTATCACCTCGTAGACGCGTCTTTTATTATGGTGGGTCTCGCCTAATTTTAATGGAACCCTGTGAAATTTGGGGGCTGGGGACAGAAGTTTGACAGGGGGGTTGGTGGATTCGCGGATTCGTGGGCGGACACCAGCCACCTTTCATGTACCGGCACCCGCACATGTAACGGTTTGTTATTATCGGTCACCCTCATCTCCTCTCTTTTCCTTGCATCCTGCACTCCTCCCCTCCGATGAGCTCCTGACAACCCTATCGTCCAACCATAACAACAACAAACGACTTTATCCCCATTCTATGCACCAGGAGAAACCATTACCTTCGGAATACTGCTAGCCGATGAACACGATCGCGTGCAATCAAGTTCGATAATAATCATTACGCAGTATCTGTAATTCTCTCGATCATCTATCTCGAACACCCTCTCCTCGCAACACGGGTAGCACAACCATCATCGCTTCCAATAGTGCGGAAACCGAGTCTGGCTATCATCGCATCAGAGCTACTGCTTTTGAATTCCACTGTTCACCTTATTGAACACATGTGCTGGGCATTGAAGGATACTTGCAATTGACCACGTCGACCCGCATTTATTCTTCAGGTGAAAGAGAAGTGAAAGAAAGGTGAAATTTACCAACACCGCCTGGGCGCCTTCCTCCCCTGAGGTTCCTGCCTGCTCCTACCCAACTCATCCGATCGCCGAATAATTACCTTCTTTCCCTTTCGAAACAAAAAAGAAGAAAAAAAATGGCGTCCCTTCGAATTTCAACACCTTCGCCTCCTCCACACGGCATCCGAACTCCCCCAACCCCCAAACACGGTTACACCGATCACTGGGAGCCTTATACACCTTGCCGCAGGTCAGCCCGAATTTCTTCACAAAGTGCTGTCCATCGAACACCATCACCTTCTTCATCGCATCGCACACCTCGCACCACAAGGAAAGCAGCTGCTTCGTCGAGCACCAGCATCATGTCGCCCACTGCGTCGCCACAGAAACAGCGACAGCCCGCCTCGGGTGAGCTGAGCACCGAGGGTACGGCTAAGGCCGGTGCTTGCTTAGGTCTTGAGAAGCCCCTGAACCATCAGGAAAAGCAGGAGTCCCGCACGGCGTCTATCACCCGCCGCTCCGGTATGCTGCCTACTCCGGTCAAGACGCCTAAGAAGCCACCTACCGAAGCCCAAGCCGCCAGCATCCAGGCAGTGGCGCGCAACCTCTTTTCAGGTGACGATGATACGGCGCGTCTTCAAAGTGCGCGCAAGAAACGTGTGCCGAAGAAGTATACCGGTATTTCCATGGACAGCTTCAAAGCCGAGCAAGTTGAGGAACCCATTCAAATCTACACAGACTCCCGCGATCGCGTTCCAGAGGTCGACACCAGTGCTGAAAACCCTTTCTACGGCAATAACGAAACTGCCCGCCCCGAACCTCGTCTGCGCCGCAGCAAACGTAATGTCGTTGTCCCCGGCGAAGGCTCCCAGGATATTGATGAGGCTTTGGAGCGCGAGGACGGCATGGTTTTTGTCTTGTAAGTTTTTTCAACTCCCATCGTCCAACTTGTTGCATTCGTTGGTTATGAGTCCGATTACTAACTCTATCCTTCTGCAGCCGCGGCAAGAGGGTGTTTCGCAAATTTGATGCAACCGACGAGGACGAGGAAGGCGCAGAGGGCCCACGGACCCTTACCCGGTCATCTATCAAGCCCCGGCGCCTTTTCCAGACTGCCGAGAAAGTCACCCCAGAGGAGGAGGAGGCGCTGACCGATATTGAGGACCATGATGACATGGAAGAGACTGAGGAAGAAGCACCTGGAACTCCGGATGTCGAAAAGTGCGCCCCATCAACTCCATCTGCTCCCCGGTTTGGCCCTGCCACTCCTCCTGACACGCGGCGGACTACTCGATTCGGCCCAAGGGCTGGGGAAGCAACCCCTTCGAAATCCATGCCCAATTCCGGGCCATTTTTTGATTGGCCTCGCGTGAAGAACCGTTCGTCGAGCGAGGACCGTGTTCCGAAGCGGTCTGCAGACTCCAACTTGACGGCGTCCGATTCGAAGCGCAGCCGTGCCATCTAGGGAGACATTTGTCGGAAATTGTCTACAGTCCATCATCAGCATGAGGATTGCTTTCTCTTCTACTACTTACGATTGTCCATCTGCGTATTCATTCTTCAGACGGTGCTCCTATTCTGTCGGTCTCGGGCACGGCATCTATTCTTCGGACGAGCTTCTGTTCCTTCTCTACTCTTCTTCGTCTCACAGCAAATTTGCCCCGGCTGGCTGTAATCTTACTATCAGGTCATCCTCTTCGGGGAACACACTGCACATACAGCGGTTGGGTATGAAGGCCCGCACAATGGCAATGCAGCCCATAATTACCCATTATCTGGTTTTTTTCTTCTTCTTTTTTTTTTTTTGGCCTTCTTGTTTGGCCGATTTGGTTCGCGGGTTCGAGGGGGGAAATTTGGGACATAGGCATACCAGGTTGCTTTGGTCAGACCGAGTCAGGGTCAGGTCAAAGTCAAGGTTGAGATGGTCAGGCAAGGGTTACGGACAGGCGTCAGGGACAAGGAAATTATTAGTAAAGGGGCTTGTAAATTTGGTCTCGATGCTTTGTGTCCGCCCGCGAGTCGCCGTCAACGTCACAGAATGGGCGGCAACGGGACGACTAATCTTCATGAGACCTCTTGTAACGTCGACAGATGCTAGGTAGACTCACTCCGAAAATTAAAATGTGATTTTGACAAGTTGTGCCCTTTTACGTGATTAGATGAACAAGTATCAAACATGATGTGCATGAATTTATCTTACCTGCCCAGGCAGATATACGTATGGAATACAGAGGACACGGGGACGGGATACGAAGACCGAGAAGGTCGGTCTAGTCTACCTGGTATTGAGTAGGCCCTCATATTACAACAGGATAAGGTAAGGTAAGGTACGGTAGGATACCTTACAGGGAGGGCCCGACAGTATCCGTTGTTAGGTCAGAATTGTCGGCGTCTACCTTTGACGAACTCGGAAGATAAACGTCAACCGGCCCCACTATTACCACATGGCTCAGGTTACAAGTCGCAAGAGCCGATGGACCCCTCCTTCCCTTCTCTTCACTGTTCTGACGCGGGGCTCATCATGACTTCCCACATCCCACAAATGCATCTTTCACCCACGACATAACACCACGATTCTTACTTAAACCGGGTATCCCTTTCCTTTCCTTTTCTTCCCTTTTCTTTTTTGTTTATTTTGTCATAAGAACTGTACTTCGCCTACGATCAAATCCAGACGCATCAAATTCAAGACGAAATCGAGCTTCAATTTCGCTCTCTTCATCTCTGTCTCTGGCACACTCCTTTGCCCCACGGCTTATCTCACCGTCAAGTAAATTTGCCCAGTTCTTCTCTTTGATTATATTCGACCCGACATTCTTCCTTGACCAGAGCCGTCACAATGCACATCCTCGTGACCAACGATGATGGCCCTCCGTCGCCTCACTCCTCTCCCTATGTTGCTACTCTTGTCGCGGAACTGAAAAAGGCCGGTCACACGGTCTCCGTTTGCCTTCCCCATACCCAACGTTCCTGGATCGGAAAAGCCCATATTATCGGTCAGGCAGTTCGGCCCCTCTATTATCGGCCCTCGGGACACCTTCACGGCGAGAAGTGTGAAGGTACTACCCACAGCCACCCCACGACTACCGCCTCGAATGGTGACCCGGACGCCTTCGATGCCGACGCCGAATGGGTCCTTGTCGACGGCACCCCGGCCTCCTGTGTCCAGCTGGGGCTGCACCACCTCTTCAAACACCGCGGGCCCATCGACCTCGTCGTTTCCGGTCCCAACTACGGCCGTAACACCACCGCCGTCTTCGCCCTCTCCAGCGGCACCCTGGGCGGCGCCCTCGAGGCCGCCGTCTGCGGCCACCGAGCCATCGCCCTGAGCTTCGCCTTCTTCACGCGCAACCACGACCCCGTCGTCATTGAGGGCGCTGCCCGCCACGGCGTGCGCGTCATCGAGAAGCTCTACGCCGACTGGCCCACCGACGGCAGCCTCGATCTCTACAGCGTCAATGTGCCCCTCGTCGAGGGCGTCGAGAGCCACAAGACCGTCTGGGCGAAGATGCTGCAGAACTACTGGCGCGAGGGGAGCTGCTTTGAGAAGGTCGTGGGAGGCTCTGCTACCGCCGGCGACGAGGACGCCGAGGAGGAGAGGATACGCGAGGGCGTCGAAGGCGAGGTGCAGGGTGGTATTGCTGCGGACGTTCATCGTTCGAGGCACTTCAAGTGGTCACCCAAGTTTGGAGAGGTGTACAAGAGTGTGGAGGAAGCCGGTCCTGGAAACGACGGCTGGGTTGTTAAGGAGGGACAAACCAGGTTTGTTCGCCCTTTCCCCCCTTTCCACGTATCCTCGCTTAGATCAATCTCTACGACGAGGAAATTCTTCTGTTACACAATCTTTACTGACTCCTGGCTTTTTCCAGTGTGACGCCTCTGAAGGCGAATTTCTGGCACGCTGCTGATCATTTGTATGAGAAGGAGCTAGTATTGTGAGTTTCTGACCTCTGTCTCAACCCCCCTTCATGCTTTGGACTTCAAAATTAGATGCAAAAGACGTCAAAAATCGGATCATGGTTCTACTGTTCTACACTCTACATGCAGTCAGGGACGGTCCTCGATGAATAAAATTACACTGGAGCTTTTCGCCTGTACTTTACAGTTGTGCAATACACCAATAGAACAGAGTCTTAACCTTTTCGTCTTGACAGACCTCCGAAAGTTGCTAGTGCAACGGAGAAGGGTCTTCCCGTGAGACCTGCTAAGCATGAAGGAGCCTCGCCCAAGAAGCCTATATTTTACGCCCTCATCAACTACGGAGATGATTACGTCCAACCCCTGATCATGTCGGCCATGGAATCTCTCTTTGCCGAAGGTACCTGGGCACCGCTCAGCCTGCCCCGTTCCTCGGAGACAGCGAACTCGGACGAGCCTGTGTCCCTTGGGGAGGTCCTCTCGGACCCAGACGCGCGAGTGTTGCAGATCATGCCCTACGAAGCCCTGGATTTTGACCACGCCGCATCGCATCCAACCACGACGCTGATCAATAGCTACATCATCCGCAAAGCCCTCATAAGGAAGCACTACCTCTCCGCGACAGTGGAGGCATGGGTCGCCAAAAACCCGGGCTCGGTGCTCCAAAAGGGGGTCAAGCGGAGCGAACACTTTGAGGTCGACTACGCCGAGTTCCTGGACGACGCACTTGTAGAGGCATTTGACCTGCGCGAGAGCCTGGACCGGAATGAAGAGAAAGAGAGTGCGGCGGAGCGTGAATGGTGGATCCTCAAACCTGGCATGAGTGATCGTGGGCAAGGCATCAAGTTGTTCAGCACGATGGACGAGTTGCAGGGGATCTTCGATCAGTGGGAGGAAGAACGGCCTGACAGTGACGACGAGGACGGAGACGAGGATGAAACCGGGGACAAGGACGGCGAGGAAGATGGAGGAAGAGCAGATGAAGGGAAAGACTATATCACCACGACGCATCTTCGGCACTTTGTCGTCCAGCCGTACATTCACCCGCCGCTGCTCCTCGCGGGTGACGGACGCAAGTTCCACCTCCGCGTCTACGTCCTTGCTGTCGGTAGCCTCAAGGTGTACGTTTACAACGACGTACTGGTCCTCTTTGCTGCGAAGCCGTACTCTCCTCCGTGGGAATCAGGCAACGAGGACCTGGATGTGCACCTTACGAACACCTGTCTCCAGCAAAGTAACTCTGCACCCGGCTCCAGCTCCATCTCTGGGTCTTTACCTGCGGTCCGGCGACTTCGTGACCTTGTTTCGTCCGAGGATTTGCCTCAACAGACGGCGGAGAGCATCATGGCGCAGGTCCGCACTGTTACGGGCGACCTGTTCGAGGCGGCCGCTCGGGGGATGTCGATCCATTTCCAGCCGCTGGAGAATGCGTTCGAGGCTTTCGGACTCGATTTCCTTGTCGACGCCGCGGGCACAGCGTGGCTGCTGGAGGTCAACGCTTTCCCGGACTTCCGGCAAACGGGGACCGGGAAGGCGGGGGTGGTGGTGGAAGGGTTCTGGAGGCAGACGGTGCGGATAGCTGTTGGGGGATTCTTCAAGGTGGGGACCAGCAGTCAAGGTCAATGTACGCAAGACCGTGAGACTGAGACTTTGCTCGCGGACGATCCGTCACAATGGACCGGCGACGGACGGTTGGTTCTCGTGCGGGATGTCGAGCTCGGGAGGCGGTGAGGATGGCGGTGAAATGTGCCGCCGGTGAAGTGGTTGTTGGTTCTTGTTGTTGTCGGTGAAGGTCAGCTTACTTGGACTCGGCGGTCAGCCGTATGAGGGGGGGACGACGGAATAAGTCGACAGGTGCCGAGATTCTGCGAAGCCGTATTTAGACGGTGATGGCGACGGTGGATATGTACAACCAGAACTAGAGAAAAGCACCCAACTCTTATTGTTGTTGTGTTATTATGCACATACACCTCAGTTGCTCTTCCATTGCTGAAAGCCGGACCAAACTGCCTTAAGTGTGAAATCTGTGTGGTCTCTGTCTTGGCGGCATAGTTCACTCAACAAGGCGTTCCACGAGGCTCATATCTCGGAGTAAGACTGCGGTGGAAAGCAGGGGTCAACTCAGTTAGTTCCGGTTTCTCGGCATGATTGACTCGGGAAAGGGCAGGGTCTGCCTCGTAGATCCATGGAGCGCTTCTTTGTTTCCTTCCTACGATAGCCCATTGAGATTTACCTCTGAGAAGTGAAGACCTCCCAATGTCAACGAGAGGACCAGAAAACCAAGGGAATAGTTCCTCTCGGGATGATTACACCGCATGGCTGATGGCTCCTTCACCGTCGATCAATTCCCATATAATTAGCATGGCTGCTTGGAAGAAGTAGTTCAATCTCTGCTGGTTTGAAAGACCCATATGGATGGGTTTCTATCCGCCATTTGCCAGTGGCAGTTCTTGGTTCGGATCGACAGGTATCGTGTTTGCGTGTGAGTGTCAATATGCGGTCAATGTGCGAATGGACGGAGGGTTGCTGCAGGTGCTCAGCCTCAATGCTTCGTTCGGGTAGTGATTGCGGAAGCACCGGGGAGCGTAAGGCAGACCTGATGGATGAGGTATGGATGAGGTACGGAGTAGAAAGAAGACGCTGTCGGTGATTCAAGGACCTCGGTCCAAAGGTTTAATACGGAAACTGCGATGGATACACCGGCAGTTGCGGAATCGACCGCACTTTCTCCACGTCTTACCTTTTATGAAGTGGAGGCACCGAGTCTCTAGGTAGGTACTTAGGTAGGTATTCCTCCCCCGTCCCTTCCTTTCTCCTTCTTGATTATCGCCCTGGGCCGATGTTTATAGGAAGTTATGTTCAAGTTCCCAAGAAGGAACGTCCCACATTCGAGACTGCCCAGCCAGTCGCAATATGGCACTCGGCCAGAAGCCAATTCCCTCCGAAGCTTGGACACTTTACACTACCTTACCTATGGGACTGTGGGTACCTTCTGTGCTTCAATGCATCCGCATGCATGCTGGGAGGGAGCTCCTGGGATTCGAAACCTCGAACCTTCGAACCTGGGATGGCAACCTCCCTGGGAAGCTTCAGACAATTCGTTTCTTCTTCGTCACTCCTTTAGTTCTGTTTCTTTCCCTCTTGTCTTTAATATTCTATCCTTCATTCTCTTGGATTTGTATTTACGCGTATTCTCAGAGAGCTTCTATTCGGGAGCGCGTCCTGCTTGATGACTACGAACTGGAGATCCCTTCTCTATAATTTGATACCGACGAGAGGGCTTCGTCTAATAATCACCGATTCCTACAGCACGGCTTCAGCGATCCTAGAGCATCTTCTATCCCTTTCATTCTATTAGGCGAATGCTTTTCTTTTCGAGTATCCGCCCATCCCTTCGATAGACTCGTTTTGTATTTTTTTGTCGTCGTGTTTCTGTCAATCCCTACCATATCTTCATCTTCACCATCTGCCCCCCTTATTCTCGTCAGGGACGTTCCGGAAGGAGCCACCTAAGGTGTCCGTCCTCCGAGCCGTCATCGACATGACACCCGATCCCAGCCCAAGGAACGACGGATCACAGTCTGCAGGGAGACCGAGAGCGTATGTATAGTCCCCTTCGTGTGCAAACCCTTTCGGCTCGCCTTTAACAGAACGACCGGCTGATATTCGATTTCCCTTCCCCCCCCGTGCACAGTCCTACGATCACCATCGACACCACAGGCACCGACGCCTGGGAAGCCTCGCCGGAATCCATTGCCCAGGACCAGTCAAGACAACCAGGAGCAAGCCCCGTCTTAGCCCAGGATGAGTCCATCAGCCCCACGACTACCTTGGACCCAATAGCTGGAGATTGGACTGCTTCTCGTACCCGATCTGCCACTCGGACAATTTCTCGATTCGATCTCCGTGCCGAGACCTCCTTCGACAGCAGGGACAGCCGTCCTCAGAGTCCCCACAACGTCTCAACTCCCGTTGCTGTCTCGAGGGGCAATGACCGCGCATTTCTTGCCGTCCCCCCGAATCCGCGGTCGAGACAAAACTCGGTCGATTCCGATGATGCCTCTCGTTCCATTCTCTCGTCGCAGGGCGAGACTCTGGTTCCCTCCGCCGTCTCGGAGAAGTCCGGCACCGCCGATCACCTCTCCAACGACGAGCTGATGAACGACGACAAGGCCTTGAAACCAGATCAGGGGAAAGAAGCTGAGTTCGAAGTGGAAGACAGCCCTTACGCCTTCAGCCCTGGTCAACTGAACAAGCTTCTAAACCCCAAGAGTCTGGCCGCCTTCTACAGAATCGGTGGTCTCACTGGTCTCGAGAAGGGGATCCAGAGCGACCGAAAAGCCGGCCTGGGCGTGGACGAGACCACGGCTGCCCGGCGCGTAACCTTCGAGCAGGCTACGGCACACGTCGGCCGCACGCATCACACGGGCGATCCGGAGGAAGTTGATGTGGGAGATACGAAAGAGGCAGCGGGAGCCTCTCTTAGTACCTCCAGCAGTCGCCCCAACGTGACCAGCCCTGGGAAAGGGGCCTTCACGGACAGAAAACGAGTGTTCAAGGACAATCGGCTGCCCGAAAAGAAGGGCAAAAGCTTACTCCAGTTAATGTGGATCACGTACCAAGACAAAGTGCTGATGCTCCTCACCGCAGCTGCGGTCGTGTCCCTGGCCATTGGCATATATCAGACAGTTGGCATAAAGCATGACCCAGGCGAACCTCAGATAGAATGGGTGGAGGGTGTCGCCATCGTCATTGCAATCGTCATTGTCGTCATTGTCGGATCGCTTAACGACTACTCCAAGGAGCGTCAGTTTGCCAAACTGAACAGGAAAAAGCAGGACCGTGAGGTCAAGGTTATCCGGTCTGGGAAGACCATGGAGATCTCCGTTTTTGACATTCTCGTTGGCGATGTCGTCCACCTCGAACCCGGGGACCTGGTTCCGGTTGACGGCCTTCTCATTGAGGGCTTTAACGTCAAGTGTGACGAGTCCCAGGCCACGGGCGAGTCGGACATCATCAAAAAGAGAGCCGCCGAAGACGTTTTCTCTGCTATCGAGAACCGCGAGGATGTCACCAACATGGACCCGTTTATCCTGTCCGGAGCCCGCGTTATGGAAGGCGTCGGCACTTTCATGGTGACTTCGACGGGTGTAAACTCGACCTACGGCCAGACCCTCATGTCCCTGGCCGAAGATCCCGAGGTCACACCTCTGCAGTCGAAGCTTAACATCATCGCCGAATACATCGCGAAAATCGGAGGTGCCGCAGGTCTGTTGCTCTTCATTGTTCTCTTTATCCGGTTCCTCGTCCGCCTTCCAAACATGTCGGACGAAACGCCTACCGAGAAAGGACAGATGTTTATTAATATTTTCATCGTCGTCGTGACTATCATCGTGGTCGCAGTACCCGAAGGCCTCCCGCTCGCCGTTACCCTGGCCCTGGCATTTGCCACCACCCGAATGCTCAAGGACAACAACCTCGTCAGGCACCTCAAAGCCTGTGAGGTGATGGGGAATGCGACCAATATCTGCTCTGACAAGACGGGAACCTTGACGCAAAATAAGATGCAGGTGGTGGCCGCGACCATTGGCACAACGCACCGATTCGGCGCCCACTCCTCCGCAGGATCCGACAGCAGAGGAGAGACCGCCGATTCCACTGGGAGCGATGTATCGGTTTCTAAGTTCGTCGAGACGCTCAGCGCTGAGGTCAAGGAAATGCTGGTCAAGTCAATCTCCTTCAACTCCACCGCCTTTGAAGGCGAAGTCGACGGCAAGAAAACCTTCATAGGCTCCAAGACGGAAACGGCCCTGCTCTTACTGGCCCAGAACCATCTCGGCATGCGTCCCGTTAGCGAAGAGCGTGCCAGCGTTCGTACGCTGCACCTTATTCCGTTCGACTCGGGTCGGAAGTGTATGGGTATTGTCGTTTCGTTAGCCGATGGCGGGGCTCGCCTCTATGTCAAGGGCGCCTCGGAAATCGTGCTCAATAAGTGTACGCACATCTTCGGCAATCCGTCGGCCGATGCCTCGCTCGTTCCCATGACAAGCGAGGACCACGAGTCGATCAACGCCCTGATTCATAGCTACGCATCTCGAAGTCTTCGCACCATTGGCCTTGCATACAGGGACTTCAACAGATGGCCCCCTCGTCCCCCCCGCCGCCATGACGGGGACAGGAGTGAGGTCGAGTTCGAGGACATTTTTCGGCGCATGGCGTTCATCGGCGTGGTTGGCATTCAGGACCCGCTCCGTGACGGGGTTCCAGGAGCTGTTCGTACCTGTCAGAGGGCAGGCGTTTGCGTTCGCATGGTGACGGGCGACAACAAGGTCACGGCAAAGGCCATTGCCCAGGAATGTGGCATCCTGCAGGCCAACAGTCTCGTCATGGAAGGGCCCGAGTTTCGCAACTTGTCCAAATCGGAACAAGAGGAGATCATCCCCCGTCTCCACGTCCTAGCCCGGTCGAGCCCCGAAGATAAGCGTATCCTGGTTAAGCGTTTGAAGGATCAAGGCGAAATTGTTGCCGTTACTGGTGACGGTACCAACGATGCTCCCGCGCTAAAGACGGCCGACGTCGGCTTCTCCATGGGCATTGCGGGCACCGAGGTAGCCAAGGAGGCGTCAGCTATCATTCTCATGGACGATGACTTCAATTCAATCGTCAAGGCCCTGATGTGGGGGCGTGCAGTCAACGATGCTGTTAAGCGGTTTCTGCAATTCCAGCTGACAGTAAACGTGACGGCCGTTGTTCTGACCTTTGTCACGGCTGTGTCTCACGAAGCATCCGTGCTAACGGCCGTGCAGCTCCTGTGGGTGAATCTCATCATGGATACCCTCGCTGCTCTCGCCCTCGCCACGGATCCGCCGCAGAAGAGCGTCCTGAACAGGCGGCCAGAACGACGCGACGCGTCCATCATATCGACGACGATGTGGAAGATGATCCTCGGTCAGGCGGCGTACCAACTAGCTATTACCTTTATGCTCTTCTACGGCGGCTCCAGAATCCTACCTGCCGGGAACGAGATGAACCTGGAACCGGAAGCTTTCCAGGCCCAGGTAAACACGGTAGTGTTCAACACGTTTGTGTGGATGCAAATTTTCAACCAGTGGAAGTAAGTAGCCCTACCCTTCTGCTCCTTTCGCCGGGGACCTCTTCTTCTTTTCTTCCTCTCCCGAAACGGGGAGAATGTTCTTTCGAGTGTATGCTTACCATGGTACAGCAACCGACGCCTGGACAATAAATTCAACATCTTTGAAGGTCTCACGAAGAACTACTTCTTTATGGGTATCAGCTGCGTTATGATCGGCGGCCAGATCTTGATCATCTTCGTGGGTGGCCCGGCCTTGCAGATATCTAGACACGGACAGACCCCGTCGCAATGGGGCGTCGCCATTGTCTTGGGTTTTCTGTCGATTCCAGTCGGTATGCTTATCCGCCTGATACCCGACAAGTTCATGAGGCGGCTCGTGCCGGACTACCTGAAGCGGCGAGCCAAGGAGCGGCTGCCCGGGGTGACGGTGTCGGACGAAGAGCGGTTCAGCATGTACCCGGAACCCCTGGCGGATGTGCGTGACGAACTGGCGTTCCTCAAGCGCATGAAGGGCGGGCGCCTGAACAACCTCAAGTTCGCGGTCCGGCATCCGCGGGAGACGTTTGCTTCGTACTCGCGTAGCCCGTCGCACTCGCGGGCCAACTCGCTCAAAACGCCAGTCACTCCTCAGCGGCAGAACAGCTTCAGTTCGATGCAGCAGCAACCTCTAGCGGCAACACCCAACTCGAGGAGGCGGTCGAGGAGCAATCGCAGCCGGTCCAACTCGGCGCTGGGGGCGCCAACCGTCATGGCCGGTCTGGTAGCGGCCGGTGTAGCAGCTGGGTGGCCGCCAGTAGACGGAAGGGGCCGGCGCGGCGAGGCTACAGGAGGCGAAGACAGGGAAGGGACACTCGGGCAGAATTCGGCGTCTGGTGGCGGCATTAGCAATCAAGTCACCCAGACAACAGAACCATCGCAACAACTAGAGAAGGGCAAGGCGTCATCGGAGTGATCGCATAACCCTACCGAAAGGAGTTTCTTCAAAGGGCGGCGATCCGTTTGTAATCTAGAACTGGGAGAGGCGCATTTGGTGCGGCGTTTGTTTCGGTTGCTTGTGCGGACAGGGACCAACATTCCTTTTGTGTATTTGTACGATACCTAAAGAGAGGATAAGTTATTGGTGCGATTTCTTACTTGGGCGATTCTTTTTGCGTTCTCATTTGTCTGTCCTGCCGTTGCTCTGTGGCAGTTGAAGTGGAGGAGAGAAACCTAAATAAAGCATCTTGAATCGGGGTCGGCCCATACAGATCATGCCCTGCCAACAGCGACGGATGGGAAGATAACCCAAGGTAGTGATATAAGAGAAGCTCGTTGCAAGAGTTGGCTGCATCCGCATGGTTATAAGCATCACACCACCCAAAATGAGATTGAGATATATATACCTGGGTACTCCAATGTTGAGCAGGCAAACAAAACAAACACACAAGACTCGAGATTCCTTTCCTTGCCGTTTCCATCGTCTCCCCTTTGGCCGAAACGCCGTTAGCTTTGCAGAGGTCAATTACCAAGCGACGCTTTACTTCTTCTTATCCTTATCCTTCCCTCTCTCCCTTCGTCCCCCGTCTTCCCTTTCTTCTTCTTGGTCATCTTCTCCTCCTGCTCCTGCTCCTGCTCCTGCTCCTGCTCCTGCTCGTCGACCTCTTCCTTCACTCTGTCTTGGCCGTCGCTTTCATCCCCGCGATCCTCCTTCTTGGGCAATCGGGGAGGATGCGCCTGCGTAAATCGGTGGCGATGAGGGAAGCCCGGCTCCGGCTCGATACGGACGACTTGGTCCTCGGGGACCATCTCGTGGTGGAAAGGCCAGCCGGCACGACGGCAAAGCTCGGCGGCGACGACGTCGCACTCCCCTATGAGGTCGATGTCGAAGTTGATGTGGGTGATGGGCTCGAGGGAGATGCAGATCTGGGGGACGTGGGGCGGGAGCCAGGAGACGATCTCGGAGACGGGGGTGACTTTCATGCTGGTGCCGATGACGAGGACCAGGTCCACCTTGTCCCGGTCGTGGTGGGCCAGGCGGTCGCCGAAGGCGTCGGGGAGACCTTCGCCGAAGAAGATGATGTCGGGCTTCATGATGCCGGCGGGGTGGTCGAAGGCGAGGTCGGCGGCCGAGGTGTCGTCGTCGGATTCGTCGTCGTCGTCGAAGTCGAAGTTGTAGCTGTTGCGGTTGCGGTTGCGGCGGCGCTTGCGCGGTGCGGCGGAGAGAGAAGTGGCGGAAGTACCGGAAGTACCGGAAGTACCGGCATTACCAGTAGTACCGGCGGCGGAGGGGGACGCAACCGAGGTATCGCCATTGTCGGAGCGTTTCCGCTTCAAGAGACTGGCCCGGGAGGACTTGTGGTGGCGTTTGTGCTGGCCACGCTGCTGTTGTTGTTTCTGGTCTTTTTGGTACCGTTTTAGGCATTCGGGGCAGCGGGGGATGCGTTTCTCGCGAATGTCCGGGAAAATGACCTCGCCGTTGCAGCGGTAGCCGCAGCTGAGGCAGGTGGCTGTGGCGAAGGAGCCGTGGCACTGAATGAGGCGGTCGGGCGACACACCGGCCAGTTCTTCGATGTTGTCGATGTTCTGCGAGTAGTTGGTAAGCAGCTTGCCCATGCGGTCCAGCATGGCGATGAAGGCGTGGGTGGGAGAATGGCGGTTGATCTTCACGATGATCTCCTTGGCGACGGTATAAAAGACGGTGGGATCCTCGCGGAACATGGTAATGTCGAAGGCTTCCTGCGGGTCGGACAGCTGCAGGCCCATGCGTTCCAGTTTGGAGTAAAGACCGGTGCCCTTGGAGCGGAAATCGGGGATGCCGAGCGAGGTAGAGATGCCGGCGCCGGTGATGACCATGATGTTCTGGCTCGTGCGGAGGAGGTTGACGGCGTCGTCGAGGGAGTTGTACTGGGGGAGCTTAGCTCGCTTGGACAGCTCGCGGCTGATGGCGAGGGTCAGCAGGCTCAGGTAAGCGCATTCGTTCGCAGCCGCGTCGGGTTCGTCTTCGAGGAAGGCCGGGGCTTTGATGCCAAACGCGGTGAGGAGCTTCTTGGGCGTGTAGCGGCCCGAGTCGACGGTCTTCAGGCAGAACTCGCGCGGACCGACAGATCGGAGCAGCTGGCGAAGCATATAAGCTTCGGCGGGTTGGCAAACGTCGGGGTCTGGACATTTGTTGATCAACATAAGATAAGGTAGGGGGTCAAGGAGAACGAATGAATAGACCTACCGCCATGGGTAAAAGTGGCCTCGGGAAGACCATTGATGGCATCTTCAAAGAGGGAATCATCGTTAGAAAAGTCTTCCTGGGCATCTTTGGCCCGCTTCCCGAGTTCGTGGAGACTGAGCTGACGAGACTCGTGGTGGCCGTCTTCGTCTTCGTCTTCGTCTTCGCCTTTGCCTTCCTCTTCAGACGAAGCAGAGGCAGAAGCAGAGGCAGAAGCATTGGGGCTGGTAGTGGCGGTGGCGGTGGGCGAACTGGGCGTAGAGCCCGCATGCGAGGCCGAGGCGGAAAGAGAGACGGACCGACTGAGAACGGTATCTGAATCCAAGTCGGCACCCGAGAGCAGGGAGCGCGACGACGGGCGTCTAGTCTTGCTTTTGGACCTGAGCTGGGCAACACGGGACCGTCTTGTGGGGTTGGGCTTGGTCGTTGCGCGTTTTGAATGCCTTTTCATGGAACTCGATGACCCTGGAGGGCCACCGGTTTCGGCAGATTGAGTGGTTGCTGTACTTTTATCTGCCATTGTGTTTCATGGGACAGTTCTAGATCAGAGAAAACAGCAGGAGGCGAGAACAAGTGTGAAACTTGGGGGTTGATTAGTTAGGATCATGCTTTGGTTTTCGCGCGAGCAATGCAAGTTCAAACAGACAGTGATGAGCGGGCAGAGATCAAAGAGAGAAGAAAAATGACAGGAAATGGCCATGTTGGCGTTGGCATTGGCGTTGGCGTAGGTAATAAGGCGGTGGGTGGTGACAAGAAAAGAGTAGAAGAGGGAGGGGATGGATAGGACTGGACTCTTACCTGTAACTGGTATCTGCAGATCGAGTGGCGGGAGAGAACTCTTGCTAGCAGCAAGTCTTCGTCTGTCCACCGTGATTGTGAGTATGTCGCGTCGCCTCAGCTGTGCTTCATGAACAGGCTCGTCAGACTGGGTGGTCAATAACAGACCGGCATGCAACTGATGTAAATAGACGCGGAAGGTCTGCGAAGGTACTAATAAATATAATGTTGCAAAGCAGTTCTCTGGGCTGTGATGAGGCAGAAGAGCGAATGCGAAGTAAAAGTAGGTGCTGTAGATAGGGCAGGGTGATAGAAACAGAGCGTTGGTTGTAACTTCTGACACTTATTTTATGGTATCAGAGACTTTGCCAATTCATTAGCTTAAGGTAAGTGGAGGGACGGACGACGAAGACGAAGACGAAAGGTGGGAAAGGGAAGAGATAAGAATAAGAGGCAGGGAGAGAGAGGGTAATGTAAGAGGGGAGGAGGGAAAAGACTTAAGGTAAGTAAGAGGAGGGAAAGTGAGATGGGAATAAGAGAAATGAAATGAGAGAAAGGAGCGAAAGAACATCGAGGGGCTAAGGTAGCCAGCTGATTAGTACCTTGTAGACATCGACGTCGACGTCGATGTCGATGTCGACGTCGACGTATACCTTAATACCTAAGGTACCTACCCTACCTTAAGTGGTTTCCAGACTGGTAGAACTACATCCTCTTGACCCATCTTCTACTTTCCAATCGACAACCGGAAGAACGAAAGAAATGCGCTTCCGCACTTCTGCGCCCATTTCCATTTCTTTACCGGGGTTTCGATACTTTTTCGCATCTAGGTATTTATTGCTGTCTTAGTTCTCTGATTCGTCTATTCTCTATTCCCTTCAGTGTAGAGCTTAGTTTGACCTACCTTAAATCAGTGTCATCCTTGACCCATCTTCGACCCATCTTCGACCCATCCGATCTACCTATACCTTAAGGTACCACCTACCTTACCTTATAGGTATGTATCGTGTGTACCTACCGTATAAATGCCTATAAATGTATATACAACGTAATGTGCGTTATGGTAGGTACTTCGAGGACGTCTGGGTACATATAGTAATTGTGGCTACTCCGTCCGGGTCTCACCAACATGTCGTAGGTATTTCCGGCTCACCATCGTACAGAATGATCTGTCAGTCGCTGGTATTCATACTCCCGACACAAGACAAGCATCCCCCCATTAACGCTTGCTGCTTGCTGCTTGCTGTCAGCCTGCCTCATCCCTCTCCTATTTACACTATATCAGACTCTGGTACTTGTCTAGTCCAGACTTTTGTGTCTGTCCCTGCCCCTGGCCCTGCTGGTTCTGTTGTTGTGTCATGAAGCTATTCATGCTCCCTGACGAGCCCATCCCCATCCCCAGCCCCATCCCCGTACCTGTACCCGTACCCGTACCCACACCCGTTCCTGTCGCACTCGTCTGCCTATTCGTGGAGCTCATCATCGGACCGGCCATCATACCCGACGCTGGCTGTGAAGTCGGTGGTGGCAAGCTGAAACCCGAAAGCCCAGACGACGCCATCGGTTTACTGCTGTTAAGAGCCGTACTTCCGCTTGGTGGCGGGGGCAGCGAAAAAGAGCTCTGCGACGATGCCATACCGGGCCTCTGGCCTCCGAGCGTCATCCCGCCCATCGCCATACTCACGCCACCCGAGCCAGAGCCCGTATTCACGGTGCTGGAACTTCCCGTCGAGGCCCACGGATTCGATGACGCCGCCGCCGCCGCCGTCCCAGTGCTGCTCCAGTGGATTGAAGTTGATGACCCCGGCGATGGTCCCGTCTTTTGTTGTGTCATCGGCTGCAGAGGTTGCGAGAACTGTGTCGTCCCCGGCTGTATTGAGGGGAACGCTGCTAGGTCTGGCGTTACCGTCCGGAATCCTGGCTGAGCTTGGGGCTTAAGTGCACCCAGTTGGCTGGGCTGCGCCTGCGTCTGCGTCAGGCTCGGTGTCGACCACGAAAAGGCCGCGGCCTTGGGCGTATTGGACCGCGACCCGGACCCCGTCGATATCCTCCCCACCACACTGACATTGGCGTTGGCCCCGCCACTCGCCGGCGTCTCATCCCAGCTCGAAAACCCATCTGCCACCGTCGACGTCCGCCCAGACCCCCCCTTCCCTTTGACTAGCTGCTCAAAGTCGTTCTCCGTGGCCGTGTTCGAGGCATCAAACGAAGTGCCCGTCACGCCCCCGAACGCGAGCAGATCGTCCGACCCGCCGCCCATCGTCCCGTTAGTGTGCGTGTTGAGCTCCTGCAGCTTCCTCGACTGCTCCTCCTCCACCCTGCCCGACAATGACTTGACCAGTTCCATGAACGACCGGAACTGCTTCAGGTTGAGGAGGGGCCCCAGGCTCATGCTCCACAGAATAGGCAGAATCTCCATGGCCACAAAGTCCGCGTCCGCCACCTCGCCAACCACGCGAAGCACGTCCAAGGCAGCCATCATCACCGCCGGCTCCTTCGTCTTGATCGCTTTGATCAGAGGTATGATTTTTTCCTGCATCGTGTACTTGTCCAGCGCGCTCGACGAAGAGGAGGGCTTCTTTTTTGGTATTCCCAAGTCGTTTAGTCCGCCGTTCAGCGCGTCGTTGGATCCGCCGCACAACACCACGAACGCCTGGCAGCCGCGGACCTTGATGGCCAGACTGCTGGTCTTGCCAAACACCATCGCAATCACCGGGAACAGCTCATTCTTGATGGTACTGAAGTCAAGCACCGGCAACACCGAGGGGAGACCACGCAGCGCCGCATCCACCACTGCCGGCGTCGTTGATTCGACAGCCGCCATGATGATGGGAAGGATATCTTACGATCAACTTTTTGTCAGCAAACCGAAAAAAAAGGGGGGTGGGGGGGAGGGGTTGAACCGATGGAGGCGGTGGAAACCGGGACATTCAAGCTGCGCTTCGTGCTTCGCCACTTACCGTCCGTAAACTCCTTGCCGCCACAATTGCCGGTGACCAACGGCATGTTTTCGAGGACGACCATGAGCCCGGCGTCTTTGGCCGGATCCCTCTGCGGCTCATTCTCCTTCTTGCCGGCCGACACGAACGTCTGCTTGAGCACCGGCCGCACCCTTTCCCCAAACGGCCGCTTCGGCGCCGGCAAGAGCTCGATGATCTTGAAGACGTTTTGCAGAATCAACGAGATCAGGTCCTTGTCCTTCATCTCCTCCAGCAAGGCGGGGAGCAGCTTCTTCTCCGTCACCGCCTTGGGGAACGACGGCAGGACCTTGTTGAGCCCCCTCATGAACTGCGCCTTTTCGTTGGGCGTCTTGGCCGGGAACGAGTCGAGGAAACGGATCGTCGACACCAGGATGTTGTCAAAGTATTCGCTGTCCTGGAACTCCCGCGCGCCCATGCGCTGTGCCGGCCGCCGCGTGATCAGTCTCGGCAAGACATGCGCCGACAGATCCCGTGGCAGGGTTCTCGATGATAGATATCCGTTCGACGAGGAGGGAACGGTGGAAGAAGAGGAAAAGAGTCTCTTGTATGTCGAGAGGCTGCCGTGCGCCTCGAGCGGGGATCGGTGCGGATAATTGTACAGGGCGATACAGAGCAGGCCCAGGGAGAACATATCGGCCGCTGCGGTGAGGTTGTTGTCGAGGACAAAGTCGGGGGATGTGTAGTCGAGGTTGAGCTGAACGAACCGGGGCAGTCGCGGGTCGAGGTTGAGGATTTCGCCCAAGCTGACGGGTTGGAACGAGGTAGCTTTATTCGAGTTTTCCGGTGGGCTGCAGAAGGCCAGACCGCTGATTTTCCAGTCCGACTGAAGCATAGTTTTTAGCAAGAGGTATCGTATCCAAGCCAGATTAAGCTACCAGAGATTTTCAAAAGGGGACGGACCTTGGCATTGATCAGAATAGCATCGGGGGTCAGGTTCCCATGCACCAGCGCGGCATTGTCATGCAGAAACTCCAGAGCCTTACTGATCTGCAAAAGACCCTTCTGGATCTCAAGCTCGTCAATCTCGAATTCGCGCCGCCTACGGACGCCGTCGGCATCCTCCGTCACATAACGGCCGGACCGACCACCCACGCCGCCGCCGCGTTCCTGATCGTCTTTTTCCTGCAGCAAGCTCGCGAGCGACGCCGTCACGGCCTCGGTCACGAACTGGAGGCCGCCGCCGCGGGTGTCCTCGACGGGTTCGACGAGTTCGAGGACGCTAGGGTGGCGCAGCTTGGCGAGGCTGCTTGCTTCTTTCCTGAGGCGCTCGACCACTTCTTCGGCGGCGCGCTTGAATGCGGACGCGCCGCTGCGGCCGAGGGAGTTGCCGTGGCTGTCTAGGGACTTTTTGTCGAAGACGAAGAGGCTGTAGGCTTTCCCCGTGGACTTCTTCTTGCAGTCGTAGATTTTCCAGGGGCCGGCGGTCGAAGTGACGGACTGGGAGATGGAATAGTTGGAGGTGATGTTGCTGGAGGCGAAGGACTTCAACGCCGAGGAAAACATGGTCGTCGGACTGACTCTCGGTGGCGAGACGGACGGGGAGGAACGAACGCTACGTTACGGTGGAAGGGGTATCGGATGTGATGGCTCGATCTTCATGACGAACAATGGGTGGCCGTGTGCGAAGTAGTTGTCAGTGTCTCTCTGAGTTGAGGACTCGTGCCGTGAAAAGGATGGCGAGTTCAACGAGGTATTTGTTGTCGTGGGAGAGCTTTGGTGATAGGTACCTTATTAGTGATATTAGGAGATTGCGAGATGATGCTTTGCTTGGTTCGGTACCTTAACTGTACGTACCTTTATTCAGACAAGTCGAAACGTCAGTCAGGGGAAGCACAGCAGCTCTGTTGAGGTCAAGTCAGCCTTAACACGTACCCCACTTGTCTCTCCACTAGGAACGCTCTCATTTGGCCATGACTGGACACTCGCAATATCATGTCTTACGTCTTATGTAATCAAACCCTTCCCCACAGCCCGTTATCAGTCCCTGGAAATCAACGGCACAACGGGTGTCCGCTTGCTCCGATCTAGCTCCGATTCATTTCTGATGACTCCGGGCCCTTCCACCTCTAGCCGCTCGGTCCCTTCGATTCTCCCTTTAAGAGGCGGAGGTTCGCACATTACTCGAGCGTCAAGCTGTTCTCCCGCTTCTCACATTGACCTCGAAAACATTCTTCTTGCCGGCTCGTCCTCTTGTCGCACACCAGCCCCCGACTGTCAGCATGTTGCGACCACTTTTTCCCCGTGCCTCCAGAGCACTCAGGATAGCCTCCATTCCGACGCAGAGCCGGCTAGCACTACCATGGCAAGGGGCGGCAAGGTCATACAGCGTCCAGGCTCAGGCGGCCTCTTCTGCGAAGCCTCTCGGTCTGGATGCCTCGAAGCTGAGCATCGAGAAGACCAAGTCCCCTGGCAGTCTCGGAAAACCCGAGGAGCTGGTTTTCGGCAGGAAATTCACAGGTTCGTGCCCAATTCATTTTTCCGCGTCCCGGGCTCTCGCGTCCTTCTGCTTTGTGCGATACCCATTGGCTAACCCATGTTGTCTTTCCCAGACCATATGCTTACCATTGAGTGGAACGAGCGCGAGGGCTGGCTGGCGCCGCGCATCATTCCCTACCAGAACCTCTCTCTCGACCCGGCCACGTGCGTCTTCCACTACGCCTTCGAGTGTTTCGAGGGCTTGAAAGCCTACAAGGACCAGAGCGGCAACATTCGTCTGTTCCGCCCGGACAGGAACATGGCCCGGCTCAACAAGTCGGCCGCCCGTATTGCCCTGCCCACCTTCGAGCCCACCGCCCTGATCGAGCTCATCGCCCGCCTCGTCCGGCTAGATGAGCGCTTCATCCCGGAAGCGCGCGGCTACTCCCTCTACCTGCGCCCGACCATGATCGGCACCCAGAAGACCCTCGGCGTCGGTCCCCCGGGCTCCGCCCTCCTCTACGTCATCGCCTCCCCCGTCGGCCCGTACTACCCGACCGGCTTCAAGGCCATCTCGCTCGAGGCCACCGACTACGCCGTCCGCGCATGGCCCGGCGGCGTCGGCGACAAGAAGCTCGGCGCCAACTACGCGCCCTGCATCGTGCCGCAGCTCCAGGCGGCCAGCCGCGGCCACCAGCAGAACCTGTGGCTCTTCGGGGAGGAGGAGTACGTGACCGAGGTCGGCACCATGAACATGTTCGCCGCCGTCAGGGACCGCGCGACGGGCCAGAAGGAGCTCGTCACGGCGCCGCTCGACGGCACCATCCTCGAGGGCGTCACCCGCGACTCGGTCCTCTCCCTCGCCCGCGAGAAGCTCGTCCCGGAAGGGTGGAAGGTCTCCGAGCGCAAGTACACGATGCAGAAGCTGGACGAGGCTTCGCAGGAGGGCCGGCTCATCGAGGCTTTCGGCACCGGCACCGCTGCCGTCGTGAGCCCCGTCCGGTCCATTGCTTGGAAGGGCAAGACGGTCACTTGTGGCCTGGCCGAGACGGAGGAGTCGGGTGAGATTGCGACTCGGATGAAGGGATGGATCGAGGGCAGGCAGTATGGAGATGAGGAGCATGAGTGGAGTTGTGTCGTCGCATAAGAAAGAAGAAAGAAAGAAGAAAGCAGAAAAGAACAGGCATAGGAGCGTTAGAACGGAAACTGGATTGCCACGGGGAAGCTACGGTGGAAAGCAGGTCGTGTTTCTAGCGCCATCCTGCGCTGCCGAGAGGGACATATTCCATTTTGTAAGAGCGGAGCATGTGTTGTTTAATTTACAGATACTTGTAGACGAGGAAGATTGCGACTACATAGACCTTCGACCCACCGGAGCAAGCCACAAGGGATATGAGATGTCGAGGCTCATTCCAGGATACCATAGAGTCAGGCTACGAGTTGGCGCACGGTAGTAGAAAAAAAATCGTCCGTTATTCTTGATAGGAAGAGATCCGACAAAATTGAGCGTTGTGCATGGAGGTCTCCCGATTCCAAGTGGTCGACAAATAAACACCCAACAGGTGTGGCTTAAAGAAATCAAATGAGATCACTCAAGACGTCGTCATGTACAACCCGCACTGAGATACCATTCAACCGGCTTCTCTTCCCAGCCCATCATGCCCCTTCCATCGTGCACCCCGTCTTAGAACCCATGACCTTTTTGTCTATCCGGAGACGGCAACAATTTAGTCCTTCTTCTCAGGGTACGGGTCAGGCAGAATACCCTCCTTCTCTAACCTCCTCCTGGCCTCCTCAAGAGCCCACGTGTCGAGTCTGTAGAGGGAAGACATCGTCAGCAAGTCGTGCTTCTTCTCACTGACTAGCCCATGAAATTGCCGCAGGGCTAACTTTCCGAACCGAAAAGAGTCGCAATCAAAAACTGCCCCGCCCAGCCAGCGCTATTAAAGAGCAAATATATATAGATATAATTGAAGAAAAACAAAAGGAAAAGGGGACATAAACTCACGAAGTGTCGGGCTTGAAGGCGAGGACAACACCAGCAAGGGCCAGGCCGCCGCAGAAGATGGTATAGAAGGGGAGCTCCCAGCCCTCGCGCTCGTACTTCTCGCCGGGCTTGACACCCCACAGCCAGCCGGTCGGGGGGTCGAAGTTGGAGCCGCCTCCCTGGCGTTTAGCGGTGACGGAGAAAGGACGCGCGGTCGGCGCAGTCGCGGCTTTCAGCGATCGGGTGGCGGCGCGGGCCAGCGTGGTGCTTTGTCGGACCGCCGGCATCTTTGAACGGTATTGTAATGTATTGTATTGTATTGTGTTTTCGTTTCCAAGCGTCTTGCGTATCAGCCCCAATTGGTGGTTCTCTGCTCTGCTATCGGGGGCAGTAGGCGAGAGCTCGGTCGTGTTGCCGCTGAGAGCGCGGGTTGAATGGGGAGGAGTAGAGAGGTGTCGTCGTGTTGAGTCGAGGACGGATGTTTTGTCGTCAATTGATCGGGACGTTGGGAGTCAGCAGCCAGCAGGACAGGATATCCGTTATCCGTTCGGCGATTGGGTGGTGGGCCCGCAACTTCACGTGACTATATGACTAAGCCCATATACCACCATCCATATATATACCTTGATTGTTGAGGCGGTTCGTGCGCATCGGACGACATGCTGTGATGTTACCTCTTGGCGATGAACTTCGGAGCCCCCTCTGGCTGTAAAGGGATATGATTGCAACTATTCCCGACTTCTTCCTGTCATCTCCTCCACCGAAAAGATTTCCATGAGCATTTTATCTGAATGCTCCTGTGGTATGGAGGGACAGAACAACAGAACATTCCTTCGGCATTCTCCAAGTCGTCTCTATTAACGACTATCCGAGACCCCAGGACATTCACATGCCCTCTTAGTTGCTGACACTATTCACTCATATAACCAACTCCGTGGCGCGTGAGATGGGAAGTGAGACTTGATTCGTTACCTATTTTCCCGTTTAAAAGGGAAATGTATTCGGTGCCGCGAGAGTCGAGGTTTATGGTTCATCTTGGCTATATTCTAGCGTCATGGAACACTGCTGTCCGGTTCTCCTCGTCATCTCCTCTTTAAGCCCTACAGATTCCTCTATATCTTCTCTCAGTGTGGAACAAAACAAGCATGACAGAATCAGCCGACTCGGAGGGCCGTGCCGGCCTCTCCCGCTTATCACCGCTCGCTTCCGGTCCAGCAGCGCTCCGGGCGCCACCCCAGGATGTGTCGGCCCGGAGTGAAGACGCTACCGACGCCACCGGTCATAGGCCCGAGAACGAGAACATGAAGACGACGAGGCGACGACGAGACTCTGTTTTCAGACGTAACTGGGTTCGGCGAAATACGGCGGCCGATCCGTACGGCAAGCGAGAGTCATATCTCGATATCCCCTCCGATAAAGTCGACCGCATGAGGAGGAGGAGCTCGACCGTCGACATGGACCTGGTGGCCCAACTGCTCGAAAAGGATGAACTCGAAATCGACTCCCACGGCGTCACCGAGCTGCGTGACGGCTGGTTCGACGCCGTTTTCCTCAACGCACCCCGCTTAGACAAGGAGAGTCTGCTGAAACATGCGAGGTCGACCCTCCCCGCCGCCTTCGACAAGACGCCCCCCTTGTCCATCCGCCACTTTTTCCCCAAGCAGCGGCGACAGCTCAAGTCGGTCTTTTTCAAGGTCACCACGACCAACGCGGGCATCCGACTGCTCAAGGCGTTCTTGGGTTTCTTCGCCGCTTACATACTGTGCCTTGTCCCCCAGGTCAGGCAGTGGCTGGGTCGGTACAGTTATATTATGGTCATCTCTACCATCATAAATCATCCCGCCCGACCCTTCGGCGCCCAGCTTGACGGAACTGTCTCTACCATTTTGGGCACCGTCGCTGGCCTGGGCTGGGGTGTCTTGGGTCTTCTCCTGGCCTACTCCTCCTTGGCCGCTCGGGCGGGCTTCGCCGGTATTCTTGTCCTATTCTTCTCTATTCTGCTTGCAGGTGCCGCCTTCCTCCGGTCCTATTTTTCTAGGTTTTTTCACTTCTCCATCAGCGCCGGCATAGCCATGTGCTATACGTGCCTGGCAGAAGTTGATGGGCAGGAAATCAACTGGGCCAAGCTCTTCTCCTATGGCGTGCCCTGGGTCCTCGGTCAGGCCATCTGCCTGGTCGTCAATGTGCTGTTCTTCCCCGATGCAGGCTCCCGACGTCTGGCCGAATCATTGTCTGAGTGCTTTGCCATCATGCAGGTTGGTCCCCCCCCCCCTTTTCTTTTCTTTTTTTCTTCTCTTTTTACCGCTCCGCTTAACCCTGAGACGGGCCCAAGAGAAGACAAGAAGAAAAGAGCCGTACTAAAGTTGGTCAGAATGCTCTCAATGTCCCAAGGCCACGAGATCGACACATACAAAGACTCCTTGCACGGTCTTTTGTAAACATTGGTGTTGCCTACCGCGACTTTGCGATTGACATCTCCATCAGCCGCTTCCGTCCCAGCGATGTGCGGAACTTACGGAATCTGATGCAGGCCGTCATTCGCTCGCTGCTCCTATTGAAAACCGAGACCCGTCTCTTCGAGAATTGGGATCCACCGGAGGGAATAACAAGTCCGGTTACAGTGACCATATCTGATGCAGACACATTAGGAGTGGCCGCCGAATTCTCCGGATCTTCCGACACTCGACCCCCAGGTTCGGGGCAGCAGGACGCCGTCTTGCCTAGAACTGTGGCGAGACAACTAGCCGAGCCAACTCGGGAGGTGATTTCGTCCATGAAAAGCACGTTGCTGTCTTGTAATGCTGCTCTTATGGACATATCTGGCTATCGCGCTTCTCTGGGACCTCCTAAGAATGTCCCCTTGAACATCGAGGAAGCCTTGGCAGAGCTTCAGCGGGCCAACGAAAAATTCGATCGAGCCGATGACGAGCTAAACGGACCCGGTGGCCTCCCCTTCAGCTCACTGACGGCGCCTGAAGTCGCAGAGCTGCTGGTCTTCTCGCGGTACATCCGAATGGCGGCGACTTCCATCTATGCCCTTGGGACGCATGTGCAAAGCATGAAGCAAAGCTCGACCTCACGTAGACTGCACCGTCCATCGTATCCTGTCAACAAGATAGTCAATTACGCAAACACACAAGTCCAACACGATCGCGGGGGAGTAACAGCTAGTACGTTCGCGCCCCGCCTTAGACTCCCCTTTTCATCTATCGCCTCGGAAGATGCGCTACGTTGCTAACCACCGCACCGTCTAGGTCTGTACAAGAGCACGTTTCATGATATTTGGGTTCTAATTGAGTCCATAAAGTCTCGGGAACACCACCCTTCTTCGTCTCGTGGGCTGGCTCCGTGGCCCAGCGCCACAAGCACAAACACCAACATGACTACTGTAGAGAAAACACCGACTAGGATGGAGGCGGATGAAGATCCCGGGCCCAAGTCCAGACGCCGGAGAATCATGTATCGCATCTGGCGAGTGCTCCATCGACTTCAAGGGTTCGAGTCCAAGTATGCCGTCAAAGTGTGTATACTCACCGTCTCGCTCGCCGTGCCAGCTTGGTCGCAACAGAGCCGTGGGTGGTGGAATCAGTATGAGACGTGGTGGGCTGTAGTCACTGCATGGCTGATGGTACATCCCAGGTTGGTTTTTCGCTGGATTCTCCCGACTCTAACTCGGAGAAAGATGTAAGACTGACCTCCCTGACAGGATTGGTGGCAATGTCCAAGATCTCTTTACGAGAGCTTTTTGCGCAGTCCTTGGCGCCGCGTGGGCGGGGGCCGCATATGCCGCCGGAGACGGTAACCCTTATGTTATGGCCATCTTTTCCGCCATATTCATGCTTCCCATGCTCTATCGCTTCACCCAGAGCGCGCACCCGGTACGATTTGCTTTTGCTTTTGCTTTACTAGTATTCTTCCCGAACCGCTTCGGACGCACGATGCACGATGCACGATGCACAATGCTAAGCTATACCTACCTAGCGCTCCGGGATTGCTGGGTGCGTCTCCTTCACCGTAGTCTCGTTATCGCTGGTCACCTCGGAAGGTCGCGCAACACCAGCATTCATGGCGGTCACCCGCGGCCTGGCTTTTCTGGTAGGAACCGTCAGCGCCGTCGTCATCAACTGGTTACTCTGGCCATTCATTGCACGACACGAGCTACGGAAGGCTCTGTCATCCATGCTCTTTTTCCAGAGCGTCATTTACCGAAGTAAGCACCAGAGCCACCTTGAGAACGCCCCAGGCGTGAATGCCTCGTCGCTGACCGATATCGCCAAGGTACCCTGTCCCGCTATGTTTATTACGATGACGAAGGACAGCCCACTCAGGAGGACATTGAACGTTCTGAGATGCTCGAAGGGCGTTTGCGCGAGGGATTCGTACGGATCCGTCAGATCCTCATCATGACTCGGCATGAGCTCCGTCTTCGTGCCCCCTTCGATCCCCTCCCCTATTCGGCCCTGGCGGATGCCTGCGAACACTTCTTCGGTCATCTCGTATCTATTCGTCAAGCGGCTCTCTACTATAACCCGGGGAACATTCGAAGCGATGATGACATTGCTGCTAGGCTACTTCCGTATCGTCGTGATGCCATAGCATCTATTCTCAGCAACTTGTACATCTTGGCTGGCGCCTTGAAATCGGACCGTAAGGTTCCTGTACGTGGCATATCGCTTCTGATATTCGTGCCCCCTCTCGAGACCTCGCACTCTCCACGGACTACGTTACCTTTGCCTATCCTAACCAACCCCCCTTAACACACACAAACGCACCCCAGACGGAGATTGTCGGAGGCCTGGAACTAATCATATCCTCATCATTAGCGCTACCTCCCAAATGCAGCTGCAGCCCGCAAACGCCTCTTGGGTAAAATGGCCGAAATCGAGAAAGAAGTGGCGGACAGGCAGACCCACGTAGACGCTGACTATCACGATGCGAAGACGCCCCAGTCCGCCGGCGGATTCGAGAAATGGGCGCACATCTACGCCCATGCCCTCAACGAGAGTCTGACGGGATGTGTCGCGCAACTGAGAGAAATGGAGCGGTATTTGAAGCTCATTGTTGGAGAACAAGGGTGAGTTCCATCCCCGAGTGTATGGTCCAAGTCGGCCTTGTGGGTGGGGTGGGTTTTGTCTCTGCAGGGTCCCCATGTCAACTAACGGCGTTGCTGAATTCAGGTATGATGATGAATTTCGAGATGATGAAGAGGCAGAAGATGAGACTACGAGTGACGATGATTCGGACGAGGAATCTGATGAGGCATCTGGTTCAAGGGCGAACGGGCCAAATGGGGAGACAGGACGCAATAGATCCTGACACACGCTTTGCATCAACTCGGTCTGAAGCACATGGTTATTTTGAACAATGCCCAAATTTATCAACATGACAATGCCCGTGATCTGGACACATCCAAAAGCCCTGCATGACGGAAAGGAAGCAGAAGAGCTGGATGCAAACAGACGCCCTCTACTCCTGATCAAAACGCCTGCCCAGACTACCAAAAATCCCTATCCATGTCCAACTGTCCAACTGTCCAACCCAATGACCTTCTAAGCTCACGTACCCGGAAACGTATTCAATAACCCCCATTCATCATGTCGTTGAGTATGTCTCTCATAACCGGCCGGTTCTTCATCAACACCCTCTCCCCTGCCATTACCCTCTTGGGCTCTAGCCGTCTGTTCTCCTTGCCCTGACTTGCTAGTCTGCGAGGGCTCTTCCTCCCCTTCATCGGGCTTTGGATCCCGTTGCCACCCTTCTTGGGCGACTTTATAGGCGACTTCATGGGCCCTCCACTATACCCCGCCGTGAGCTGGGTCCCCGCTCCGTCGTCGAAGAAATGACTGTCCAGCGCATCGGCTGGCAGGTCGTACACCCAATCACGGCTCTCCATAAGCCCGACAAAGCGCGCCACCATCTCGTCCTGGCCAGCGCCCTGGAGCGTCGCCCGGCTGCCCACGACGAGAAGCTTGGTCTTGGCGCGGGTAAAGGCTACGTTGATGCGGCGCCAGTCGCGAAGCAGGTCGCCAATGGCGCAAGCGTCGTTGGCGCGGACCAGAGACAGGACGATCACTTCCTTGTCGCGCCCCTGGAAACGGTCGGCCGTGTGCATCTCGATCCCCGGGTGGGCGCGGAGCCCGTGCCGGAGGAGGGAGAGCTGCGATCGGTAATGCGTCATGACGCCCACCTCCGTCTCCGGCACGCCGGTCACGAGGAGCGACTCGACGAGCTGCGCCACGATGCGGGCCTCGGCCGGGTTGACGATGCGGTTACCTTTGGCCTCCTCACGGCAGCGAGGTTGCAGCGTGTCCGTGTTGACGAAGCGGACACGCGCCTCCGGGTCGAGTAGGTCACGGAGCCAACAGGCACCCGGCCTGGGACCGGTGCAGAAAGACCGCGGTGTGCCTGGCTGGAGTAGCGAAGAGGCGTCGTGGTGTTTCTGCCGCAGAGCATCCATGTGCGGGACGTCGAGCTTGGCGAAGCGCAGCTGCTCAGTGCCGCACCGGAGCCGACCCTTGTAGATGAGGTTGTTGCTGAGGGTCATAATATCCTCGCACATACGGTATTGGTGCTCTAGGTTGACTACCGAGTCCGGGTGCGTGTCTGAAAGGAGTTTAAACAAGCTGACGTCCAAACCACCCTGTCGTGCTTCTTCGTTCTGCACCAAAGGGGGAAGCTGGTTGTGATCGCCCACGAGAACGAACGTCCGCGCCATGCGGATCGGTCCCAGACAAATCGGGAGTGTAATCTGCGAGGCCTCGTCGACAATGCAGTAGTCGAAAGTACGTTCGTTGAATACCGGGTGGCCGATCCCAAGGCATGTCGTCGCAACGATCGGGGTATCGTGCCAAGCCGATCGGATCTCATCAAACGAGTGCATGGGGGCACTGGCTAGAGTTGCAAACTCTTTAACCATGGGGTGAACCTTCGCCGGCGCCCCCAGTCGAAGGATGGGGATGTTGTCCTTTTCGAGCTTGAGTAGAATGTTGTCGACGGCAGTGTGTGTGTAAGAGGTCAAGAGAACACTCTTGCCCTTCGAGGTCAAAGCCCGAATGATGTGGGCGATCGTGGTCGTCTTGCCGGTCCCTGGCATCCCAAGAACCAAGGCGTAGTCTTCCGCGCTCATGACCTTCTCAATGGCCGCCTGCTGGTCCACATTGAGGGATCCTTGGTCGCATATCTCGTACTGGGTTGGTACTGCTTTGAACCTGGGAGGAACCAGATCGACCACAAGTCGTCGGATCTCGCGCGCGCCGAAAACATCGTCGGCCATGACCTGGACGAGGTTATTTCGCACCACTGCCATGCCATTGCTGAACTCATCCTTATCAAGACGATACCGTATTGGCTCTGTTATGATTCCGTGACTGCACTGACCAGGGGAACCCCCTTCGGGCTCAACTTCCATGATTCCAGCAAACACCTGGTTGCGGGACTCGTCGAAGCCCTGCTGGCGAATTCGAGCATTGTGCAGCCTTCTGTCCACTGCCACGCCGATTCTCTGCTTGCGTACCGATGTGACGTACCCTACAGCTAATGCGAAATGTCCTTGCTCGTCAGAGACGACGACTGGCTCGCCTACCGATAGCTGCGATTCCAAGAAAGAGTGGCCGGTTTTCCGCTCCCGCTTGACAAAGGTGTAGCGGAACCGATTGATGGCAGGACTGTTATGATCCTCAGACCAGGAGCTGTCCTCGATGATAACGTCAGAGAAGCAGCGCCCCAGCTTCTCACGATCTTTACTGATCATGGTCCAGAGCTCTCGCCGTAGCTTTTGGCTCTCCTTTTCTTCCTTGGTGAGCAAGTCTTCCCACTGTAGGAAAAACTCCTGGTGTCTGGGCGTCAGATGCTTGACAACTTCGTCGAATTTCTTGTCCATCCCGCTCGAGACACCGTCTCCGTCATCTGCTAGCTTGTGGTAGATGAAGCACGTGGTCTTGGCATAGCATTTGCCGCACATGTGTTTCTGTTTCTTCATGGGAGGCAGCTGCACGCTGCGCTCTCGAATGTAGCAGGCGAGGTGATTCCGTTGTATGATCATGTGCCGCAGCTCTTGCCGAATGGCCGGTATTCTCGTCGTCTGTGATGACTCCATATAATATAGAATGCCGTAGGCGATTTCGATGTCGTACCGATCGGAGAGAAGTAGGTTATAGAGAGCCGTCTGCGCTACGTGACTCGTGCTGACGTTCCTCCCTGTTTTGACCTCGAAGGGCACTGTCAAGGTCCGGGTGCCACTGTCATCTTTCATCATGACCTGGACAGTTGCGTCGATGTTGCCCTTCAGTCCGTACATTGGCGACCAGATGTGCTCTTCAACGTCCAGTAGCTTGTTCACACACATGTTGACCTTTTTGCCGTTGCGGTCTGACGCGAACGCATTGGGCTTCGGCTGGGAGGAGATAAAAGCTTCCGCCCAGCTGCTCAACTCGGGCATTTTGGACTGAAGATGTTCCTTGGCAATATTGGGGCCGACCTTGATCTTGTAGAGGTCTTCGACGTGCTTCTCAAGTATTCGATCAATGACCGTGGTTAGATACGGGAGATCCCACTGATTAGCGAGGAGTGCTTCCTGGAAGATCTCGTGTAGTATAGTCCCATACACAAGCGGCGCCGAAGCCTCGCTGGTGGCCTTCACGCGGTCCTGGAGAACGGCGCGACGCATGCATGTGAAGGAGTCCGCTACTACAGTGGCCGAAATAAGCTGGTCGGGGTGTAGAATCAGGATATTGTGATCATCGTCGATGATGCATCGTCCATCGGGAGAAAACGCTCCTATAACATGTACGAACGACCCTGCGTGGGCCGGTGTGTCATACCAGACATCCCGAAGATGAATAGCCCCGGTGGTTTTGGTCTTTTCGACTTGTACTAGAAGAATCTGCGCCTTTGCGTCAGAGGAGATCGAACCTTCGAACGGGACGAGGAGAGACGCGGGGAAGGGATCCATCATACCTTTTCTGGCCTTGAACGGTCTCGGCCATCGATGAACTCGTTCTCTAGCACGTCTGTCACCAAATATCGTTGGATGGCTCTGGGTTTCTGGTTTGTCTACCTTGGGTCTTAGCATTCGTCGTTATATGATATACCGGTTACGGCCTCGGACGTACAGCTGGGAATGAAGGGTCATGTTGCTTGATCGACTGTGTCGCCGCACGCTCTACCGCATCAAAGTCGAAGTTTTCGCCAAAGTCGTCACCAAAGTCATCGTCCGACGCATTATCGTTGACCGGTGTCTTTTGTGGAAGATGGTGCTGCTGCTGCCCCCCCTGTTGCCTGGGCGTGGAGGGTGGACCAGCAAGCTTGTTCTCGGCGTCCGCCACGATGCGGCCAGCTGCCTCAAAGATATTCTCGTCTAAATCATCGTCGAACGCATCGTCGAAATCAGCATCGAACTCATCGTCGTCGACCGGCGCCTTGGCCACCGGCCTATCATGAGCCGCGGTCTTTTCCGACAAGGTCTGGGTAGGTTGATGGGTTGACGAATTTGGAAGGGTGTTGATATTGTTTTCAAGATGCAGTAAGGTATCGCTATCCAGAAAGTCGTCATCTCCGTAGTCCGATCCATCTGGGTTGCTGGTAGTTTCAGGCAGGACGCGATCCTGATCGAATGCTTGACTAGGGTGGAGGACGGTTCGGGAAAAAGAAGACGTCTGCGAGAGGGGCTGACTGGGAGCCGTGGGAAAGGACTTGGCAGGTCCAGTAACAATCTTCTTGCTCTTCTTCGGCGATGGTGATCCTGTTGACCTGTCTCCTTCAATCTCCATGGATGGGAGGCCTTCATCCTGTTTACTTTCGACTGTATCAAGCAGAGCAGTAACCAAGGAAGACTTGGAAGTATCTGAGAGCTCTCGAGTTGGTTTTCTCAAACCCCCAGGAGGATCTGGGCGGTCAATTCGACGTCGTTTTGGCCAGTTAAGGCCGGCACTGATCGCCCTCCGCAGGCCGCCCTCGGTACGAGTTGTGCGCGAATTACTTTTACCGGATCTGGGCGAAGAGGACACCATGAGCTGAGCCAAGGTAGGATTCGAAGCGCCGAGGGGGGTAGTGGCGTCAGTGGTGTTATTGCCCAGAGAGAAGCGGTCCCAGAGTTCCAGGGTCGGGTCGGCATGAGGTGATCTCAGAGCTTCACTAAGCTTCTTCAAATCGACCGCCGGCACCAGAGTCTTTCGAGTATCGTTGAGCGGCGATGATAATGGTGATGAGCTCCGGGCTCGTTTCCGACCGTTCCTGGAAATCATGGGAGACAAGGGAGCCAGGTACTTGTGGTCTTGCTTGTTATTCCACATGATGTGTTCGCCGGGCGAGACATGTCCATTATCGTCATGTCCGGGATTCTGGTTCGCATCGCTGGCCAAGAGATCTCTGAGGCTCAGTCGCCCTGCTGGGGTTGTGGCGCCCTCGTACTTAAGATTGGGTTCAGGGGCTTGCTTCTTGGCTGCTGTGTCCCCAGAAATCTGGTTTTCTGGATCGGCATTGATATTGTTTTCTTCACCACCGGTTTTCAGGCACTTATGCGTCTCTGCCGTGGAGTCTGACGCCTTGGGCGGCTGGAATTGGAACTGGTTCAACTTGTTCTTCGTCTTCTCAGATATAGGTGCTAAGGGCCGTGCTGGGGGAGTCGGGTGAACGCTGTTCGCATGACTTTTGGAACGTTGCCATTGTGAGCGACCCTATATCAGGTAGGTTGAGTCAATCCATCAGCGACGACGATACGTTTTTTCGATCAAGAGACGGCATATGCGCACCTTAGAGTAGCTGGCCTGCTCGGAATATGATCTCTGAGGGAGAGGCATGCCTGCGACCCGCTCGTGGTGATGTGGGAGGAGGCTTGTTGGTTTGACTGGCTTGGCCTCATATCACTTGGAATAAGAGGAGCAGATATGACGAGAGGAAAGTAGGCTGAAGGTAGGAGGAACTTCTGGCATGGATCCAAGCATCATGGGGGGGCGGGGGCGGGTGTGAGATGTTCACGTCGACGACGCGTCCAGAAGGCTTAACGCGTTGGACGAGTAAACGGACCACTGCCCCACCGGCGAAATACGGGTACGTGCAGAACGCGGTATGTAACTAGCACCTGATTATGTAATAACTGATTCTGTTATATCATATGCATCTATCGACAGTCAACAGACTAACGGGTCTTGAATACGTCAAGCCCATCAGCCGATCACCAGACGATCTGAAGAGGTTATGCTCTAATTAAGCCATTCGCTCATGTTTCCATCTTCGAAATTACTTCTTCCAAGAATTGCCTAAGGCGAGTCTTTCCCGCGAACGTAATCCGTCTTGCGAGCAACATCGCCCTTCTGAACGACCTGGGCCTACCGCGGCCGAACTGCTACCCACTTGAAGCATCCACTATGACGACCGACGACTCGAATTCCACATCATGGGGGGAGGATTTGAAGACGGACGGCACTCCTTCGTACAAGTGGCCTCAGACCCGTCTTCCGGGCTGGGCTTACCTCCTGGGAGCCACTGATGATGTGGTCCGAAGGTCGACAGTGCGTCAAGTCGCAGCCCATGCGCAAAAGATGGGCCGGCCTCCCACGCAGGCCGAAGTCGACGCCATCGGCGAAATCGTTACCAAGTTAATTGCGGCCAGATCCCTGAAGCCTATTTGCAACATCTCCCTGGCCGCCTTTCTCGCCTACCGAACCCGTAAGGTCATGGGATTCCCTTTTTGGAAGCCCAAGTTTGTCCTCACAAGCCCCAACGTCTTCCCGACACTACAAAATCCAGTCTTTACCGGCACGCGCGCCAAAAGGGCATGGCATATCGCCCGGTTTTCTGCCTACTACGTCGTTGCTCACTTCTTCGTCGTGACCGGGCTCAGCATGTACACCCAGGCAATGCTGATGCAGAAATTTGCGGGAGACCCTCGCTTGAAAGAGACGTTCGAAGAATTGAAGGGTCTACAGGAGATAGATTCGGTGATCCGGATGCGACAACGACGCGTCAGGCAGCTGCTTGCGCGAGGGACGAAGGAGCAGCTCGCCGCAGAGCTGCAGGGCCTCAAGTCCGGTCTGGAAGCGGTGGAGCGGGACGTCGACAACCCCAGCAGCCCCTTGCATACTTACAGTCCCGAGAAACGAGAAGTAGTTCTTCGCAAATTACGGCAGGCCTACCATGAACTGATATCCAAGGTGGAGGAACGCACAGGCGGCGCGCATGATCGTTTCACATCAGGCAACGCTGACGCCCATGACGAAGCTGGGAAATTGGGTGGCTCAAGTGGCCCGTTATCATCGAGTAGGGGTGATTGGGCGACGGGGACCACCAGGGCCGGGTCAACCACTTCCTCTCAACAGCCTGGAGGACAGGGCTGGGCCTCAGGGTCGAAGGGAACTGAGGCATGGGGAGATGACACGGGGTCAAGTTTGGGTTTGGACAGCTTCGGTTCGGTTGACGGCGATGACGCCTCACCCGTGGCCCCTAGCGCGCGAGGGGCCTCCGCTTCGGGTGGGTCGGCTTGGGAACGGATCCGCCACCAAGCACGATCAGGGGTGCAGGCGAAAGGCAACCCACCCACGTCATCAACAGACTCTTCGAGTTCTCGGGGCATTCAGACTTCTTCGTCGTCGTGGGACGGCTCCCCAGCCGAGCAGGATGAGGAAGCTGCCAAAAGCAAAGCCCAGAAGGAGTTTGACGAGGGTTTGGAGCGAGAAAGACGTCCTGGCAGAGACAACGACTCGTGGTAAAGTTGGTGGATTGGATCCGTTGGGATGTCGGTGGACGATATATCTTACACAGAGAGCATGCGTAGGCTGCTTCCAACTGGCCAAGCTGTATGATATTGGCCAATGTACAAAACAATGGGGTACTGCCTGTGTTAGGATTCGCACTCCCTTGGCGTGATGAGGTCTCGCTCACTGCCTGGAACTGAGATCCGTAGATCCAACAGTTCGACCGCTCGAATCAGCTGCTTTGCCCAGCCTTCAAAGACACGTTTACCTTTTCTGGCAGTTATTATCCCGTTTATACCTTGCCCTGTTACCCGCTTAATCCCACGATGGAATCAAAGAATAGTAGAGTTCCCCTATCGAGGTACGCCGACAAGAACAGAACAGACAGACTATGTATTATTAAGTGAAATCCGTTTAGGTTGTGCTGGCCTGGGATTTTGATCTTCCCAAAATCAAATTGTTCGTTCCTCTCAGAACCCCGTACACTCTGTACTACAGATAGATTGCCAAGTCTCTCCGGCCGACAGCAAACGCCGATTAATAAACGACCCGTGGATTGCGGTGTAAGGAAAAATCATGGTGCCTCGGCCGTGTTGAGGTACGAATACCTACTCCGCACTTGAAGGATCGCCCGCCCCAAAACGCCTAAGGATCATGACGTGTTACCTCGGAACAGAACTTCTCCATCCTAACTGACCCCACATGTTTCCCCACAACGGTAATGGTTGCAGGGCGGGCCACTAGCACGAAGTACACTAGAAAGAAAGTACGGAGTACATTGTGCATGCAGGGTCTTTTAACATGTGAAAGGCAGCTCGGTCGTCCACGTTTCACTGTGCTCATCCTGTCGAGGGAATACCTCGGCCGACACGGGCGGCAAAGATACGTACAGCTGAATCAGCACCTGACCTGTTTGTCCTCGGATCTCTTTGCTCCAACGAGTTGACATATCTTGAACACCTTTCGTCCTTCCTCTTTACCACCTGTTGTTCCCATCTATCTACAGTCTATTCCACCTACCTTACACTACGAATCTGCATCCTCCCTCGTCTTCACGATCACATCATGGGTGGTAAGTTGTGCTTCAACTTCCTCTGTAGCCAGATGAATTTTAAGTTAGCTGACGTCGCCACCGCACCGTGACAGCTATTGAGAGATTGTCACAACTGTCCGGCCAGCTTGCCGGGGGCGCTAGCAGCAACAAGGAGAAGATTTTGCAAAAGCGGCCAGACGATGTATGTTATGCTCCTAATAAGTTTCTCCCGTTCTCGTCGATTTTTTATCTAACAATTCTCGTCCTCAGGTTGTCGTGACCGCCGCCCTCCGAACCCCCTTGACAAGAGGAGGCAAGGGTGGCTTCAAGGATACCCAGGCAGGCGATCTGATGGCCGGTGCTCTCAAGGTCCTTCTCGAGCGCTCCAAGATCGACCCGGCTCTTGTCGAGGATATTGCTGTCGGTACCGTCCTAGCACCTGGTGGCGGTGCTACCGAGATGCGCGCTGCCGCTCTCCTCGCCGGCTTCCCTGAGACTACCGCCGTTCGCACCCTCAACCGTCAGTGCTCCTCAGGCCTGCAGGCGTGCATCGACGTGATCAACCAGATCAAGACGGGCATGATTGAGGTCGGCATTGGCGCTGGTGTCGAGAGCATGAGCACTCAGTATGGGTACGTTCTTTATTCCCAAACTATCCCACCGACTGGCCCCTTCCTCAATGCCCGTCCACTGCGACCGCCCAAAAACTAACAAATCACATCTGTGACAGACCGTCTGCCGTCAGCGAGTTCTCCGAGAAGCTTGAAAGCCACCAAGAAGCCGCCAACTGCAAGGTCCCCATGGGCGTCCTCTCCGAGAACATGGCCCGCGATCTCAACATCTCCCGCACGAAGCAGGACGCCTTCGCCGCCGCCTCGTATGCCAAGGCCGCCAAGGCCCAGGTCGAAGGGCTCTTCGACGAGGAGATCGCCCCTTTGACCGTCAAGTTCGAGGACCCCAAGACGGGCGAGACCCGCGACCTGACTGTGTCCAAGGACGACGGTATCCGCCCGGGTGTGACCGCCGAGTCCCTCGGCAAGATCAGGCCCGCCTTCGCCAAGGACGGCAGCATCCACGCCGGCAATGCCTCGCAGGTCTCCGACGGCGCCGCCGCCGTCCTCTTCATGCGCCGCGACACCGCTGAGCGCCTCGGTCAGACCATCCTGGGCAAGTTTGTCTCCGCCGCCATCGTCGGCGTCAAGCCGCTGCTCATGGGCCAAGGCCCCTGGAAGGCCATTCCCCGCGCCAACGCCCTCGCTGGCATCCGCACTGAGGACGTCGACATCTACGAGATCAACGAGGCTTTCGCCTCCCAGTGCCTCTGGTGCGCTGAGCAGCTCGGCATCCCCACCGAGAAGATCAACCCCAAGGGCGGCGCGATCGCCTTCGGTCACCCGCTCGGCTGCACCGGTGCCCGTCAGATCTCTACTCTCCTGTACGAGCTCAGGAGAACGGGCCAGAAGATCGGCAACACGTCCATGTGTGTCGGCACCGGCATGGGCATGAGTGCTGTTTGGGTTGCTGAGTAAATCTACGCGTTGGGCAAGGAGAGCGAGTAAAGAAGACATGTGACGCCGCTTCGGGACGGGAAATTTGAGGGGACTAGGGTGCATGGGAAAACGATGACTCGCTACCTTAAGCTGTGTAAGCGATTTGTAAATATAGTAACGACCTGCTTCGAATGAAATACCTGATGTTCCGTTCAACGTACTTCCCCAGTACCGTTCCGTGTTGCTCGCTGGGGCATTTGGTCTCGACGTGCCGGCCCAAACCATGCTGTGGATGAAAAGCGCCAAGTCAAGAGCCAAAATCACCGTGTCACGTAACCTAAGGCATGTAAGGAACAATAAGGTAAAGATATCGTGCGCTTCAATTTACGGAGTTTGTCGCTGGTCCATGTAGATACATACGTGCTTCATCTTCATACAGTCATCCATTCACAGCGAGATACACCCAAAGTGCTGCCACTCCCCACCCGTTGTACGCCTTTACCTTTCCTTCTGGCTAACTAAGTCCAAACCCAGCCTGTGAGGTAATGGCTCTTTCGAGTCGATCTCGCAGTGTCTCTTCATCATCATATATCGGGAGCTTGAGCAAGTTCACGCAGGTGCTCGTGCTCGGTAAACGGCCCTGTTCGTGGCCTGCGTCGCGGATACTGAAGCGCGGGTTGAGCTGCGAAAACCCCAGCAGCGGCGCACGAGGCGTCGACGTAACATACGAAAGGAGCAGTCGGCGCTTTGCGTCCGAAAAGCCACGCACAACTTTCCAAAAGAGCTCGATGGTGGGGTGTTCAAGGCCGTCGTCGCCGACGCTGTACAGACCCGAATAGATTGTGTTGCGACGGAGGTCGTCGACGTCGATCTCGGACGAGTCACCGCCCACCAGGTGCTGAAGCTCATTCTGGTTGAACATGGAGAGCCAGGAAGGCGCGATGATAGAGCGCAGGCCGCGTAGGAAAGCTGATGTCTGCTGGGCAGGCTGAACCACAAGACGATGTCGGGCCGTGTAAGCTATGTAAAGGAGTCGATTCTCATTTGTCACCGGGGTGCTTTTGCCATTGGGCATTAGCTCCCTGGTGATGGTACGGATTGGTCCATTCGTTGAGAGCTCGTCCTCGATTGTGAAATTCAAGTCCAGCTCGGCAAGGTCGCCTGGGTAGTTCTTGAGATGCAGCAAACCCTGGTAGAGCTCCTGATCGAGGTCCTTTAGGTCGTTGATATTGCCGCGGTAACTGTTCTCCCCCGTTTGGCCAGAAGCCCACTTCAACAGGAAGAACGGAGCGAAGGGTTCGTCGATGAGGATGCCCTCATACATGCATTTCCCAACTAGACGGCCCAGAAATTCGAATCGCTGCAGCAGCTCCCGTACATGTTCGCGCTGCTCATCTTCGGGCACCTTGGCTGTCCGCATCATGAACTTGTACGCATCAACCGCTACCGGGTTGGGGTAGACTAAATGTTGCGCATTCTCAGCAAAGTATTCGTCGTTGCCACCAGGCTTGCTGCGGTCAGGGAACGCGGAATTAATGGCGCTGATCAGGAATTCTTTCGTGACACCACCACCATCAATGCCCTCTTCAATATTGCCGAACGTATCGACAAACTGGATTTGTAGAGGCTCTTTGAGACCGTCTCCTAGCTGGTAGAACTGTTCGTATGCGTCATCGAACTCGCTCTCCCTCCTGATCTTGCCTTGGTGTTTCCTCGCGGGGTCGCGGCCTGGGAAAAGAGGATTGTTGATCATCGTCATCCTCCACTGGTCCGCGTCCAGACCTCCTCGTCTCTTGTGTTTGTCAAGATGAACAAACTGCCGGAATATCTGAACTCTGGTCTCAAAGGGTATAACGAAGGGCATATGCCTCAATATCTCAAGCTTCGGGCCTATGAGAGACAGCATCCGGTCCCTCTGTGCTCTTCGCTGCTGTGCTCGTAGTCGTTCGATCTGCGCATGACGCGACGACCGCTGCCCAGCCACTGTATGTGATATCGGCAAGGCGTCATCCATCTCCTCGTCATTATCATCGTCCTCCTCGTCCGTGTCCTGCGATATTTCCGCTTGCTGGCGTTCCTGCTCCGCGACGACAGCCGTGACAAACCCTTCCATATCAAACTTGGCCGTCATGAGCCAATGGTTGGGAGGCAAAAAGGGGCGTCTTGAATCCCGTTCGTAGAGTAATCGAAGGGCCACAGTCACAATACTACGCAGGCTTCGCGCATCCGGCTTCGCCATCGACCCAGACAGCCCGGATTTTCTTTTTTCTTTCACGGGCCTAATCCCTGTAATGCTCCCGAAGTACGCATCAAGCTTGCTCATGGAATCAGAGTCAGGCACCGACTCGGATGAGCTTGTATTCGGAACAATATCCGAGGCATGGTAGTGAAGCGTGAACGCCAGATTTTTCAGAAAACTCGTCAGACTTTTGACTTCTGCAAGTGCAAGGCCGCAAGACCTCAACCGCGAAGGTGGCGACTGATTGTTTCCCGCGATATTCGGTCCGATACTGCTGAAGAAGTCATCGTCGTCACTAATTCGCAGGATGAACGTGTAAAGCTCTAGAAATAGGTGAATCAACCTCCATTCTTGCTCTGCAGCGGATATCTCTGGTGATGCGAGCGAGCTGGAGAGGTGTGCTTGCACGACGCTGATCACCGACACTGATTCTCGTAGAATCTCCTGATATACTTGAGTCTTGCACATAGTATTCCAGAGAAACTTGAGGACCGGTACATCGCCATGGGTAGATGGGATGTCTCCAAGAAAGAGACGCATCCTGATATCATCGCCTTGCCTCGGAAAGCACTGGAGAAGGGTGAGGACGTATCCGGCCAGAAGGCTTGCTCCTTCGAAGTCTTCGGTAGTCGTCCTAGAAGCAAAATTCCTTGGGCAAGTTAGCACAACAGAGCACCAAGGCGAACCGTGCATTGTGGGTTCTACGAACGCAGTAATGTCTGTCAACAATGCCGCTATCCCGGCTCGATCTACCAGTGAGGTAATGTGCTTGGCCACATAAGGGGGCAGTGGCAGGGGCACGTCATCCCCTTTCCTGTTATCATCTCTGGAGCCCTGGTCTAGGAGGGGTAGCCTGATGCTAATTTGTGACGTGAGAGTCGAGAGCTGCACATACAGTGCCCTTAGGTAAACAGAAGGTCCCGTTGCACCGGGCTGCGTTTTGTGTAAGTCGATAAAATGGGCCAGAAGCCAGAGCAGGTCCTCGGGACTCCTGGTGGACGCGTATCCACTGGTGTACGCTGCAGTGATTGCCGACGCAAGCCTGACAACACTAATGCGCCGGGAAAAGACACTGATATGTTTCTCAAGCAAAGGGAGATGGTTAGCGGTCAATAGGTTGAACGCAAGGGCTTCGTAGACGTCGGTGATGAAAGAATCTAGCCTCCTGTCAGTATTGCCGGAATCAATCAGCAGACCAGCTGGAATGAAGGACGGGACTTACCATGAGTTTCAGGGGCTCCCGGGGCTCCCAGAGGTGCAACCACACATTCTACAGTTGGACCCAACAAGACCTCGTCCAAGTAGGTAGCCGTGACCATGAAACGGGCTAGAGTTTTATAGTATGGCTGCAGAAATTGAGAAAGGCAGTGTGGTGCGAAAGAAGCGACCCTCGTCAGCTGAGTTAGGAGAATCTCGACATCGTCTCGGGATTTGCTGTGGGAATTTCTTGTTAGCCGAGTTCGGCGCTGGCGTTACTTATCCAATTGTCATTCTCGTCCTTGACGAACTGGGGATGGTCATACCTTTGGTGGCTGCAGATGTCCAAGCCATGTATCAATATCTCTGACAGTCGTTCAACTCGAAATGAGCAAACCTGTGGGGGAAGAAAAGGTTGGAGATCGGCGGAAGCGAAATCCCTCGCAAATCGGAGCATCCGCTGCAGGTCGCCAGGCAGCTTGGGTTCAAAGAAGGCCAACAGAAGAGGAAAGGCGACAAATGCCCTCTGCTGCGGGTTTGCGTTGTCCGGAACCGAGTAGATATGATCAAAGTCTTGCCGCCAACCATTCCGCAGCTGCCTCCGAGTCTTGTGACTTCTCCATGTCCGCTGAATGGTCTTCGCAGCTTTGGCCCGCTGCCGCTCCTGCTGTCTATGTTGGCGTTCCGCTTGCGCGTTGGATATCGTTAGGGAGGCACCGGAGCCGGTGGAGGGAGACCATGCTGCAGCGAAAGGGTTCTGGCGCTGGCCACTCAGATTAACGTTGCGCGTGCGGCGGGAGTTGCCCGTGAATGTCGGATACATGGTTGGATGCGTTGACCATGGGGGGAAGATGGTCGAAAATCCGTAGCTCAGATGTTGTAGGGGACGTACACCGTCAAATCCGACGTTGGTGGCGATGGTGCATATCAGAGTTATTGGGGGAGAAGAAGACGGATCTGAAGTCAAGCACGTCGCTGCTGCTACCGGTGATGGCCTAGGCAGGCATTATCTTAAAGAGGAGAGAGAGAATAACATATGGCACATGGAATAGTAAGCAGCATAAGATATTGGGCACGGAGATATTGGATTGTACGGAGGTACGGAGTATGAAGTACGCAATGGAGCGAGGTGGGTGGGTAGGCGGGGTGGATACCTTAAGGAGCAAGGTTTACCAAACAGATGATGCATCATATGCCTGATCGCAGCTGTGCCTTATAAAGGTAATAACTGCTACCTGAAGCTAGAACCTAGGAGATACTTCTGCGCAACACCAATGCTAAGGTACCTTAAGGTAGTGTTATCTTATCTATTAGATAAGCCCGTACGAAGTACCAACTGGAGGCAAGGTAATAAGGTAAGGTAGCCTTCCACAGGAGAGACTACCTAGGGACAAATGCTGGTACGTCAAATTGATTATGCTGTAGTATCATGGATGCTTCATTCAGTTTACTCCGTTTTCCATTGCTCTGGAAGGTCATGTATCTGCATTGTAAAACCTACAGAAGGTATACAATAGGTACTAGGTAAGGTAATGATGCAGAATGCGGGAGCGTCTGTGAAAGCGTTTGAATGTGTTCTTTGAGTAGCATCTTAAGGTACCTAACATGGATATTGTGATCTTCAGGCATAGGTAGGTACTTAGGCACCTAAGCTAGTTGTGCTTAGTAAGTATATGAAATGCCAAAATACCTTACGAAGAACATTATATGAAGCTTCCTGTGGCGCATCACCCGTGGCAAGAAGGCTGAGGTAAGGTCTCTAATACGCCACACAAAGAAGAGGACAATTGCACACACACACACCACGCCATAGCTTAGGTTTAGCCAAGACATCTCCCTACCATTCCGCACTAAATATCTGTACACTCCCACGACATGAGATGGCAAAAATCCACAACATTAAAAAGGTACATGAAACCCCAGATCCAAGCAGCGGTGGCTCAACTGACCGGCTTCCATGCCATGGTCGAGGGGTACAAATCAAGGACAGCCTAACGTTTCGTTGAGTGACTAAAGTGGTGATATGATCAGAACATGTTTTGTCTTGCTCCCTTTGTCCATTTACACAGGAAGTAAAACTTAGTACTTGCTCTAGGTATTTTACCTAAGGTAGTACTTCGTGATTAGAGGAAGTACCTTTCCACAAACCCTCTTTTAGCGCCTGCCGCGGAAGAGTGACTAAGGTAGAAGAGGAAACCACAACCAGCGAGTCACGGAAGGTGCTAGGCAATCGGGGAGAAGAAAAAAAATCGAGGAGAGAAAAAAAGTCGTCACAAGGAAGACCAAAATTCTCTTTTTCCTCCTCTCCGCTACCCATCCAACTCAACCACCTTTTATTCACTCACCGTCAGGACATTCACGAGCACCAGATTACAAGTACGACCATCGTACTTATTTTCTGCTTTCGCTCGCCTCCTTCACACAAAAGAAAAAAAGGCAAAAAAAACTTGAAAACCACCCAAACTAAAAACCCCATATTTCTCAACACCGAGGCCACACCCCCGGCTTCCTCTTGATCTCACGACTCACCCACCCATCAACTTCACCGCCATTCGCCTTTCGACTACTCTTGTCTCAAACAAAGAGTAGTTCTCCATACTTCGACCAAGAGTCACCGCATTACCTTCGGACTTCACGGTTCCCTTGAGACTTCGGCTCTTTGTCTTGCCGGTTACTCCCCCTCTTTCAAGGTTTGATCCGAACGGACAACTTCTTTACCTGGTATGTTTGTCATTTGCCCTGGTCTCCTGATTCACGTTCCATCGATTCCTCCTTCCACTACCCTTCACTCTGTTCATCTATCAGATACCTCTAATACGTTTTGTGATTCTAACACTGCATTTGGCCCCAGCATAAACCCATTTACCCATCGTCACAATGTCTGCCTCCACGAATGCCGGCGCTGTTGACCAGCTTGCCAATGACCTTGGTGCCACCTCCCTGAATGGTGGCGACAAGAATGCCCCTGCTATCAACACCAATGTTGAGTCGGGCGTCCAGGGCGACGATGTCGACACTGCGGGCCCTACCCCGAGCTCCGCTGCTCCCCACCCTCAGGCCTCGGCGTCCCTGTACGTCGGCGAACTGGATCCTTCCGTCACTGAGGCGATGCTTTTCGAGCTCTTCTCCCAAATCGGGCCAGTTGCCTCGATTCGTGTCTGCCGTGATGCCGTCACCCGTCGCTCCCTCGGCTATGCTTACGTCAACTACAATACGACGTCCGATGGCGAGAAGGCTCTCGAGGAGCTCAACTACACACCCATCCACGGCCGTCCCTGCCGCATCATGTGGTCCCAGCGTGACCCCGCCCTTCGCAAAACCGGCCAAGGCAATGTCTTCATCAAGAACCTCGATGTTGCCATTGACAACAAGGCCCTCCATGACACTTTCGCTGCTTTTGGCAACATCTTGAGCTGCAAGGTCGCTCAGGACGAGCACGGCAACTCCAAGGGCTACGGTTTCGTCCATTACGAGACAGATGAGGCCGCTGGTCAAGCCATCAAGCATGTTAACGGCATGCTGCTCAATGAGAAGAAGGTCTACGTCGGCCACCACATCCCCAAAAAGGACCGTCAGAGCAAGTTCGAAGAGATGAAGGCCAACTTCACCAACGTCTACGTGAAGAACGTCAACCCCGAGGCCCCCGAGGACGAGTTCCGCGAGCTGTTCACCAAATACGGTGACGTCACGTCCTCCACTCTGGCTCGTGACCAGGAAGGAAAGAGCCGCGGCTTCGGCTTTGTCAACTTCACCACCCACGAGCATGCTGCGAAGGCCGTTGAGGAACTGAATGGGAAAGAGTTCCATGGTCAGGAGCTTTATGTCGGTCGTGCCCAGAAGAAGCATGAGCGTGAGGAGGAACTCCGCAAATCTTACGAGGCTGCCCGCCAGGAAAAGGCCAGCAAATATCAGGGCGTCAACCTGTACATCAAGAACCTCAGCGACGAGGTTGATGACGATAGGCTGCGGTCTATGTTCGCCGAGTTTGGTCCCATCACCTCTGCCAAGGTTATGCGTGACACCGTACAGGAGACCTCAGAGGATAAGGACACCAAGGATCAGGAGGGCAGTAAGGAAAGCAGCCCGGAGGGCGAGAAGAGCGGCGAGGAGAAGGAAGGTTCCGAGAGGAAGACGGAGAAGAAGAATGATAAGAAGCTTGGCAAGAGCAAGGGCTTCGGGTTCGTCTGCTTCAGCAATCCCGAGGATGCCACCAAGGCCGTTGCCGAGATGAACCAGCGCATGGTCGATAACAAGCCTCTATATGTCGCTCTTGCCCAGCGCAAGGACGTCCGCAAGACCCAACTCGAGCAGAGCATTCAAGCCCGCAACCAGATGCGCATGCAGTCTGCTGCCGCCCAGGCTGGTATGCCCAATCAGTACATGCAGCCCCCCGTCTACTTCGCTCCTGGTCAGCAACCCGGCTTCATTCCTGGTGCTGCCGGCCGCGGCATGCCTTTCCCTCAGAACATGGCCATGCCCGGCGTTCAAGGAGGACGTCCCGGCCAATATCCTGCTGGGTATCCTCAGGGTGGTCGAGGCATTCCCCAGCAGATGCCGCCAAACATGTACGGCATCCCGGGCCAGTTCCCTCCCGGCGCGGCTCCCTTCGGTGCCCAGGCCAACAACCCGCAATTCATTGCCGCCATGCAGCAGGTACAGCAGGCCACCATGGGCGGCGGTCGCGGCGGGGCTCAGGGCGGCCGGGGTCCAGTTCCGGCTATGCAGGGTATGCCCAACATGGGAATGAGCGGCCCTGGCATGCCCGGCTATCCCCCCAACAATCGCCCGCAGCCTAGCCAGCCCGGCGGCCGTGGCGGCCCTCGCAACGGTCAGGCCCAGCAAAGCAACTTCCCTGCTCCGGCTGGCGGTCCTAGCCCCAACATCAGCCACATTCAGCAGCAGCTGAATGCTGCCGCCGATGCCCGTCAGCAGAAACAGATCTTGGGCGAGCTCATCTTCCCCAAGATTGCCCAACAGCAACCTGAACTTGCCGGCAAGATCACCGGTATGCTCCTTGAGATGGACAACGCGGAACTCGTAAACCTGTAAGTTGACGCAGTGGAATCTGCCCCGTTTTTCCCATGCGATTTGAACCGAACAATGACTAACCCGCATGTAGCATCGAGGACGAGGCCGCCATGAAGGCCAAGGTCGACGAGGCCCTCGGTGTTTATGAGGAATACGTCAAGAACCAGGGCGCCACCGAGGAAGAGAAGAAGCCGGAAGAGAGCAAGGCTTAGACCGCCGCACGGTCTCTCCTGGCGGCTTCTTAACCACCAATCCTTTCCTATGTACACATACCCCTCTCATTTTTTTTGCGCCCCGGCTTGCATCGCCATACTTTGCTGACCACAGCCTGTCATGGTTGATGGTCTTGAACGGGAACGGGAAAAGTTACTGGGCTTTAGGAGGCATCGTCAAACGGGTTTGACCGTTAGTTTTTTTTTTCTATTTCTCTTTTTTTTACTCTTCCATTTTTTTTTTGTTTGGCAGGACATTGTGCGTCGGTGGCGGACGGATCGGTCTATGGTTTACTACGTGTCCGCGCGTTTATTTGGTAGACCTTACTGTCGTCTCAGGGAAAGGCGGGTTTTCGGCGAAACCACCCTGCCGGCAGGTGGTTGGCATTCGACCATGACGTGCCTTCACCCCTCCTTCATTGTCCATCGGTTGGGTTCCGGGAAGGCGTTTAGGGTAGTCTTTGAGAGAGCGGTAGTAGCCGGGCCTCAAGCAAAGAGGGATGGCACCAATACCCCAGAACGGTTTTCGTCGTTCTCGTCAGGCAGGCTGGAGGCAGGGTTCACATGTCTTGAGGGAGAGGTGCTTAATAGATCATTGATATGACTATATGTTGTCTCTCCTCATGCGTAACGTATTGATTCCAAAGCTGCCTCCGAACATGTGCCCAGTCATCTCCATGCGTAGTATAAATATCACTACATGCCAATGACCCATGATGGCCTATCGAATGCATATACAATTCCCGTACCTCGAGTTGCTTCGTCTCGGTGTCACGCCCCTCTAATGCATATGTACACGGTGTTTTGTCTTGTGCTCACAGCTTGGGTTGAGGTTTAACCAACGCTAACCTGTCTTTCAAGGTTTCTTCGGCCTCCTTTTCTATCCTCTCGACCAGAACCTGAACCGTCGGAATATCATGGATCAGACCAATGACCTGGCCAGCAGTCCAAACCTAGATTTGAGCACACCGTGGTTAGCTCACATGATTTAATCAATGATATTACGACAATAACAGTAATGGCGGAGGCTGAAAACGTACACCGTAGTGGGGGTCACCGTTGATGAAGACCTCCTTGCCCCTCTTCCCGCTGACAAAGGGCGCGATTTCCTCAAAGTTGCCGGTGGTACTCTCACGCTCGACCTTGAGTGCATCTTCCACCACCGAGTTCCGGTAGAGGCGTGTGGTATTGCGCCAGCGGCGGAGGACAAGGGCCGTGTCGGTCTCGTTTGCGCTGACGATCTCCTCCTTGATTCGGTGGTGGATGGGCGCCTCGACGGTGCACATGAACCGGGTACCCATGTTGACGCCGCAGGCGCCAAGGCAGAGTGCGGCGGCGAGGCCATAGCCGTCGGCAAAGCCGCCGCTGGCGATGAAGGGGACACCGTTGAGGGCCTGGCGGGCGCGGGAGAGGAGGATGAAGTTTGTGATGTCGGATTCGCCGACGTGGCCGGCGCATTCGAAGCCGTCGATGGAGAGGAAGTCGGCGCCCAGCTTGACGGCGGAGAGGGCGTGCCGGATGGAGGTGCACTTGTGCAGGATGGTGACGCCGGCGCGCTTGAGCTGGGCGATGACGGGGCCTGGAGAGTTGCCGGCCGTCTCGACGATGGTGACGCCTTCGTCGATGATGGCCTGGGCGTAGGCGCCGTAGTCGGGGGGCACGAGGGCGGGGAGGAGGGTGAGGTTGACGCCGAAGGGGTTCGAGGTCAGGGTGCGGCAGCGGCGGATCTCGTCGCGGAGGGCGGCGGGGTTGGGGAAGATGAGGGCGGTGATGATGCCCAGGGCGCCGGCGTTGGACACGGCGGAGGCGAGGTCTGCGGTGCCGACATGTTGCATGCCACCTTGGACGATGGGGACTAACGGAATAGAAAGGGCGAGTTAGCTAGTTTTGCGTGCGAAATGGGTTCTCTCTTCTCTTCTCTCTCGGGTTCGGTCCAACCACCAAGTCAGCCAGCCGTTGGCAAGGTACCTTTAATGCCCAGTCGCTTGGTGAGCTCAGTAACGAACGCCATGGTGAGTAACAGTCTATCAAACGAGGTAGCTGGGTCCGAGACACGTTCAGATTCGAAGCTACAGGGTTGATGATCGAGAATGCGAGTTGCGAGACCGGAGTACTATGAAGTACAGCGTAGGTAGGTGGAGAGCTTGCACGCCGATAATAATAATGCGGTTATCTATGGTTATTATATAAAATCGCCTAAGCCAATGTGAGAACAGGCTAGGCAGATGAGTAAAAAGGTAGAAAAGCAATGCAGCTGTCTACAGAATGGCTGCTAGGTCTTACATTGCTGGAGGAAGGAGGAAAGACAATGTCACAAGTGTCGGGGAAGCTGGAGCTCGGGCTTCACATGCCGAGGTCCCTGATCGGCTGTGCCGTCTCCACAAAAATGTCCGTATATTCTACAGTGCATATATTCAAATGAACTGTAAAGACGCCATGTGATTACTAAGCATATTTGCTTTCAGAACCAATACCGGGATCCGTAATCACCTGACTCAACTACCTTGAAAGCTTGTGTTTTCACATACCTTTCACGAGTTACCCATAACAGTCACTGTGTGACCATCCAAGATAGATCCTTTTTTTTTTTTTTTTTTTTTTCCCTTCTGGATTCGATCATCAGTTGCAGTCGCTTCTTGGTTCCATCACTGACTCAAGTGGCGCAAACTGGGCATTTGTCACACAATGCGGAGTACAATACGTGCACTGCAGGATGTAGCAGTGCGGACAAGATGCGTCGTTCTCACGTGTTGCTCCCCTCGGGCTGAGAAGATGACGGCAGTTAAGTTATCTACGAAACTACCACGACAGGATCTTCGGGCAGGTGCGGAGTACACTACATTATATTAGCATGCGGCGCGAGCAAGGCATCGGCTGCCGGCGCAAGTGGACTCGAATTCGGCAGGGAGGCAATGGTAGAGAATGAATGGCGTCTGGCTCCAGGGCCGGAGAACACCCAAGGTGGAGGAGCACCAAATAACCATGTGCCCGATATCCGGTCCCAACTCCGACAACCATGTGAGGAGATGGTAAAACTAGTCTTACAGTTCATCCGGGAACACAACTTCAGCCTGGACATCTTCCCGAATCCTCTTCCCTCAGTGACGACCGTTCTACCCAGAGCGCCGACCTTGGCCTCAGTTGCCACGTCGCACTGCACTGTGCCTGTCCTGCGTTGCACGAACACAAGCCAAAGAACCATTAAGCCAAAAAGAGAAGACCAGTGTGCCATCTACGAAAGCCGCTGCATATGCTCGTCAATCCTCAGGGTCCCCCTACCTAAAAGGGATCTTTCCCCCTTGGCACCTTTAAGAAGTCAAGATGCTAAGCCGGAATAAGACTGCCGATGTGGTCAACCACGCACATAATGACATCCCTTATCTGTGTGGTCCCATATCCCAATATGTCGTAGCCCTTTGGCGAGCCGACTCGCCGCTCAAACTTGACATCAATTTAAGGAGAGTACTCGAACGGAGGCTACAGTTGGACTGACCATTGCCCCCCTATTAGCGTAAAGTTCACCTGACCTGACTATTGCTATAGCCTTTGCTTCTTACCCGACCATTGCTCGCTAAGCTAGCAGTAATAGTCGGGTGAGGTTAGCGGGAATCATAATAAAGGGGAATTAAATCGCTGCTATAATAGTGACTAAGGTATAGGGAATTAAAACTGAAAACCAGGTCACGTGATGTATCGGCACCCTTTATTACTAACCTTACCCGACTATCGCCGCCGGCTTATTAGCGAGTATTGGTCGGGTAATAAGAAGCAAAGGCTACCTATAGTAATGGTCAGGTCAGGTCAGATCTACGCTAGCAGGGGGGCAATAGTCAGCAGGGGGGCAATAGTCAGCAGGGGGGCAATAGTCAGCAGGGGGGCAATAGTCAGCAGGGGGGCAATGGTCAGTTGAGCTGTAACCTCCTCGAACACTTCGGGGATTGTATCATCTCTATCCGGTCTGCTCCGAGAACCCCCCCGCTCTATGTTTATCTTGCGGATCAGAGCCCAAGTACGACCTAAAACTCGGGTTGGGAAGCGGCTAAGCGGCGCGGCTCGGTCGGAGCCCGATAAGCTCCACTTGTCACACGTGGGAAGAGACCGGCAGTCGCGACAACCATGATTGTTCCTGAACTACAAAGGACGCTGATAGTGCGGGTAGACGGCAGCGAGGCGCTCCTAGCACAAGGAAACTATACAGGAGGGGAAGGGGAGGGGGTTCTGGGAAAGTTGGGGTCTTCCGCCAAGGAGATTGCCCCCCCGTCCGGGCGGGGAGAACGCGAAGCACGTGGGTTGATCATAGTGATAGATGTCGACTGATACGGAATATTTGGTAGTCATCAACATCAGCACACCTGTAAATGGGTCAGCGATCCTGCAGAGTGGCGTGCGAGAGGCACCATGGGGGTCAACCCAGCCTCTTCAGCCAGACCAGGGGATTCGTGACACTGGTACCTGATCTGTTGCCATTATCCGACACGCGCCGCCGATACTTACGAGTAGGTAATTACTACTAACTAATTGCTGGTTACCGACTTTGAGTGACGGCTGGACCTTGCTGTCCGGAATGACGCAGCAGCCGTAATCCCAGCAACGTGGGTTTGATACCATACCCATGACCCTTAACCGGGTTATCAGGGGTGCGAGCGACGGGACCCCGCCAGACCGATCCTCTCGGGCTTCGGAGAGCAATCCATTTCGTACGCCAAACGAGTTTCAAGGTGACGGGATTGGCCGTGTTAATCCTCGAGTCCAGAGTGGCAAGCCCGCCTAATACGCACAGACCGAAGACGATGCCAATGTCTCTCCGATACCGATAACGTATGATCGCCTGACGGTTTTGTGAATGGTTCGTGTTCTGTGCAAATAGAGAGGTTTTACGTAAGGTATCCAGCTATTGACCTCGTGCTACGATGCAAATTATGGAAGGGAGGCCAGAGACGGGCTTATAGGGTATGACCAGATGTGACGTCTGTGATCAGAACTGGGGGCAATATTCCAAGTTTCCAGCGTCAGTTCGCGGTGTTCATTTCAGTGGGGGTTTTTTTTTTTTTTTTTTTGCATGAACGAAGCAACTGTGGGCCAAGTCTCACTTTCCAAGGAGTCATCCTCCAATTCTTCCTTCTTTTCTCATCCCAGTCAATGGAAATGCGAGGAGTGAGTTGGGGGTGGGTGGATTACGCCCAGAATCAGAGACATTAGTCGGTCTGGCTGAAGAGTGGGGGAGGACAGCAGACAACAGTTCACCAGCTTCAGCATCCCACGCCAATCCGAATTTATCATATGATCATAGAAGGAGGGTCGTAAAATAGGAGACGAAAAAAAGAAAAAGGAGGGGCAGGGGCTGCCGGGGGGGTTGAGCCCCCTGGATCGTGAGAAGACTCAGAACCCAACGGCTAGAGCTTTTTTTGTCCTTAAGGAACTGGCTCGTGTTTCCTATGGATTGGTAGCTTGACTATATAAGGGGTTTGGAGGTCATATTCTCTAAGTTTTTATATGCCCCTATCTCGACGATGGTGCCTAAGTTGATGGCTAGCAGCCAAATATGGGACATCGAGTCCGCATGGCGGGCAAGGAAATGCTTGGTACTCTGGCTGGTTAAGCTTCGGATATCATGAAATGTTGATGTCCAAATAATGAGGTGAATTGCACACGATCGTCTGTCTGTCTGATCTCTGTACACGTGTAAGAGTTGCCCTTGTCGTCAAGATACAGGGGATCGCCCCCAAGGCATGTGGCACCCTGGTCAAATAGGTAATTACTGCGTAACTAAAAAAATGAAAATGAAAATTTTGGGAGAGTCGGTGTGACCTAGCCCAGCCATCTCGGGTCCAGTGGACTGAGCCCCCGTCTTACCAGGCCTATCTGGGCGGCACGTCTGGTGATTCATCATCCTGGGCCCGCACATGGCTCGACTCGATACGTACGTTGTAAGGGTTCGTGAGCCGCTGATGTGAACCGACTCTACGGTTAGTTCTTGTTTCGAGAGAAGGTAAGGTGCCGAGGTCAGACAAGCACCATATTCCTGCGGGATGTCAAGGGCTTGATGACGGAAAGCCCCTAGTATCCGTACTTCGAAGTTACTTGACCGACATGACGGATCCCAAATTTCAGTATGAACAGGGGGGTCGATGGGAGAGCATGGGTACCTTGTTGTAATCAGGGGAGAGTGAGGAACGAATGGAGGATACGTCGTAGGGCAGAAGATACGACTACCCTCAACGCTCCCGGACTTCAAAGTTGACTCTATAGAGTGACAGATGTTGACACCAAAGCAACGTTCTGAGGAAGAGGTGGACGATTCTCAAGACTTGGTCGTCTCGGTATGACAGGACGAGGCTTCGATGGAGAACCGCAGTCCGAGAACGATACGAAGTCCATTGGCCCGGTAAGGTATTCGGTACTTTCGTGCCTCGTACGGGTTAAGCCTTGGGGTTAGCACATGGTAGGCTTTTAGGGCCGCGGGGAGCTTCCCGGCGCCGATCCCCATCAAACTTTGCCCTGACTGGGTAAGCATTGGGAACGGCGGTGAAGGTACCTGCCAATGGGGTTATCCGATGATAGCAGCCTTAGATCTGTTCAACCTGAGACCAAATCAAAGGCAAGATAATGGGTAAGAGACTGTATACTGTATTAAACTAAAGCTAAAATATAGGCGTTTATAAGCCAATGCTAGGTAGATCTACTTTTCATATTTCAACGGATAAGGCCGGCAAAGTCAAGAACGAAAAGGACAGGATTTGATGCAATTCGGTGCTTAAGAGCTCTGAAGTCATGGCTACCTAAATTACCGTACAGGTACCTACGGGCTCTCCACCTTATTCCCACTATAGATGCCTACAACGTATGTAAGGTACCTAGGTAACTTACGTTGTATACTTTAATAACCCCCACTTGCCGCTGTTGATGGATCAATGTGCGATTCCCAGACCGAATTTGCTTTTAGCTCCTTATCCTAAGTCTCAGTGATGTGGTGGCGTACCTAACCAGAAACCAATATTACAGTTGGGCAATGCACTAAAGGTACCTGGCGGCGGCTTGCCGGATGCTGTCAAACTCTTCTCCCGTTCTATGTACAGGTACTTTTCACACTTTCTCCACGGGAATCTTGTGGCCTTCGTATTACCCGCCTGCCAACCAGGTACAGGTACTGTGCCTTATCCGTTTATACAATTTACATGGTAATTACGAGCCATTATGTTATGAATTGTTATCCTAACTTGTTGGGTTCCGTACTGGAAAGCTCTCCCCAAGCACATCTGCCCTCCCAAGCACATCTACGGTTCCTGCGACCTACCTTACCTATAGGCATCATGACGGCTCTGCTCCTAGGCATCGACGCCTCAGTGCTGTCGTGTCATCCGAGTCGTCATGGTCTTCCCAAGTCTATCCGAGGCTTCCATAATTAACAACAGCCTCACTCTCAGTCTCCCTAGGTCGTCTGAACGACAATGCTGCCCGATTCAGCCCTCCCTCTTGCGCCGCATCTTCAACGTGGCTTGCCGCCTTCGTTATCTTTCGTCATACAAACAGCCTGCCATCGACGCGCTAGGCTTACGACATCGATGAAGCCCGACACGCCCTGAGACCTGACCGACTGGTAACATCATCCTCGCCGCCCATCACGAGCATTGGGAATCGATCTCATGTCACTTATTCACTTCCTCAATCGGGACATCCCGAGGAGGTAAATTTCGACGCCTCACGCAACTCCTAACTAAGTAGGGCCACGAATTGGGATTTTGACCGAATTGCACACTCGATCGCCTCATGCCGTGCTTCGCTGGTCCTCACACCAAGCTTCTTCTGCACGGTAATTGCCTTACCTACACCCTATCGGTCAATCCCGCCTTGCCCTGCCCAGTACATTTGATTACTTTCCAATAATCCGCTCCCACTTTGCCAGCCCTGATCTCCCCCTCAGGGTGCCATTGTCCTTCCCCACAACGTCTTCTCCTGGCGAACCTTTCACTTGCTCCCCCACACAATGTGGTCACAGCTTCACACCACACCTTTCATCTTGAGGGCGCCGGTCATGTCGTGCTTCTACTTGCTTCCAATCACTACACTTTCCCCTGATATGGGACCACACTATATCACCTTCCGATACGTTGTACAGTACGTTGTAAACAATTGGACTGCGAACCCCGGATTAGCTGCATATCGACGTTATGCAGGCCCCTTCTCGGGCTGTCGTTTATGTACCGCTCGGGGCCTGGTTCTGGTTGACTTGCCAGAGTACCCTGACAAGTGTCGCTTCTCACGAGTTCAACGGAGTATTAAGTACCTTACATATGTACCTTACATAAGGTAACGAGGACATGGTTCGTCACCGTCCTCAGCATTGTACATGTACCGGTACTTCGTTCCACCAACCGTTCCCGAGGGCCCGTCTCGCTTCCCTTGGAACGGGAATAGCTGGGCCCGCAAGGCACGGACGCAGCCCCCCCGGTTGGGGTGGGTCTGCGTCCGTAGACTGACAAAAAAAGTCAGGCTTTGTCTTTGTTTTCTATGTTGCAATTGCGTCCGGACACCGGGGTGGGGAACACTCCCC